CAGCATCCAATTAGGAAGGAGTGGAGTGTGCAGGAGGCTGTTTCAACAATCGACTGCCAGATCTCAATGTTAAAATATGCTGCTTTCTGTTTTTCATTTTTTTATTGGTCTCAGGGCTGACATGGGTTCTGTAGCTCTTTTCCTATGCATAGTTACAGGTCTGCCGTGTGACTCCTTCCTTTCTTTAAGCACCATGAGCAGAATGCAAACTCTTCCAAGAAACTCCAGAAAATTGGTGGTGGCAGATGAAAGCATTTCCAGGTCCAGGCAAGGGAGCAGATTGTCCAGGAGTATCTACAAGGAGAATCAAGGCAAGGAGACTCTATGGCCATTTAACACCTGTCTTACAGCTGCTAGGTTAGATAGGACCACTGACATAATGTTCATATTGGCAGAGGGAAAAATTATACTGATGTAGTGATAGTTTTGTGCTGACAGGAGGCTTCTACTAGTATAACCCTGATGGGGCTCCATTGCGAAAGGGGTGAAACTGGGCTGAGCTGGAGGACCTAATGGTGGTGAATTGTTTGCCTGCTCAGAAGTTGGTCCCATCCCCACCCATTTTAGTGGTGACATAAAAGACAGTGGTGGTGCTCATACAACTTGACAAGCAATCCTGCATAGTCTCCATGGTTTGCAGTTTTTACCAAGATCTATTTAACAGACGATCAACTGGTTTTGACTTTCTCATAGTTTTCGCCAGCCCCACTCAGTTGTCACATATCCCATCAGATGCTCAATCTGAATGCACCACTCCTTGCCTATGACACCTGTTTCTTCCTCATTGGTACACACACAGAGACTGGATGGCTGGAGTGGCTCCTGCAGTTGCCACTCTTTCCACAGGACTCTGTGGTAGTTGCATATTGGGACCATGGAAACCACCACCCCACATTCAGAAAACGCAACAGCCATGGTGGCACAGAGAAACCACAAAATAAGCTATTGTTTCTTATAATGGTTTATAAAGAGCAAAGTTACTCAGTACCATCACTAGGTTCAGACAACACAACAGAGCAATAATAATTGTAAAAAGACATCATGGCTTGTTGTGTCATCTGATTCCAGCCAATCTCTGATTCAATGGAGGGGAAGGGGCTCAAATGTTTGCCCCTAAGCTCTATTTGTGTCAATGGATGACAGGACTTGAACAAAGCCAGAAGCGCCCCGTGTCTCATACAAGTGCGGGAAGGGGGTGCATGATTCTGTCCCCATTTCATTAGAATGAATTGTCAAACCTGTATAATGGTTAACTTGTACAATGATTAACTGGAATCATAGCATCTCTGCACTGTCAGAATTTCAGCCAGTTAGGTCTGCTATTCAAATCACCCTTGTGTGGGCAGTTAGACTCAAAGAGGAGTCTCCTGGGATGAAAAAACAGGTGTTCATGCCTCCATCCCTATTCATCACAATGTGATTATGTTATTGAACATCTTCAAAACATAGTAAAGGAAATTAAATATACAATAAATGTTTCCAGTATCTCTGTATTCTAAAAAACAGGAAAAGCAGATAGTGCTTTCAAAACTTAGTGAGTCACCTCTGAAATCCTGCTAGTACTCTAAACATCTTTTCTTGAAAGAGGCTAGACCAGGGATAGAGAATCTTGGGCCCACAGTCTACATTCTTCCTGCCAGGCCACCAAATCTAGCTTGTACAGGCCTTGAACAAGCCAAAAGCCCTGCCCATTCTGAAAAGGGAGAGAAGAATGGCTGTGCTCAGGCCTTCAGGAATACTCAGAACTACAGGTCAGTTTGCTTGGGGAAGGGAAAGCCAGGCCAGCTTGGAACTCTCCAGCACCTCCAAGATACAGGATGTTCTCCAGGCATGCAAAAGGGTTTGTGGTGTGCCTGATGTCAGGAAGAGGAGCTTTGTGAGACAGACTTTGGGACAAGGTGGGGTTCACTGCTGATGTCAACTGGGCTCCAGGGGCTCCCTGGGAGGCAATCTGGACTTCAGGCGAATCTACACCCGCACTCCTTGGCTAGGTCATTCATAACTATATGCTACTAATAAGTATCTGAAATAAGATTCTCAAACAAAATCAGTATACAAAAGTAGAAAGACTCATCCAGAAATGTGTGCTTTGTTCATATATTTTAATGCATATTTTTTTTGACAGTGTACTTTCTGCATTTTAGAGTGTTAGTTTTTGTCACTCTTGTTTATCCAGATTAATTGCTTAATAACTGCATCATTTAAATTTGTGCTTTCTTTCTCTTTTGATGGTGAAACCATAGGAAGATCATATATAGCCTTTTTATTTCCCTTCTCCTTTCCTTCAAATCTGCTTCTCTATTATCTGCTTCCATTTCTTCTGGGCTCTGAAATGAAGACACATGCCACAAGTTTAAGGAGCACAGGCACACAAAATGTTAAGTTTACAGGATCAAGGAATTCCAAAAGATATTGTAAGCCAGTGACCTTGATAATAACTGGAACTGGGACCAGAATTGCTAGTACATCACATACCTGCGATGGAGCACAAGAAGAAAAGGAATGGCAGTTACACATCTAGTTCTAGTTGCTAGAGCTTAATGGCTTATTAGCTTACTCAAGAGAAGCATTATTAAATATTCCAGTGAATATGCTTGCCTTGTATAGCACATGAAGCACTGTCTCTATATTCTGGTGTTTTTCCAGCAAGTTTATTAGAGCTTTTCCAAAATAAATGGGTGCAGTTTGCTGTTATCCATGGAATGTCACCCAGAGTGGTCCACACTAGTACCCAATTCTAAGCAAAATTACTTGGAAGTAACCGGTAATGTCTACTTCCACATAAATGTGCATAGATTGCAAGTTAAACGTTATACTTGCATGTGTGTGTATTCCAGTCCTTTACCTATTTAGATTCATGGACAGTCCAACTGAGTTCAAAGGAGGCTATTCCCATGCAAGGGTTCATAGGCTACATCATGGCCCTTCCTTTTCCTGGCAGTTGGTAGCATCGGCAGGAGACTAAACAAACCAAAGAACTCTAGGGGTGCTTTGAGACCAGGCTTTTATCCTGTAATCACCTTAGCTTGGTCATTTCCCCAACACTTTTTCCATCTGGGATGAACAATATTATTGGTAAGTAGCAACAGAAACTATACATCTGGAAGCTCCATAAAGCACCCAGCTCTATCTAGCCCCAGTCTGTGGCTTACAGAGAAGTTCCTCTTCTGTGTGGTGGTTGAGGTCCTGCTATCTGAAGTCCAGCTAGGGGTACATGGAAGGGAGCCTTCTGGAGAGTGGCACCCGGCCCATGGAACCCTGCAGGAGATTCAGTTGATTGTTTCTCATTTTGCTTTAGACATCAACTTTAAACAAATTGTTTAAATGTACCGTTCACCCCAGATAGCAAAATATCCACTAATTTGCTTATTTGTGCTGCTGCTATCTAGATTGCTTCTTTTACATTTCATGTTGTTTAATGGATGGTGGCTTAATAATAGTTGATAGTTGTATTTAAGGTTCTCTGTTTTTTGGTACAGAAAGGCAGTTATATGTATTTTAATAAAGAAATACAAATAAGTAGAGCAAGAGCTCCCTCTCTGCAGAAGCGATCACATGAAGTATTTTAATACTGCAATGCACACTGAATGAAGTTGAAGAGTTACAAAAATAAATGTTTTCCACAAGACTCCTTTTTATTGTTTATGCTAAACCAGAGGCTGCCCTCTGGGAAGTGGGGCAAACAGAGAGAACACATAAATACCACAGCCCACAGGGAAAGCAACAGGAAGTTCTGTTAACCAGAATTATATTCTACTGTGTGTGGCTACTTTGGCTGGAAACAATAATCCACCCCAAGGAAGAATCTTGCTGTTTCAACAGAGTGTTTCATTACCAGACATTTTTTTCTAGCTAGCATGTAAGTTTGGGCAAAAAGAATAACATGAATTGCTTATTTTGTATGACATGTGATTACCACATGACATCTGGAGCCCGAGTTAAGAAATAATTAAACTTTGTTCCTTGTGGTTATGATGTTTGGAACCCTGAGTTAAGGAATCATTAAACTTTATTCCTTGTGGTTCTGAACCTGTCACTCTAAACTAAATATCAGTCCTACAGATCTAAAGATCATCTTGCCACAAACCATATTCCAGACTGTAAAATGGTGGGAGTCAATGTGGATTGTCCATTGGTGGAAAGTCACACAAAGCTCCAGCAAATCTTGAAAAAGAAAACCTAGGAAAGCATTCTGTAAACTACAGGTGACAGTTCCTCGTTAAAAACTAGTCCAGGACTGGAGGATCAGAAGAATAAGAGCAGCTAAGAAAGGCGAGAGTTAGGATGAGAATGGGGGATCTCTGGCTGAAGGCCTAATCCTGTGGGGTTTCCCAGCCTGGCTCCAAGCACTCATCCAGAGCATGCCCCTTTCCTGGTACAGTTTTAATTCCCATTGTAATGTGCTGGAGGGCAAGGCTTACAACTTTCTACCCAATGTAACATGATGGGAAACAAAATAGATCACTGTGCTTTTTGGTTGATCTGTGCAAGTAATCTGGAGATTGAAGGGATATGTCTTTCATCCCCGTCATGGTATGCTTTATGGAGGGGCCCAAAATTCCCCACCTAACATACCACAGTGATCTGCATGGAGTGGCTGGAATAGAGGATACTAAGAAGGGTCTGCCTAATAGGAATGATGTGTGTGTGCATGCAGGCATGTGTGAGTGAATGGGGTGTGCATGAGAAGATGAGAGAGAAAGAGCCCACGGTTTGCATGTGACTCCTGAGAGGTTTCCTGGCTGGCGATGCAGCCCTTGGACCAAAAAGGATGCCCCAATCTTGAGTTAGAATCAACACGTGAGGGAAAACTCTACAGATCTCTTCAGAGCAAACTGTTGTTTAATCTTGACCCCTTCCCGATATTCATTTTGTGCAACAAAGGAGAAAAAATGGAGGCGATAACTTTCCATGCAGCCAGCATTCAGCTGGAAGCAGAACAGAACACTGGTGAGCAATTGCCATCTGACAGTGACAAGTGAAATAAACAAGGTATCTCTTTACCTTTCCCAGGTTTCTAAGCAGGGAAAAGTTATGGAACAAGATCTATCTGCAAGAGACTCACAAGTCTGTGTATTTTTACTCCACTCTAGGGTAGTTGTGTCTGGGACACAAATGCAGAGTAACACTTATGATGTTCTGTGAGTTCTCCTCTCCTATCCAACAGAAAACTTAAAAAAAAATCTTACCTGCGTATCACAAATATCCTTTTTCAAAAGCTCCCTCCTCATTCTATTTTACTTTCATTCTTACCAAATTAAAATACATTAGTATCAGTACTGTAAATACCTGAATGCATTTTTTCAGCTTTAGTATATATTTTAGTATGTGGGCTTCTTTTTCGCCAAGCTGGTATATTATATGCAGAAGTGCACCTTTCTATAAAGGAAAATATAGCTTGTGTTACATTGTAATCCCATTCTACTAAGCTAGTTTTACACACAAAGACCCCCACGCAGGCAGCTATAGCACTAGCTCAAGCTCCATGATTTCATGGCACTTTGGACAAAATCTTAACCAAAACGTACATTCCATGCCTATTTTGTCAGACACTTGGAGAAGTAAAACCACATACGTTCGGGAGCCTAACTCAACTGGATGATTAGTATAGTCAGATCAAGGCTGACTTATCGGATGTCAGCAGTAAATGCCTTCTTAAAAGAAGTTATGATGCCACAGACACTTCACAAAGCCATTGTGAGAGCTTTTAAAAGCACTGTTTAATTGAAGCAATCACCTGTGTTCCTTTTTGTTTTCCTCATTTGGGCAGGACTTCAATTTTCTAAAGAAAATCTCCTTTTCTCTAATAGCTACCCTGGCACTGTTCTAAGTTCTAGGACTTGGTTCCACCTGGACTAGCCTAAGGTATTCATTCTAGGTGTGATTCTACTATTGTGACTTTAAGTCACCTCCAAACATTTTGAGGAGATCTAATCCTCCTAACTTTCCTTTATGGCTACCTTTTTACCAGTCTTCTCATTTTAGAGAAGTTTCTCCTTTTAATGATAGATGTGACTCTGTTGGACTTCCTTGGCAATTTTCCACTTGAATACATATTAAACTTGATATTGTTGTGGCCACCGTTTCAAATTGGTTCAACCACATTTACATCTCCTAACAGGTCCTGGATGATACCACTTTGATTTAAATGTAGGGTTGCCTTCTTTCTGGTTCCATGGCCAATTGTTCTAGTGCACAGTCAATTAGGGCATTAAGAAATGAAATCGTTTTCTTGTGACTGGTAAATACATGTACTCACTCAATGTGAGAATAAATTGAAGTCACCCTTTATTATGGCACTTTGTTTTCCATCTCTGAAGTCATTCAGAGATAAATAGGCGAACTATACACATGATGCCCAGATCTCCACCTCATTTTCATTTTCAGTGAAGCTCTAAATTGGTTTTGTGTGTCACTTCTGGAGTGGCTACGGATGCACAAACTACAGCTTAATCCAGAAGGCACTGTTGGCTGGGCCTCCAGCTCTGTAGGAGTTTGTGGCTAGTTTTCTGGGACGGGGTCATGTCCCCTGTTAAAAACACCTTCATTTCCTGGAAGGCATTTTCAGGTGCTATTTTTGAAGTGTTTTGCATTTAGCTGTGAAAAATTAATTGCAATGTTCAAGCACACTGTCCTGCTGCAACAAAATGATTCCCACACACACAAACCCCAACACTGAACAGACATTGGTGGATTGAAAGTGGTAATTAGGAAATGACTCATCACCAGCAGAATTGTACACTTGAGTATAAACTATGTATCTACATCATCATCAACAACAAAAGAGTTTTTCCATTCCTGTGAAAATGGTCTTAAAAGGTACAAGGTCTTAGTCACAAAGGATCTTTTTTGACACCATTTGGGAGTGTGGCTTTTCTCACACTAAGATGTGATACCGCTAGGAGGCACAAAATATTGTTATTTGAATACATACTGCACGTCACTTTGGCAGAGTAGTGCAAATATGAACAAAACTATCCAAGTTTGGCTTTCTGAATGCAACCACAGGATATTAAAATTTTCATTCAAGTTAGTCAAATTTAACATTCTTATGGCTCTGCAGTGTTTAATTGTTTTTCTCTTCACCATGTAATAATAAAACATGCAATGCAGATGAGAGCAAGAATATTTTCTAGGAAAAAGTAGTATTTACTCTGCCTGCAAGCATCCAACTGGAGAACCCTCATCTCTGCCTGCTATTCAGGTTTAGCATGAACATTCTGAAACATGACTGTGATTCTACAGGCCTTTTAGTTCTAACCTTAGCTTCCTGCATCCATGAGACTGCATCCCACCTTAATTCCAATGCTGACTCAGATACCCACAAACTATACACATCCACTTCTGTTCTTGCCTGTAACTGATATTTTTACTGTCTCTCTGCATTTGACACATGAGCTCTTTTTACACCCTGCATTCCTCACCCTGCATCTACAGCCCTGCCTGATCTTCCATTATTGAGTTCAGATGCCTCTTGCTCCTGAATTTTATTTGGGCCTACTGCCTTCTCAATCACAGGTGTATCTAGGCCAGTGGTGGCAAACCTATGGCACGTGTGCCACAGCGGGCACACAGAGCACTCTATGTTGGCATGTGAGCCAAGTCACCCGAGCATCGCCCCAGCAGCCGAGCATCGGATAACAGTGCACATAGGGGCCATGCGCATGCTCAGAAAGGAGTAGTGGCAGCAGGCAATGACATCACGAGCCGTAACTTGTCCGAGATTTCGCATGGTCGGTCAGTGTACTGCCAAGGATATTTTTTTTTTTTTGCATGGACTGGCTATGAGTTGTTTTTCCTAAACTAAAACCTCAGTTTTCAGGTTTTATTGCAGTGTTGGCACTTTGCAATAAATGAGTGAGTTTTGGATTGGAGGCTGGGCACTTGGTCTCTAAAAGGTTCACCATCACTGGGTTAGGGTTAGGAAAATGAGGTGTCCTGGCATGATTTTCATGGTTGGAATGTGTTTAGAACAGGCAGAAATGTTGAGCTGTGCTGCCAACGCATCCCTTCATGCCCCAAACAAGAGAGAGGACATGCATTGATGCCTATGGTGCTAATCAAGCATGAAAGAACATGGAGATCATTATAACTAGAACAGGAAACAAAGTAGATGGTGTACCATAATTGAAAGTGGGACTTCAAGAAAATCAAAAATGGCTAGAACAAACTGAGTAATCATTGTCATGGCCTGGACCTGTTACAAAATTATGTTTCAATGAGAATGTAAACATAGCCAATATGAACAACAGTGGCTACCACCTGGACTTCCTGAAAACTTTTATAGAGAGTTCAGATTATTTTCACCTATATTACAGATGCGTGCATGTTTTATTCAACCTGCTAAAGCCTAGACATGAGGAGAGCTACAACTATGAACAAAGAAATATATTTTATATCAATGACCCATTTCTCCTTACCCGGCTCTCCTTTATTTTTATTCAAACTGAACTACAGACGATATTTTCCAGTATTCGTTCATTCATTTAAAACCCTTTTTATGATTCTTCCTCAACACTGATTCCAGTGCAATTTACATAGCTAAACTGTGGTGTAGTGATTACAGTTCTGGACTAAAACTCAGGAGATCTGAGCTCTAATCTCATTTCAGCAATAAAGCTCACTAGATGACTTTGGGTCAGTTATGAAGACAAAATGCAGAGAAAGAGGGCTATATAAGCCACCTTGGGTTCCTTGCAAGACAAAAAAAAAGGTGGAATAGAAAAGTAATGTCATAATAGTAGAATGTAATCTCACTACAAAAACAAACCCTCAAGCCAGAAAGAAGTACTATGAAAGTGACTGCTTACCTGTAGGTAAATTCAACTTGGATTCTTTGACTGCACCAACTTTACCATAGGTCAGATTTGGTGACCTTCCAGTCGCTGGAGAACTCAAGGAAATGCTTCTCCCATTGGCTCTCTGAGAAGGAACATAAGAAGCATTCTCAGCATTCTTGCTTTGATCATTTTGTTGGCAATTCCCTTTACCTTTAGGATTTGAAGTATGCATTGCTGCAAGAAATAACAGAAGAATCAACGTTTTCCCCAAACATGCAGTTAATCAGTGCTGCTCAACCTATAGGGCAGGGCCTTCTTGATACTATTGGACAATAAATCCCTGACAATTAGCTATCTGAGTTAGAGCTGATGAGTATTGCTGTCCAAAAGCATCTAAAATGTCATTGTTCCTCCAGTGGATACAAGGGAATGAATGTGATGTGCAATCCAAACCTTAAGTTCTTCCTTTTAATAGATTGCCTCTGATAATAAAATACCACCAAGTGAATTTATTACTCACATGCCTTTTTAACCTACTAAAAATGATTGCTCCAAATACCTTTGGCTATCAAAGGGGTTGCTGGGGGTTTGGCTTCTTCAGATATCCATTTCTTTTTCTTCCCTCCTTTAGAATGATGCTTCTTTAGGTTTTCAGTATGGCTTGTAGCTAAAGAAAAGCAACATGACAGGATTCTGCAGTTCAGTACTAGAGCAATGATAGAAACAAGGAGGACACATCTCACAGGGCTCACCCATACACCTCTTGTGGATCCACTGTTTGTGGCAAGGTATGGCCTGCATACCTTGATGGTCTGTGTCAACGAGGGAACATCTCTTCCGATAATTAAATAGTATAGCCTTACATGCATAACATGACTTCAACCAACATCCTGCCCTCAAACATTTTTCTGAGGTATAAATTGGTCCTATATGGTCTAACCCCAATAGCACAAGTGGCCTCTATAGTAGAAGCTCCTCTATTTATTGATTACCTAAATTTGTAATGAACTCTCATGGAATAGTAGAATTGGAAGGGGCCAGAAGGCCATCAGGTCCAACCCCCTGCTATTGTAGGACATTAAGTTACACCATCTCACTCAGATGACTGTCCAGATGCTTTCTGAACATCTCTAGTGAGAGAGAACTCAGAACTTCCCAAGGAAATAGGTTCCATTGTCGTACAGCTCTGACAGTGAGGAAATTCTTAAACCAGTCTAAATCTGGTTTCTTTTAACTTAACTCTGTTATTCTGTGTCCTGCACTCTGCAATGGATGACAAGAGGTCTTGTCCTTCTTCTTTGTGACAGCCTTTCAGGTACCTGCAGAGTGCTATCATATCACTCCTCAGTCTTCTCTTTTAGTTGCCTAGTTCTCTCAATCTTTCCTCACAGGAATTTGCTTTGATTCCCTGAATCATCCTTGTTGCCCTCCTCTTGACCCCTTCTATCTTTTCTGCATCTTTTCTGAGCCTCTCAAAGCATTTAACGGAAATACTAAAAATGTAACAATAAAAACACGACGAAATAATCATCAGTCATTTCTGGCCAAACTGGCTGACCCACTCCCAAGAGAAAGTCTGACTGGAAAAGTACGTCTTGAGCAGACTTCTAAAGATTAACAAAGAAGATACCTGCCTAATATCAATGAGGAAGGCATTCCAAAGGGCAGGTGCTACAACGCTAAATACTCTGTTATAAGTAATTCTATAGGTTTTAGGTATTATAAGTTTTACTTGTTAAAATGTTTTCATTTCTAATGCTGCTAAAATATTTTAATTTTAATGAAATTTTATGATGTTTTGACTGTTATAGTTTCTATTTTATTTTATTTATAGATTATTTTTCACTGCTCAGAAAGCTCCAGCTATTGGGCAGTATAGAAATATAAATAAATGCTTCTGAGGCAGATTGTCAGGAACATGTGGCACCATCAGAGGTGCTCCTTCAGAGAGCTGCAAAGATTAAATAGACAGTGTGGCCAATCCCTTTGGTAACAGACCTCAAATTGTTTAGGGCACTGTCTGCAAAACTCAGAATGATAAATTTGGCCTGGTTATTGGCAGCCAGTGCAGTTCTTTCCACAGAGGTGTAATGCACTCTCAAAAAGAGACCCATTAGTAGCCTAAGATCTGTGTTCTACACCAGCTACAGTTCCAGGCCAAGTCCACAGGTAGCCCCATAGGAAGTCCATTGCAGTAATCTAATCTGGAAGTTATATGTGCTTGAACCTGCTGGCATTTAACTACTGCCATGTAAGCCTCAGTGTCTGAGTGTCTCATAGATCTAATGAAATAACCTGGTCTGGACAACCTAACATCCCAATGTAGATAATTAACCCCTTTATGAATATGTGGGCTAGGAGCAGGGATTGCCACGGCTTCTCATGTTGCCCAAATCCAAGCAATGGGGATTATTTGAGAATTAAACAATCCTTTTATAACACACAGTCAATTTAGGTGTTATGAAAAGGCTGTTTTAGCCTCAAATAACTTTACCACCTAGGTTCGGATGACAAGAAAAGTCACAGCAGCACCCACCCAGACTTGCATATTCATAATGATGGACAGCAGCTGCTACAGCTCCTTATGCAAAAAATAAAGAAGCTTTTGTGTTGCCATTGTAACCAGAGAGCCAGTGCATTTTTTGAAGAAACTCACACCAACATAGCAGGCATCACCAAGAATAGCTGCAGATATGGAATGAGAAAGGGTATACAGGACCTTAGGCAAACGTCAGGCATGTCTGACAGCAGTTGATCACCCATGGTGTTCTTCCACATGCAGGCAGGGTGATCGAAGATCAGCATCACCAGGCAAATGCCAAAGCACTGTTACCACCACCACCACCACCACCACCACCACCACCCCTCAGAGCCCTGAGATCCTGCTGCTGCTTTTCAGTACTACTGCTTTACCTTTCCCATGGGGAGAAGCAGGCCCTGCACCAGCCTTTTGTCCCTGGGAGATGGCACAGACTGGACCCAGAGGGTCAGGCAGAGTAGTAACTGTGATGAAGCAGAGGAACTGCTGAAAAAACAGGGCCTGTGAGGTCATCTGGCTTAAGGGCCTCCCAAGCTGTTTATGAAGTTGCTCAAAAGATTCCTGGCTGTTATGCATGCCATAACAGAAAATAACAGACTGGATGTTAACTGTGACAAGAAAATGAAAGTTCCTGCCAGTACAGTTGAAATCTCTGACACATATTACAGACAACTCACAAAGACATCTTGCAAGAATGCAATTTCAAATTAAGAAAAACAATTTTAAGATAGATGAAGCATGAGCACCAAATACCTTTAACATTTGAACACTTCAGCATGGTAAATTCTTTTTCTCCATTGAACACTTTGTTTTGTATTCCTCCAACAAGTATATTTCTTTGTGGCAAATAACAATCACCTCCTGTAGAGAGACAGAAACGATGATAGAATTACCAGATTGAAAAATGAAAATGATTGACTATGATAATGACAACAACTTCACTAAAGGAGGTGGTAAATGGCAATGTACTCTAAAAACCACGTGATTATCTTCTTAACAGTTATTAACAACTGGAGAGGAGTACATCAAATAGCAAAAAAAGTAGATAAAGTTATTTAAAGACCTTTTTATTTAAGCGGCATTTTAAATGTTAATATTATTGAATTTTATCTGGCCAGGGCGGCTTATTTTATATTGTATGTTTGTGTTTTATTCTAATGTTTGCATTTTTAATTTATTTTATTGTTGTAAGCTGCCCCGACGCTTCGGCGAATGGGGCGGCATAAAAATGTTTTAATAAATAATAAATAAATAAATAAATAATAAACTAAATTGTGGCACGATGTTATGAACCTGTCTATTAAGACAACAATTCATAGGATCCAGTGTAAGTTCCAGATCACAGAATCATGCAATAGTAGATTGGAAAGGGTCATGAAGGCCATCGAGTCCAACCCCCTGCTGTTGCAGAACACCATGTTACCCCATCCTATTCAGACTTTCTGAATGTCTCTAGCGTGGGAGAGCCCACCACCTCTCTAGGCAGCTGGATCCACTGTCGCATTGCTCTGACAGTGAGGAAGCTCTTCCTGATGTCCAGCCTGAACCTGGGTTGTTGCAGCTTGACTTCATTATTCAAGATGCTACTATGCATGGCTTTAAAGTGGTGTAGTCATTGGAGTATCGGGATGGGACTTTGTAGACCTGTGTTCTAGTACCCTGCTGGTCATGAAGCTTGCTGGGTGACTTTGGACCAGTCTCTGGCTCTCAGCTTAACTCACCTCACAGGTTTGTAGAGAGAATACAATGAAAAGGAGCACCATATATACTATGCGGATTTCTTGTAAACATTCCAGTTTTCATTTTCTTATTTTTAAGCAAGTTACTAAAATCAAGACAGACAATGCTCAGAAAAAAATAGGAGACAGAAAAGGATTGTTAGGAGCAAGGCATTAGGATCTAACAAAAAAGAAAAGATAGGATAACATATATACAATTGTTAAATTTGCAAAATGATGTGTGAGGCTGACCACCAAAAACAGGTCACCTTGGGGAAAAAATGTGAGAGTGTGAGTGAGAGATTCCCACATGGTATGCTGTACTTATACAAATGAATTCAGTTTTTGTCTATTATGAGAATTTAAATAATGAAAGTGTGTTTTAAGTAAGTACCTCCATTTTCAAAGGCAGTAAGTTCAGATCTAGAGCTACTGTCTAAAGATGCTGTTATTTCTGTTTGCCTTTGTATAATATTAAACTTGGATAGAACTGCAATACCATCACCTAGAAAGGTAAAAGACAGAATCAATTAAATTAATTTAACTTTATCTGATAGTTTTTCCATAGTACAAGTATTACCAAAGCATTAATCAAGTTAATGTTTTATTACCTCAGCCCAACCACTCTGAGCATTACTGATCAGGCCACCCTACCCCTAATCATTACCAAGAGAATCTGTGCTTTGAACACATGAAAGACTCCATCAACTAAATGCTATGATTTCTTTATTCATGTATTCCTTACTTCAAACTCCCCAGTCATGGATTACATGGGATATTCAGGAATTCTATTTTTCTTCATTGCTCCTTAAAACCTCAGTTTGACAAAATCTTGAAACCAAGCTTTCCCACACAATTTGCTTACTTAAAGCACACCACAGGACTGCAGCTCCCGAGAGCGTCTCTAGAAATTAATGTGACCCTCAGGATGAAAGAGTCTCTCCACCCTTAACTTAGAAGTTCAGTATAACATACGAGTACAGCACAATTTCATGTTTGCTAACTTTGATGTACATTTCACTGGATTCATTTACCATTTTGCCCAAAAGACCAAAGCCTCACAGTGTTATGTACACTGGAAGCTCCCTTAAAGTAGGTTAGATTATTTACCCCTCCAGCTGAGTACTGTATATAATGAATGGCAGTGGATCTCTAGGTTCCAGGTGGATGGCTGGTCAAGTCTCAATTGGCTTTCCCATCACTTACTTCTTGGTACTTTTCACCAGTGATGCCACAGATTGAACATGGCATCTTTTACATGAAAAGTATATGCTTTGCTGCTCAGGTACATGATAATGAAGACTTCCAAATAAAATGTGGATAAACTTAAACCTATTTAAATTAAAAACCAGTAATATCTAAATGAACTAAATTTAAAATTTCGTTGTTCAAGTCCCCACCTTCTTGCAACTCTCTGCCAGTTTCCATGGGTTTCAAGAGCTCATTCTCCAGCATTGACGGTATGTTTTTTGTTGAGCAATTTTCCTGAGAAGTCTGAATCCTGTAGTATTCTCCTGATTTATCCACAGGAAGACAAAAGAGAAAGGGAATTTACCATAGTCATATCAACTGAAAAGAGTTGGGACATGTTTGAAGAATAAATAATTATGTCTTACCAGATTTGTAGCACATTTCTTTTATTGCTTTTTCTTCTTCTATGTCCTCTGGTGTCTTTGACAATAAGTAAGATGCATCTATAGGTAGGAATGTTAAATATTCTTCTTAGTAAGATCATTCTAGATTTCTTCCTGTACCATATACAGCATGACTCAACTGCAATTGCATTTGAAATATAAATTATAACTGACAGAGCTCCACATTAGTGTTGCTTTAAATGTAAAGTAACTGACTTCATTCCTTTTCTGCAGAATCACTGTGCCCTGTTCATAGTATGCAGGGAGCCATCCTATCGGATGCTTTAGATTTCTAGATCTGAATTTGGAGAAAGTGCTCTGACAATGTAGGTGGGAATTTGGATCCATTCTCCCGGCAGGCTCCCTTTTTGCAGCCTGCTTAAAGAGCCAGGATGGATGCCCCTCTGGAGTCAGAAAAGCAACTTCAGAGAAGAGGGAAAAGGCATGTTTGGGCGAGTGGAGAAGCCTGGAGAAGCCAGAATACATGCTCCTTCCCTTCTGCTCATAACACTTTTGCTAGAGGGGCAAAAAAGCCTATCTGGCAAAATACAAAACACAAGGATAAGAAGGTAAAATTGCCTCTGCTGCTACTCCTGCTCTGCATTAAATGAGTGCAAGCCCCTGGGTTTAGTACTTATGATCATCACAACAGGACTGAACCCTAAATAATATTTTGCCTGATGTTATATAGATGTATTACTTAAACATCTGCACCAACAATCCAGTTACAGTTGAAGGGGATGTTTTAGTCTAATTTACTAAACTTAATTTCATCACAGAAAATGATACTGAATTCAAAAGGGCTTTCTCTGCGGTGGCGCCCAATCTATGGAATGTGCTCCCCAGAGAGGTCCGCCTGGTGCCGCTGTTATTTGTTTTTCGGCGCCAGGTGAAGACCTTTTTATTTAAATGTCATTTTAATTGTTAACAATATTTACTTATTTATCTGGCCAGGGCGACTTCTTTTCTTTTTTTTCATAACTTTTCTTTTATAACTTCTTTTATATCATTTATATTTTTTTATTTATTTTATATTATTAATTTTAATTTTATATTGTTATTTTTATATTGTATTGTATTTTATTGTGTTGTAAGCCTCCCCGCGGCTTCGGCAAGGGGCGGCATAGAAATGTTCTAATAATAATAATAACAACAACAACAACAACAACATCTTTACCAAACAGTGTTATGACTATATTTCTGCATGCATATGATTGAATATAATGATAGAATCCATAATGATATAAGAGATCCTATTTTTGGGCAACCTTTTCTAGGAAGAGCCAAATTACTAGAAATAATCATTAGGAAAACTTGAATGTCTAATGAAGTATTTACATTTCTCTTCCTGTTCTTCATCGTCATCGTCCTCAAGATTGATGGTAATGATCAGTGGAGGATGAATAGGCCTTAATGTGCTTTCTTGACCTCTTGCACAATCTTGTTTTTGGGCAGGATGTAAAATCCCTTCTTGAACTTCCCTTTGCGACGTGGAATCTATAGGAAGGAATTTTAAGTTCAGTATAAAGCTTCTATTGAGTAAAAACTGTGAAGAACTAAATGCATTTAATTCGTTCACAAAAGGCAAGTGAATATAGGATTACAATCCTTGATCTAGTACACAGCCCAATAATTAATTAACAGTACAATGTTAGGTGAGTTTCTTCAGAAGTAATTTCCACTGTGCCTAATGGCACTTACACAATAGTGTATTTAGAATTGCAGACTAAATCAGAGTTAAATTGGAAGAAGCTATAAATCTTAAGAAAAGGCACACTTTATTTTAGATGATGCATAATATCATAAAGACATAATTTTAGAAGGAACATTTCACATCTTCTTACACATAAATGCACTTACCATTTATAGCTTTCAGAAATGCTTCAACTAAAACTAATTCATAACTCCCAAAAGTCTGTTAGTCAATCTATAACAACTTTTTAAATGTTCAAAATGTTTTAAATCTCCTTTTCAATTGTATACTGCAATTCTGGAGAAGATCTTAAGACCATTAACACAGTGAATGCTACTGTAGACATAGGAAATATGCAAAATATCTAGAATGAACCAAAGATAGTGATTATTTCAAAATCAGATGAAAGGCTTATATTTACTAACCTTTGGTTCCCAGTTCCAAGGTAGGAGTGCTGTCTCTCACCTCAGATCTGGGAATACAAACTATCCCAGGGCCCTTCAGATGCTGTCTAGGGCCATAGGATTACTTCCTATTTCACAATGACAGCAAAGCTTTATTAAAAGAGGAGGAAATGGGATACATTAGTCAAATGATCTAATATGTTATATAAACTGGGAGGGGAGAGACAAAGGTACAATAGCTAATTAGATATTAAGACTACTGCAAAGTATGACAACATTTATAGCTCTTAAAATGGCAGCAAAACATTGAGGTCTATGAATTAATAGTTATGAATTTTAAAATATTATATATTGAAAACTTCAATAATTTTTAATTTTTCGATTTATATCCTGCCTTTTTCCTACAAAGGGCTCAAGGCAGCTTACATCATTCTCCTCCATCTTATCCCCACAACAACAACCCTGTGAGGTAGGTTGGGCTGAGAGTCTGTGACTGGCCCAAAGTCACCCAGTTGGCTCCATGGCTGAGCAGGGACTAGAACCCAGGTCGCCCGAGTCCCAGTCCCACGCTCTTGACCACTACACCACACTGGCTCACTGGACCACATGATGAGTTGGAAAGATGCGAATATGTGTTACTATTTAATACAAGACTGGTACTATCTGAATACTGTAAAATTAGATATTATTTAAACATCTGGTTAAGAAATCAGGAGAAAGGGATTAAAGGTGCAATCCTATGGCCATTAGAGAAACTGCAGATGGCTCCAGCCTTGAAAACTCACTGGGATTCTGAATTTGGAGCCCTCCAGGCTTATAAGCTGGTATAGAATAAATGTCAGCTACTTGTCAGCTACAACTCTCAAGTTGAAAATCTTCAAAATTATAGTATACACTGAAGGCAGAGGAAAGACCAGATAGCATTCAACAATGGGAGAAACTGCTTGGAAAAATAGCATCAGATGAAATGTGATAATATATGTGGAATGCTATTATTAGATATGCAGCTATGAGGTAGCATCCAGCTGTGTCAGTCTGTTAGCACAAATGGCCTTGTACTAGTACACTAGCAGACACTAGCTTCTGAATTCAGCATAAGAAGAAAATCCAATGGAAGCAACATTTCTGCAAGAATGGTTGTAGAAGCGGTTGTGCTTTACACTTTTGCAACCTGTTGTGCAAAGGTGTCCCAATGCTTAATACGCAACCATGTAAATAAGAAAGATATGGTAGACCTCTACTAATGCCGTTTGAGTTTGCAGAATCACAGTGTTGGATACTGCCCTCTACATGTTGAACTGAAAATTCCGTTAAGCTTCTGATACAGCGGTACATGACTCTTTTGCGGTTATCCAAGAATTATGACTATTGTAAGGGTTAGGATTTAAATTATGAAAAGAGAAGAGCAGACTTTATGTGTTGTTGCTAAAATTGCTTTGAGGCAAGGAGGTTTTCAAATGGTATTATTTTTAATATTAGTTACATTAGTAGTATTTGCAATTTACTATGCCTTTTGATCATAGAAATGGCTTGTTAATGTCTTTGAAAGATGTAGTACAAAAGAACAGACAAAAACTACTATTTATGCAATTTTTACAGTATTTTTGTATGCCAAATATTGGAAAATAAATTCTTCAATAGGCAACACTATCCAATGAGGCTGCTCATATTTTGGTTATCAAAATGTTTTTTTCCCCCCAGATCACAAGAAAAGGAGGCTGAGATATCGCCAGGTTACTATATATGCAGGGGACACTGTCTCTTCTCCTCCCTAGTACACACACACAAATTTGCATCTGACCAGAGAACTGCAGCCAGGTGGGGGTTTTTTCCCCTGTGCCAGCTGTAAAGGCAGAAGGAAGGCTCTGATTTCAACAGGAATGGAAGACATTTAGAATGTTTTAGAAAGATAAGCACAGTGTAATACATGGTAATCCATTTCCTTTATTACTCGTACAATGTTGCACTGTTCAAGGATTATTTATGTCTATATGTTTTAGCGTGATAAGGTATTTGAAAAGCTTCATTGCATTTTAATGTTTAGGTGTTAGTATATTAATAAAATACCATAACATCTTTTCAAAATACATACATACATACATTTATTAATTTATTTATTTATTAAAAGCTTGTCTATCCCACTCTCTCACCAGAGTCTCAGGATGGTAATACAATAATACGGCACAGCATCAGAATCAACAAATAAACCCATTTGAAAGCAGTTTTAACCCTTAAAATACTGTAAAAATAAAAAAGGATTGTATTATTTGGAAATTGCTTCAAAATGCTTTTTGACTGTATGACACTATACAGAAATTTAATAAACTGAATTAACTGAACATTTACAGATCCCAAATGAAGAGGAAGGGGGTCCTAGTTACTCTTGACCACAATTGAAGTTATAGTAACAAACTGTCTTCTTAACAGGTTAAACAGAATCCTATATTATTATTGTACTGGTGCATCATAAGTAATTTATGAATTCTGACTTCAAATAGTATTTGCCATCATTTGAAAATGCTGCCTTCTTCTAGCATGATAACCTTCAAAACACTGGCTTCATTCTGATACACTTGGCCACAGGCAAGGGTGTATTGATATGTAAAAATCATTTTATGTTTTGTAACTTGGTGCTCTTTAATGTCTTAATACTATTATCTGGAGCATGTTTAAACATTTCTATTTTTTTCCCAGAATATGGGGAAATCATTTGTACTCACCGCTACTGGGTGGCAAAAAAAGTCCATTTATGTTACGAGGTTTCCTGTGATGGAAGACACAACTGATTCTCACACAGCCTAAAGGCTGTGTTTCCCAGAAACATGAAATGCTGTTGTATTTTTGCTATGGAAAACAAACAAAAAAGATTGCTCCACATTAATGATTGTAAAATACAATACAAAGCTATGATAGAACTCTCTATCTAAATAATAAAGAATAATGGCTAAGCAACAGAACTTAGCATTCCAAGAAAGCTTCACCTTTTATATTTTGCAGGATAATTCTGCACAGACATGAAGAGAGATCTACAAAAATGTGGTCTTACTGAAACTGTTTTGGGTTTTTCCAACAATTTCAGCATATACACTGAAGTTCACAACTTTGATTTCAAAACTGGTATCAAAAGCGAGTAAGTCTTTTGGTTGCTTTACATTACACATTTGATACAGATAGTGGGTTGGATCCAAAGATGCTTATGGAAGGACTGTTCTGTACCTCACACTACAGTGTGGTGTGGGAAAAGCTAAGCTAGATGAAAAGAAGCTTTTCAGCTTGTCCAAGTATAAGAACAGCTGTGGAACCTACCAATCACAGCACTGCATGAACTTTTGTTGACTTTTTTGTTTACATTAAATACTTTTTTGGATCCAGTTTGTGTGTGTTATCTGGAAATAAAGTATTGTTCTAGTTTCCTTTAAATCATTATGACTGTAATCAGGAATCCTTCAAAGCCAAAGAACAATTTGCCCATAAATTTAATAAGATTCAAGATTTTACTAAAAATGTCTCATTTCTTCCTCTGTGCTCTCTGTAGTATAAAAACCTTCTATTATCGCAGCACAATGAAGAATGTTACAGGTACAGAAAGCTGAATTAAAGTACAGATGGAGAGGCCCTTAAAATTCAATGAATTTGTTCAGCTTTTCAACCATTTGTTCAGCTTTTGAAGGTGTGAACCAGCACTATCTTTAGTTGATACAACTATTTCCAAAGCTGTTATGTGGGTGTCACAGGGACATTGCACTCCTTAGATGTGAAACCTGGATGTCAAATTTGCACTGGCAGGGGTGAGGAGACACCGTCTATCCATGCTTATAATAGCTGTATTTTAAGAGAGGCCACTTCAAAGAATTTGTAATTCCTACCTGTATTTCCATATGTCTAAATTTGCAAAGTTGATGGGAACATCTTCCCTCTCTCCATAATGAGCACACGGTGTCACTGCCAACGGCTTTTTCACAGTGACGATATCGGCACTTTGATCCCTGAACAGAGAAGAAAGAGGGGTTTGAAAACATGGCTGTGCTGTATTTCTGCACTTTAAATGCTTCTCTTAGCCACCTTTCTACTCAGACAACTCCAAGAATGGCTCTCATGAAAACAATTTCAAATATCAGAAACTCTATGTCAACACCAGTGGAAACACATTTGAACAATAAATTCAAAATAATGAATAAGACATGAAATTCAGTCAGTTTTGATAATAGGCTGGAAGAGCTAGAAAAATAAAATGCGCTATGCCGGGTGCTGGAAAGTCATCAGATTTGGTGTCAGGTGAGCCTTGCTGGGCACCACGTTCTACAACCAGGACAGCACAACTGTGAAAGAGCTGCCTCTGATGACCCCACCTAATTTCAGAAGGGAAGGGGATGCTGTTGATGCTTGAGACAGCTTATAAGGAAGAAGTTAATCTTTTAGCTCTGAGGGTTCCAAGCAGTTTAGCATACAGTAGTCTACGTATCCCACCTACTGCCCCTGCCACCTGTTATTATTCTTTTATAAAAGCCTAGGGCTACATTTGACCTTTAAGTCCAACATTACTGTGGTGGTATACTCCAAGCATAAGTCTTAGAACATTACATCATTGTCCCTAGTGATATGCCAACAGAGACCACAAATATATTAAAAGGCAGAACAAGTTTAAGTGGGACGAGATTACTGAACAGTGACTACTATCGTGCATTCTCCATGCAGCTGAACTAAATGGAACAGATATAGTAGGAGTACTGAATGTGCCTAGAAGCCACAATACCAATTAGTGAAGTCACTAAGAGGAGGTGCTGAAACAGAAGAGACAGAGCCAGGTTACACATGATGCTAAACCGATCACTCCCAATATTCGAATTCTTTTTGCTTATTTACGTGCAAATGATCCTTCCCTGCATTTTTACCTGAACTCTGAAAAAACTGTACTTTCAACGCTTTCACAGTTAAGTATAAGAAAAAAATGTGGGTACTAATGGGATCTTTTTCCCCATTGCTGATTGCAGCTGAATAGGGATGTACAAAATGTTTTCTTCCCATGGTATCTTCCCACAAAAAAAGTGGGGGGCACACTTAAAGTTAAAGCAAAAAAAAAAAAAAAAACCTAATAGAGTTTGAATTGATGCAATTAGCATCACATATAATCAGGCACAGAAAGAAGCAAATAGAAAGATGGGTGACAGCTTCTAGCTGGAACTAGCTGCAAATGGGATCCAGCCTTGGAAAATGCTCCCTAAGGATCTTCTGCCTCCTACAGAAGTCTCTGTTTGCTTCCAATCTACTCTGCTTGCATATTTGTAAATTTAAAAATAATTACAGAGGCATTGTAACTCTCCAGTGCTGTCTCATCCAAAGGAAATTAAAACCCTGTCACAATAGTCCAAAAACCCTAAACATTTTTACTGTTTAGCAATAGAAGCAGAAAGCATGAAACACTGGTCAGCAACAGAATGCTGTTTGCTCACCCGGAGAAACTGAGCTGGTAAGCAAATCATAGCACCCTGGAAACCAAAGCAATGCAGCAGCAGTTTGCGGACCTTCAAAGCAAGCTGAGGACTTTATAGAAGTGAAGAAGAATCTGGAGGCTGACCATGAAAATGTTACCTGAAAAACACTACAAAGGAGTCAGGGCTGATGCACAAAGTCAGCTGCAGAGCACTCGGTGAGGAGTGACTGAGCAGGTCCATTCAGTGGAGGAACGGCTGATGGGCTTAGATGGTTGCATGGCTAATCAACACCTGATCAAGAGTAGCTTCTCTGACTAGACCCTGCAACAGTGATGGGAGTGAAAAGCCAGAAGAGCAGACTCCCAAAATGAGGAAGATGCTGGGCAAACAAGTTTGCAGGAGTTAAAGCAGAAGACAGGGTAGACTACGGGTTAGTAAGTGCTTTCCCACCTTCTCAGCCTTACTCTTGGAGTGTAAAACAGGACAGCACTTTCTGCACACTCGCTGGTGGTCTGAAAAAAATCAAATTATTTTCTTGGTGGGTTGGGGCACAATCGAATTTCTGTTTTAAGCAACTGGATCACAGGAGCACTGTCAGAGGCTTCTTTTTAAACTGTGCAGTCTTACTTTCAACTATTTTTCTATCAACAGTGATCTTCCTCCATCAGGACAGGGCCTTTCATCCCACAGCAAGCAAAGGAGGAGGTGGGGATTAAAAAGAAGCCTGTAACTGTGCTACTGTTTTGCTAAAAACTGAAAACGTTAAGTCCCTATCCCTGAAAGTGCACCCCAAAATAATTATTTTTCCCTCAGGTTTCTTTACCTTTTCCAGTACCACTGCCCTTTTGCCTCTACAGTTCTCCTAAAATGTGCCAAAAACTACTAGCTGGAAGTGAGTAGAGAACTTCTTATAAACTAATGTTCAGGCATCTACAGCTGATGGGTTGCAGGGCGAGAGACAGAATCAATAAAGTTATGGGGTCAAAAGAGAAAGGGATGTCCATCTGTCTGGGTTTGACATCCTGCCCTGTATAAGCAATTGGGCTATTGGCCAGCAAGCGGTGGGATGGAGACAGCAAGCATGTCTTCCTAGGATGGAGACTCATCAGGTTGCGTAACTAGTTATGAGCTGGAAGACTATACAAGAGTGGCAGAAAGAGGAATAATTATCCTTTTCCCCAGGTAAAGTCTGTTTTTATTAATTTTAAATAAAATATCTTAACAAAATTCATGAGCTTTGTTTGTATTGACTCTGTAATGAACATGCAGTTATTCAATTTTATTGTATCATTTCATTTTTGTTTTGCACAGCACTTAAGAAGGACTAAAATATTTCAAAGAAAAAAAAACCTTTCATCAAAAAAAAAAAATCCATGCATGCAAGACAAGGTGGGGGACCTTGGCATAGCACTATTTTCTAGAGAGATAATTTGACTAGAAATATGCCTAGAAGGAATCCTGCAGATATGGGTTTCTACTCAGCCCCAGGACAAATAGAACAAAGCTCATCTGAGAGAATCTGCTTAATTAATTGCTGTTTTTTAGGACAGAATATTCTGGTCAGATTCCCTATAGCATGGGATGCCTACAGTGGACTAGTGTTCTTTTCAGAAAGCTCTTCTGAATGCATAGAGGGAAATCTAACATATCTCTGCCCCTCCTAATCATTTCAGTGAAACCCATTCATACTGAACAATGAAATACAGGGATTGGAAATGAGTAGTCTTCATTAAGGGAATTCTTACTAGTAGAGGAGAAAACAATAGGACCCTGAAGGAATTGTCATCTTCATATAAACACAGATGGTTCAGGTATTCCCCAGCTCTGAATAACCACATATCGTTGAAGTAAAGCTCTCTTTATCACTGACCATTGGCAATATTGGCTGGGGATGATGAGACTAACCATGTTACCCATAAGAAAAAGGGGGGAAAACCCTAAAACCAACATTACCATAATGCCTTAGTTTGGGTAGCAGATAAGTTACAAAATGAGATGCAGGCTTTCAAGATTTTCAGAATGCTTTATCAGGTGAGATGGTAGACAAATAAAAAATGGATGAGAAAGGAAAACATTGCTGATATGGATGATCCATGGAGCCAGCATTTAGCACAATGTTATATGCAAAGGGGCTGGAGACATTCAAATCAGGATCCATCAGGGTGCAGAGCTTAATTGGATGCTTACAGTCTGTACCTGAGACTCTCCCAGAGGTTTCTGGGAATGAGAAACAAAGTAAAGAAAAACTAGACAGGTTTTATATTAACAACACTACAAATAATTTTAGGTGGTGTACAAGATGAAGTCAGCAAATGAAGGCGAATTAAGTAGCTTTACCCAGTAGCTGGAGGGGATATGCTCTTGGAGAATAAAGTCACCACCTCATATGATCTAAGATCATCTTTCTTTACAGTTGGATCTTGCTGCTGAATGGTCAAATTTGATATTCTTTAGGTCACACAAAGCCAAGGTAGCTCTTTTGGTCAAAAGAAAATTTCCCCATTCCATAGCATCCTGATATCTTCATCAGGGCAACTCAGATTACATTTTTGTTAACAGAAAAATCCCTTTGTAATTTGTAAAGAACTAATGATGTATCGTAGTGCATGTTCTTAATTTCCCTTAGCATATTCAATTATCTTTTACATAGGAGGAGTTGCAGTCAAAAGCCAGCTTGCCATAGAAAACAAATCTGTCAGGGACAGGGGCAATGTTAAAAGGTTTTGATAATTCTTAACCCAGAATTGTAAATTGATTGTCATTAATGGAAGCTAATTAGTGTTTTGAATGAGGTACCCACTGAACTCCCTATCAGCAAAGCTGAGGGAGCAAAGAAACAGCAGTGAAGCAGTTTACAGTTGTCATTTTAATTAATGGGAAAGACAGATGAACAGCATTCCTGCAACTAACCATGGGTAGGCAGATAGAAACATCAAAAGAAGTCTGCAGTTTTTGAAATGGAAGATACTGCCAGAGACAGATACACAGCAAGCTGTGAATTTCAAGAGTTCACATGAAAAGATGGCGGAAACCGGATTTGCTCTGTACAAGTTGCCTTCCGGGTGCTCTTCTTCCTACTGTGGGAGGGCCTGTTTTCTTCGCTATGCAATAAAGCCACTATTTCAAAGACACTCTAAGTCTCCCGACGTCTATTACCCAAAGGAAACTAATGATGCACTCCTATACATACTTACCTGGGAGTATGTTCACCAAGTATAATAGGGTTTAGTTCTGAAAATAAATGCATCGGATTGTGCTCTAAAGCGAATAGCATTTTCCTTGAAAATGTCACACTTAAAGAGTGGGGAACACATAACGAAATCATACATGCAAGCCATTATACATTGTGCAAATATTTACCTTTATAGAGGTTGAATGGAAATAGCAATAGCAGTCATTCCCAACTTCTGCCATTGCCAGCTCTTGTGCTTCTATTCCACTGCCTACAGAATGTAAATTTAAGGTCTCTATGTAAATTTAAGAACTATCAACGTGTAAGGGAAGAACACTCCCTTTTGTTTTGAATGCAGCTGTATCCAGGATCTAAGTTCTATTTCCTCTTAAAGGGAGACTTCTAGTTGATAGTTTTATTCAAAAGGCTACATATACTAATTTTAAAACAGACGGTACCTTCTCCAGGTTTGTTGCAGTGCTCACAAATTGCATGTGGTTGCTAGACAGTGCGCAAATTCAAACTTCCAGAATTTCTTTCATTGTTACCTTAGTTCTTATGACATCATCACAAAGGACATCATACGACCCCTCAAACTGGGAGTGCTCGCTTATTTTCATTGCTCCTATGCATTTTAAAACAGGAAGAGGACAGCAATTTCCATGGAGTATGTTTTTCCTATTGCTCTAACACTATTATTAGCTTATCAAGCCAGAAAAATGCAATTAAGAAAGCATATGTAAATCACTTAATGAACAGAAGCATAGAGGTAGGAGTGGGGCAATTAAGAATATCAACCCTCTCCTCCTGCCCAAGAACTGCCTGTCCACTGGGGCCTCAACCTTTTTATTATGTTTGGCTCCTGGGCTTACGTGTAGCCATTGCTGTTGTTGACAGATTTATCTGCGGCACAGACTGCAATTAATAGCATGTGCCCAGAGGGTGACAATATTATGTCTGAGAATATCAGTGGTGTTCCTAGCAGGCAACATCCACTTTGTGCTAGATGCCTGGAGAGTGACAAGGATAAGAATTGCTGCTTCTCCCTCTCTCGCTCTCTCTCTCTCTCGGTCCCCATCCAGTCTAACTTTAGAGTTGATCCTAGTTCTTTGCTTGAAGCTGAACAACAGGTCTTGAAAAGGACATTACTTAGGAATGATTTCAGGTTAGGTTCCTGCCCATGTAGGAGATGGGCACAGGGCTAGAATAAGAATCCGGAATGGAATAAAACAGAACTTGGAGTGACTTACTGCTAGGGTAAAGCAGAACTGAGCAAAGAGAAGGGGATAGCAACACTGGCACTCGGTTGAAAAAAGGAAAGACTTTTTTTGACAGAAAATCAGGACTTAGATAAAATAATGAAGAAATAATAGTCCCTGGTTTTCTTAGTAGCTTTAGTATCCTTCCAGATCATCTGGTAAAGTCAGACAGATGACAATTCTTTGGAATGGTTTTGTTCATTCTAATCAGATTCCTACCACACAAGTTTCAGAAGGTAGTCATGGATGATTCACTCACCCCTCTGTTAAATATCCAGCCAAGTTCCACAGAGGTTTAATAAACATCTAATTCACTGAGGGAGACTATCAGTGTATATGGAATTCAGTAGCACTACTCTGTTGATGGTAGCAAATTAAATCTGTCATTTCCCTAGTCAGCCAGGAAAACCCCTGAATCCAGGGAAGAGTGGTAAGAATATGAATTGTGTGGAAGAGGTGAATAGCCTACTCTAGACATAATTTCATTCTGCTGAAGGAATAAATCGACATCTTAGACCTTTTCAAGAGCTGGCTATATTCCTGGATTCTCAAGTGAGGATGGTGACCAGTTTACCTATTATACCAGCTATACTCTCTCCTTGATTATCTGAACCTGGTAATTGCTGGATTTGATTAGTGAAGCACACTCTGTGTGATGGTCTTTTGAAAACAGGACAGAAACTTTAGCCCAACAGTTAGAATAGTAACTGCTGGCTGCAGGGACAAAATAATACCAATCCAAAAAGATCCAAAGGACCCGCCTGTCTGTTTCAGGGTTCATGTCACTTTTCAGACTCACATTGGGACAACTGAAGGAGTGTCTTCTGTTCTCTAAACTGCAGTAAAAGCAGCACTTTAGTGCAAAATCTGGAGTCTTTTAAACAATTCATGCTGTCAGGGCAGTGTTTGGGGGAAAAGTCCAGGGGAAACTTTGGCAGAAGACCAACAGGACCCTAAACCCAGCAAAGCTGTTTTACCGAATTTCAAAGTAAGTGAAAGTAAGCTGTATTGCCATCTAAACAGGGCAGCACTCACATTTCTCAGCAACTGGTAAACAGAGGCATGCTGCTTCTGAAACCAAAGGTAATAAATAACTATCTTAACTAGCAGCCACTGATAGCCTTATTCCTCCTCAATGTGTCCATTCCTCTTCTAAAAGCATCCCTAATTGGTGGCCATCATTACATCTTGTGGCAACAAATTCCATCATTTAAGAAAGTACAGTGTAAGGAAGTCCTTCTTTTTATCTGGCCTGGATCTCCCAACATTCAGCTTCTGAATATTATAATATTATAACAGAGGGAGAAACACTTCTTCCCACCTGTATATTATTTTGTATACCTCAAGACTACTGTGCAATATTGAGTTTAGATATGGGCTGGGACAGTGGCTAAATGTGAACCCAATATCCATTTACCTGGGAGTAAGTGGGATTTATTTCTGAATAGACTGTAAGTTTTCAAGCTGAAAAGCAGACATGGTTTATGAGGGATGTTGTTGCTTTGTAGGATAGATGCTTCTGAAAATCTATTAATTCTGCCCTTGTGGGTGTTTGCCTATGCCTGTGTAATGCCAGCTCCACTAAGACATCATAAAAAATAGACCATATAAAAGGCTGGTTCTGAATTTCTAAATATTACCGAAGGGGAGAACACAGAACCATACCAACTACAGCTATTTAGACTGCTTAATACAGCATCCAAGAAATGTTTACCCTAATGGCTCTTGTAGTTCAATGGCACCAGATGTTCCTTCCATAAATGAAATCATGAAGATGTCACCTGAAAAAAAGAAAGAAGCTGATTTTAAAATGTATTTGTGACTAGTCTCAGTGCTGCATGTGTTTAGTAATGAAAAGTATTTTAATAACAATATTACAATTCAGTCCATCCTTGACACGGGGAAAGGTGCACTTGTTTTTATGATATATGGATCATGAACAGGAAATTCACAATAGAATAGCAGATGAGAAGTAAATCACTTCCATTCAGCAGGCTGTACATTCTGACTTGTAAACACATATTCCTTTAGAACCCTTATATTCAGATTTCCAAGATTTGCCATCGTTTTTCCAAACAAGGAAAATCACCCAAAGTAGTATTCTATGCAGCAAAGAACAGTTTCAGATTTACTGAAGACTACCAACGATGTACTCAAATGCGCTCACACGCTCGCTCTCTCTCTGTTATATACATATAAAACAAACTAAAATTTTCAATCCAAAAGCAGCTATTACCAAGCAGCTGTCCTGGAGATAAACACTCAAGAATAAGACAATTTAGTATATAAAATAACATGAACACTCTTCTGGATCATGGGGAAATGGAGATGAGAAAATGATATATAATGGGAAAGCATTCTTGGAGAAAACAATTATGTGCAGATGGATAGAAATTCGGAGGGTTTTTTTAAAAAATATTTGCATCTGCATCAACAGAGGATGATTCTTGAGTCAGCTCAACCAAGTGGGACTGCTTTATTCATTACAAGAGCCACAGATCATCATCAAGATATGTTTTTGCATGCTGAGGATTCTGTATAAAGGACTTAAGAGGCTAACTAAGCATACAGGCGCTACTGTGCCAGGTTTCCAAACCATCATTGCACATACCTAGTGGTGGGTGGTGCTGACATGGAAATTCTAGATGATGGTACTAAGGCTGTAATCCCAGAAAGTGGTTACCAGATGCATGGTTCATGTCCGAATATAGCGAAATGTCTGCACTTCAGACAGCACAACTCTTTCTCCCCCCCCCCCCAAACTCTGATACTATTTAAAATCCATTTAAAACAAAAGTGTTAATGAAGCAGAAATGAAATGGACTAGCAGGCTGTGCCTTTAACAGAGACTTTAACTCTCCATAACAGCTCGTGCATTGGATGAAGGGGGACAGCATCTCCTTCCAGGAAAATGTATGCAGAACAAATGCATTGTCTTTTGATGCTTTCGTTAGGATAAAGTAACACGGTTATCCTTCGAAAAAGCCTTCCCCAGCCTGAAGCCCTCCAGATGTATCAGGCTACAACTCGCTGCATGTTCCAACCAGGCTGACTTCTGACTGGCGCATGCTAGGAATTGTAGTCCAACCCATCTGGAGGGCGTCAAGTTGGAAAAGGCTGCTCTGGAATGTGCGAGAACGGTGCATGCACGAGAACTGTCCTTTTGAATAACTGGAACCCACCCACTGCCAAACAAACCGAACTCCTGGAGTCTCACTCCACAAATTAGGGAGCAATCCTGTGCCCGCTTCGTCGGGGAAAGTCCTACATTTCCCAGCATGCCCTAGCAGGGCAGAGGATTATGCCCTGCGCCAGGCGTCTGTGTCTTTCTCTCGCGCACACCCGCTCCTCTTCTCCGTGCCCAACTACATTTCCCAGCAGTCCTTTCGGTAAGGCCTACCAGTGCTGCTGCTCCGTCGGTGGAGACAGGCTCCGGGCCGGAGAGCGGCTGCTATTATTAATCGACGTTCGAGAGCGGCCACGGCCTTTGGTGGGGTCGGCGCCTGCGGGACGCGAGGCCATGAGCCGCCTGGGCTCGGTGCAGCAGAAGGTCCCTTGCCTGTTTGTAACTCAGGTGAAGCAGGAGCCCTCGGCCAAGCGGGAGCGCCAAGTAGGTGCTAGGGACGGGGGTTGCAACTGCCTGCAGCCGAGGGTCAGCCCCGCAGCTGCCGGGAAGGGTGGAGGCGGCGGCGGACGAGACGTTTCTGAGCCGGTCCCGGGGTTCAGGATGACCCCAAACGATGCTTCAGGGGAGCCAGCCTTTGCTGGGACGGTGGAAGGAATCTTCTCTTGCAGCCCGTCGGGAGGATGATGGTTAGGCAGGCATTGCCACCTGTGCTTTATTCCTTCCGCCTTGTTTTTGCACCACACCTGAAACCACCGTGCGCGGAGACGGAGCGCGCTCTTATCCCAGGCCACACGCGAGGGCGGTCGCTTCATTTGTTCGAAAAATTCCCGTGTACGCAAGCCAGGCTGCAGCCCAGTGGATGCACGTAACGCGCACCCTGTGTGCGTTGCATGTCTCCTACACCCAAGCCCTTTCCTAGAGGCATGTCTTCACGTGTGGAAAGCTGGATTCCCATCTCCCCTTTTCACTGCAAGAGAATGCTCGCGAGCTTCAGCTAGTCTTCTGCCCCTTGACTGGACTGTGCTATTAGTTATGTAGGGGCAATAGTTTAAGTGTTGCTGCTGCTCAGCTTGCATAAAAACTTTTAGTACAGATAACAGATTATTAAACCACTGCCACCCCCTTTTTATGGGACTGGGTCTTACTCAAAACATCCAAACCTCATTTAACACTGATTGGGTTCAAACAGCATTATAACCCACAGTCATTGTGGCTAATTCTTGAACTATGGGTTTTGTTAAAACATGGGTTGTGTTGTTTGAACCCAGCTGTTGACCAAATGGTCCTAGTCCTGGTGTGCATATGCCCAAAATACACTACAGAGAAAAGTTTTTTTTTTAAATATTTATTTTTGAAAATAAGCAGCAACAAACTAATCACTCTGCTCACTACCTGAGCAGTCCTCAGTTGGCCCTTTTATCATTAAAGGGTTACACTTAACACAGTTAACACTTTCCAATAGGTTACAGAAGTAAAAAGTTATAATAGCTTGATCTTTCTTACTTGCATATCAAAGAAGATGCTCTGAAGAAGGGAAGGGGTTGGTGTGACTTGCCCTTCATTTGAGCTGCTGTTATCTGTCAAGTGCCCACTATCTTTCTCTGGACTGGTGCCTGGTTAGTGTCAGATGCACTTCAAGGATGCACACATGCTGATTTCTAGAAAATAGGTTTTTCTCAAGCCCGGTTATGTGTCAATAATGGCATGATTTAACCAATTAATGTTATACCTATTGATTTGTACATTACAGCTGAGATAGCAAACCATGGTGAACAATCCACTGTTCACAACAACAAACCGTGGGTTCTCTTTGTGAGTTGCTCATGCTTAACAAGCCATGCTTTGTTAGCAAAGCTTGGTTCAGACACAATGATAACCCATACTCAAGAGCTGAGTGTGGATTGTTGAGCCATGTATTATTACTATGTTGTCTGAATCCAGATTAACTAATATGCCATGGCTTATCAACCTATAAAGAGAGCCCATGTGATGAACAAATCAGTAGCTGTAAAATTATATAAATAAATTATGCAATCATTGCCAAAAAGCTAGACACTGCTGGCTAGAGGAAGATCTATTTTTAGAGCAGCAGCATATGATTTCCCTGAACTGTTCAGGTGGTATCTCAAAGTAGCCCAGTTGACACATGATGATAGCAGCTAGAACAAAAGAGTAATTGACACTTTTTTCCCCATCTCCAGAATAACACTTCATCCTTCCTCCATCTCTGAGGGACATTCTCTCCCACCTTTAGAACATATTTTTCCACTTTGATATGCAGGGAAGAAGTCACACCAATTGTAACTATACCTCTGTAGCCTATTAGAAAGTGTTAACTGTATTACATGTAACCCTTTAATGGACTAATGTGTAAAAAGGAAACCTGAGAAATGCTTGGTGCACACCACAATGATTTGTTGGCAGCCAGTTATTTTGGAAAATAAATCTTTTAAAGAAAACATTCTCCTGTTGTGCAGTTTGGACATTGTACACATCAGGACACAGACCTGTTTTGGTTAATACTTGGATTATTGTTGGGTTGTGAATGGTGGGATATTCACCACAGTTTGTTAGCCAGGTTCAGACAGTAGCCTTGGTTGCCACAACAATTTACAGTTTAACCCATACTCAAGCCCTGAGTGTGGGTCATCATGTTGTTCAAACCCAGTCACTAACTGTATACTTTTAAAAAAAACCTGATACAGGAGTGTTATGTTTGTTTTCAACATTTTGTATTCTTTAGAGGGGTGATTGCCTGTTTTTTCTGCTAAGTATAATTTGAAATTAAAGTAAGTTAACTGAGAAAGTTCCCTAATAACTCTTAATTTATCAGGCTCTCAGAAGCAATTTAAAAGTAGTTATTGCTTATCCTTTGTAATGTTAATACATCTTACTTTTTATACACTTAATGAAGCAAAAAGGTTAACATTTGGGCAAATGCCTTTCACAGTGTAAAAACCTTTAACATTACCCTCCTGATGTTAGCACAATAAACATATCCACTTACCATTATTTTGTTGGCAATGTAGCTTGTAATTTCAAACTGAAGCTAGAGAGCAACGGTTGTTCCCTTGATAAATGATGCATGGAATCTCTGTTGCCGTGGTTATTGTACCTTTTAAGATTCCGAATCTGTCAAAATGGAGAAGCACATGGTATTCCTATTGGATCATCTTCTGAAAATGACTTAAAACTCTTTTCTTTTTTTAATACATATTGAGAATTATACTGTTTTATGAAATAATCCAGGTATTGCTAATAAAAAATATTGCTAATTTGTTTTTTTACCTCCCTGATAGTTCTTAACTTATAGAAAATTATACTTTCAAAGCAGTTTATAATGACCTTTTTCTTCCTCAGCCTTTTAAAGTGTTGGCCACTGAAACGATTAATCAGAAGGCATTAGATGCAGATATATACAATGCAATTCCAACAGAAAAAGTGGATGGAACTTGCTGTTATATAGCGACATACAAAGGTAACGTAGAAAGCCTTTATTAAGTCTTATAGTATAGCATCAGTATGCTATATAAAAATCAAATTATAAGTATTAGTCTCATTGTAGGCATGTGGAAGAGAGTATACAACTGCTAGTAGAAGGGCACTGTTAGGCTTTTGTTGATGACCTGAAGCTAAGGGCTAGCTTAAGCAGCCCCTGTTCATTTACTCAGGATGAGGGCACCTGGCCCTTTGGTTCTTCTGTAATAACTTTCAGTAATAGAATGAGAACTTTCTAGCCACATTTTACTTGGCAAAAAGGACTGGCTGTGTTCTTTCTCATGCAGATAATATGTGACTATCAACCTGTATGCAAGTTTGTACACAAGAATCTTAGCTGTTAGGTTCCAGGTGGGGCTTCTTGTGGCAAAAACACCATATATGACCCAATCTAGTGCTAGAGCTTGACCATACATTTTCTGTAATGCTATTACTTATGACATATATGACTTAAGGCCATTACTTATGACTTGCAGACTGTTGATGCAAGTAGCCTTACAGCTGTGTTGTTACCAAATAACAACTAGCAGCAGCCAAAGCAGCATGGTTCCTATGCAGGAGCAGTGAGGTTGGAAGAATAACAGGCATTTGAATTATATTACAGGTAGACTGGTAACTGGTATATCTAAATTTTTATCTATTCTACATGAAATGTATTTTCAGCCCTGGTAAAGCTGGCTTGGAACAGACTTCAGCTTCCAGGAGAGCATCCCATTGACCACAGAAGTTCCTATTCTGAGGCCACAGGCACTGCATTCCAGTCCCCTTCCCATTACTGCTGCCATGGAAAGAGCCATGTCTGCTGTTTTACAAAGTTGCAAAAGTGCCTGGTAGAGGTTAGAAAAGTGGTGCAGTGATGGGGCAGTGGGGGGGGGGGCAGAGAAGATACAATGGATCTTATGGGCTGCCCAGCCCCAGGAGTTCTCTGTCCAGTATGACTTCTCTAGGCAAGCTGATATCCCCCATCTAAAAAAAGGCAAAACAGAAGACAGTGGTGAAAAGGCCTCCATCCCTCCTCCTAGCAGCTTGCTAGAGGCTCAGAAGCCTCTGGGTGCTGCCTTGGGAAGGAGTAATCTAGAAGACTGAGCCATGAAGTACTGGTCTCTTCCTGAACTATTTGCCTTGACAGAGCTTGAGTACAGAAATTAGTATTGCTGAAATAGGGCCAAAACATCTGAAAGCAGTTTATCCATAAAATAGACCACGTTGATATAAAGTTCTCAGTGCCTTCATTTTCTCTTGCTCCTTTTAATTGCTTAATTAATTTTTCCATGAGTGAATATGCCTTCTGTTGCTGTGCCTTAGTTCCATTAGGAGTGCTGTGTTTTAGATCCATGACTTAGTTATAACTTCGCTAACTCCTATAAGTAGACAGACAGAATTCCTTGTATAGCACCTATTTATTTGTGTTTTGTTATTTCTAATGAACTTACTTAATGATTTCAACAATAACAAAAGAGGATGTTGGGTAAGCTGTATTTTTACAAGTTCAACTTGACATGACCCCACCTGCCGATATCTGATGGTCATAGGGTTATTTGGGAATTAGTAGTTTTGTGCCTTTTTTCCCAACTACACTAATTCACTGTAAAGCTTGTTACTTCACTGGTGCTACAGTCACCATGCACTGCTCTTAAGGAGTTGTACATGCTTTAGGATTGCTCACATAGAGTATATAGGCTATGAAATGTGCATTTCTCTTACATGAATGCCAATCTTGAAAATCTCTTTATATTCAGAGCAGCAAAAAAGTGAGAGAGTCCATGTGAAAAATGTTGTCAGCTTGATAAATAATTGCCCTTAAATAATCAAAATTGCATTACAGTACAAAGGGCATAATCCAACGAAAGCCATATGATTCAGTTCTAGGCCTACTTAAGAGTAAATCCTATTGCAGTTAGGAGGATTAACATGCATATAATCAGGTTTTACACCCCATCTATTTTGATAAGCAAGGTTTAGCACCTCTTCCAGTGAAATCAGTGGAACTCAAATTTTGTGACCATGGACATCTGTTTTTAAACTATTCTGCAAAATATGCAGGTTTAAAAGATTACATATTGAAAATTGCTTAAATAGAATCATAGAATCTATAGTCATAGATTCATATAATTGAGAATAGTCTGGGTAGTTTCTGTTAATATGTGTTCAACTTATGAGACTGATCAGCAATCTTAGTGTGACACCAATGACATACATACAGGATGGGTTCCCCCTTGGTTTCATACTTTACAGAGTTAACAATAGTTATTGAAAAGCTTGTTGTTGTTGTTCAGTAGGAAAACCTGTTATTTACTATAATCTGATTTTATACTATAGGGCAGCCTTACCTTTGGGCCCGATTGGATAGAAAAGCCAATAAGCAAGCTGAAAAAAGGTTTAAACGTTTTTTGTACTCAGCAGACAACTCAAAAGGTTTGTGATGATGTTTCTGGTAATTAAAATCTTCTGTAAACTGAAGTGGCGGCAAATAAGGCTGGACCAAATGAACTTACTATTCCTATACCATTTTTCCCCCATCCGGCCATCTCTAGTTCTCTCTCTTCTTATTTTCCACGGCCTGAAATTGACTGGAATATCAATTTTTTTTAGGAGGAAGTTATGCTGGATGAAAGGGAATGCAGCAGCTGGATAGGCTTCAAAAGTTTTTCTGGGTTTCAGGATCTGAGAAGATAATGGATGGGTGAGAGGATGAGAGTGAGCTTCTGCTTCACCTTGCTAGTGAAAAGAGCAACATTCTTCTGAAAGCAAAGTGGCCGATAACAGAGTAGTGGAAGTACATCCAACTTGAATGGGCATTAAGCAGTAGAAATGCCCAAAGGCACCATGGGTCCAGGAAGGCCGGAGAGAGGGAAAGCAGGGAAAAAAACACATGTTTTTGTTTAAATAAATACTGAGCCATGAGGCAGCAGCACCCACTGACTGAATATGGCTCACAAAACATTCTTTTCACTAAACTAAAGTGATTATCTTTATTAGATAAAACTGTTGTTCTTGCAGTACATAGATGTTCAATCTTATAAAAGTATATTTCACATTCTTGCTTGCAGGATTTACTTGGAATATTGAAGAAGACTTCAGGCCTGTTCCTGAGTCCTGGATTCCAGCAAAGGAAATAAAGCATTGCAATGGAAAGCCCTTTCCAGATGAAAATGGGCATATTCCAGGTAGAAATATCCAGTGTTACACCAGGCAACATCTGGTGTACGATTAGTTGCAATTATCATGCAACTAATTGCCCAGAAACCTTTTTTAAACAGAATAGCCTAAAATGATATAAATAAACAGTTGGCAATGCTGGTGAGATAGCTAATAAAGTATATGCATGTGTGGGTTAGCTCTTATTTGGAAAACTTTCAGTTTCATGATTGTCTAGATTATACTGGAGTGGAATTTTATATCAAAATGATTTTTGTTTAGTTTCCTTATCCTAACAAGTGAAATACACATGAGGTGTAGAGCATTTCCATTATCTGATCTGTGATGGTTGTTGAACCATCCAAAGCCCAACTTGCATGCATACCTGGAATAAAAACACAAGGGAAAGAAGTTTTTCAATACTTCATATTTGTGGAATACTGTGCTACCTGGGCTATCAATTTCCATCGTTGCTGGCCTTTTAAAAGGTCCTTGATAACTTGTTTTGCATTACTCTTTCATACTTGGCCACTGTCGGCACTTTTATAGAAATGTGGCTCTTAGTTTTATTCATTTATGTTACTGTTTTATTGGGCTAGATACTATTGCTCAGGTTAATATTTTTGCATGATGCTTGGTTTATGTATTGTATTTACGTATATTGGAACCACCTTAGGACGATTTTTACCCTGAAAGATAGTCTATAAATATTATAAATTAATTAATCAAGAAAAAATAGAGTTCATATCAGTTTAATGCTTTTGTGCAATAAATAAACTTAACAGGAAAAACATCTTTTTCTTTTTGTATAGGTTGGGTGCCAGTGGAGAAAAACAGCAAGCAATACTGCTGGCACACAACTGTTGTTGACTATGACATGGAATTAGCTCTTGTTCTCAAGCAGTGCACTGAGGACCCTGGTCTTCTGGAAATCAGTCCAGTTCCCTTATCCAGCTTTTCAGAGCAGACACTGGAGCTTATTGGAACAAACATCAATGCAAACCCATATGGTAAGCATATCCTGTTTTCATCAACCTAGCTATTGTAACGGATACTTCACACGTAGCATAATAAATGCACTATACTGTAATTATGAATGTAATATTGTAGAAGTAAGTGCTCCGAAGCCTTTTGACAAGCACACATATAAGGATGTAGGCTACTGGATGTGTTTACTACTAAAATGTTGATGATGGTTATGGTGATAATTGGCTGGGCTGCACTGATGTTGCAGAGGCATGGCAGGGCAAAATGCCACTTTTCTAAAAAAAAGTATATATGGAAAAACTTAAAAAGGAAGACTGGGGCCTGTAGAAGCAGAAGCCAGAAACCTAAGAAGTAGGTTCGAAGGTTAAGAAATGAAGATGGAGTTTGGAAGAAATGTCAGGAATTTCTGTAATAAAATGGGGAAAAAAGTTGTGTTTTGAATATTTTGATAGGTTTAGGAAACAAGAAACATCCTATACACCTTCTTGTCCCACATGGAACATTTCAGATAAAAAATGCACCTGCACTGAATCACAGTGACATACTGGCGTGGCTTGATGGATGCAAAGAGGGGAAAATTGAAGGGATCGTATGGCATTGTGCTGAAGGAAATTTAATCAAGGTAATCCTGGAAGCTTTTCCTGAAAGTAGCCAACATTATCACTTTCATATGCAAAAGTTATCAGTGTAGTAGCACTAACATGTCAGTTTATTGAAAGCACTGTTTGTTTAGAGAAAAAAATAATTTTCACCCAATATTGGTATCAATTCTGTCCCACCCAGTCTGGCTAGTGGGCATGGATGATGGGAATTGTAGCCCTAAACCTCTCAAGGGCACCAGGTTGGAGAATACTACATTAGCTTATCAAGTCAGCTGTTGTATGGATTTGCTTACATTGCTTTGCTTGTCTTGTACACCTCTTTCTATAAGAAGTTGTTGGATTGTGTGCCCAAGTAAGACAGTGCATGCAGGTTATGATCAGATACTTAATGTCAATAGTTTGTGTTTCCTTTTCTTTATAGCTTCATCGGTATCATCTTGGGTTGACCTGGCCGATTCCAGACCCTTATTTGATTTCTCAGCCAGTTGTTGTCAACTTTAGTGGGGCCAAGTATGACTGTAATTTTGAACCGAAGACACTTTTTTATTATTTTTCAAAGTTAGAGGGACAAAGATTCAACAGTCTCAGAGATATAAGTGATCTGTGTCCAGATTTCTTAAGTCTGTAGGACTTCACATTCCTTTTTAATGAGAGTGTTTATATATTTGTTTTTGTTGTGATGCAGTGTAAATAGTATTTATTATATACTTGGCTTAACAGCCACGTGTATACATAACAAATGCTGCTGTTTATGTAGCAAAATAGCCATAAACGAAATTCTAAACTTTTGGGTACTTATTTATAATGTTGCAGTCCTCCAAGGTAGTGTGCAAAATATTTCTTAATGAAGCACTAAGGACTAAGTACTGGGAGTACCATAGTTTTTATCTTGAAGACAGTATATGGTTGCATCATTTTCAGGTATTCTGATAGTCTAATGTACAGACACATTTATTCTAGCAATGTAAAACCAGAATATTTAAATTTAGTAATAGTTGGGACTGTGTTAATGAAATCAGAAGAAACCTGTCAAAAGGCTATTGGTCTGCACCTATTTAATACCTTTAGGGCAATTATTCTGTATTTTATACCCTGCTATAGATACTGGTATAAAAAACAAGTTGAAAAGAGCAGAATATATAAATATTAAGCTTCCCCTTCAAATACACAGAAGCCATGGTTTTTTTAAAGGTCTGATTCTTTGGCTCTTTTTTCCCCTGGAGTGGAACAGCATTGACACATAACTAAGGTGTTATCCATGATTTATATGTGGGTGTTCATACGAAATTCAAAATGTAATCCAGGAAGCCACAACCAGTTTTCATATTTGTTTCAAAATGTTTTGAATAATGGGCATCTGCGTTTCTTTTAGAATGTGTTTGTTACAAGGCTGTATTCTTAGCTGAAATAATGCCGTAATTTCATCTTCCTTAGGACTGTGAACTATATCCAGTGTCATATGAGCACATTTCTTCTTCGTCTCACTCTGCATCCTTTCACATTGATTGGTGGGGTGGGGGGTGGGGAGAGTACCTCTTCCACTGGTCAGCTGACAAGATATAACCAAAATTTGGTCTTGTTCATGAAAACCAGAATAACACAAAATAAAATGGATTGTAGAATTTTATTAGATAAAGCCCATATGACTTGGTTGTCATTTTTAGTTTAAAAGGTTTAAGATGGGGTAAATGTTAAACTACAACTTGTTTGCCATATAGTAAACATAGAAAAATAAAGAATTTCTGAACTGCATTCAGTGTATTCCTTCTGTGCAAAAAGTTCAGTGGAAAATCTACAAAAATAATATTGAAAACGTAATAAATTAGCACTATACGATACAAATGCACATGCACACATGTATATACACCCCCAACTTTATAGTAGTGTAATCCCTTTATCACTTACTTTTATACTTCCATACTTGTCAAGTTAATCAGGGAGATGTTTGGTTTCAAGAGCTAAGAAGAACTATATGATAGTTAGCTGTACACTATTGACACTTGCTGAAGTAGTAGAAAAGGGTTGGCTTGACCCCCTGGTATATGACAAATAGGAGCAAAAATACTATTTCATACCAAGGCATCATTATGTCCAAATGAACAGCACTTGCAGGCTTATTCAAGGAACCAAGTTCCTTAATCAATAGAAACTCTGGCTGGAATATCTACTTGAACACCTAGTTGTTCAGAAAGTGTTTTCAGTTTTTCTTCCAAGATAATATTCTTTTTTACTTCTTCATTGTAGTTGTATTTTAGATCCTCAATTTCTTCAAAGAAGGATGGATCAAAGTGCTCCAGTTCATTTTTCAGCTTTCTAACTTCATCCTAATGAGAAATAGAAAAACTTTATACATTGCATTTTGAATCTAATATAAAATGAAGACAGCAAACATAATTGAAAAAAATCCATCCAGAGTTAAGTACTATTAAGTTCCATTGATTTTAATGAGAATATTATACTCTATTTAACACTATCTAGATATCAACAGGACAGAAATGTTTATAGGTATCCCATGCCCTATGAGTTAAAAAAACGGTAGAATTTCATTACTTCCATTCAGACATTTATAATGCAATCCTGTGGCTGCTAATAAGTCTAGATGGCCACAGGATGATTTATGGAGTCCCAGTTCCAATCTCAGAAGTGCTCCAAGGGTAGAGGTGGGCTCCGAATTCAGGGTGAATGTCCTCTGTCCTCATAGCTGGCACAGTTACTTCTGTGCTAGCAGTGGCTCTTAAGGTTGCTAGACTGATGTGCGAGCGGTTTTTTTTTTTTTTTTTGGAAGGGGGTGCACAAAGCTGCTCTGGCCTACAAGAAATTGTGGCAATACCTCCAAGCTATGCTTCTCACAAGTTTCTTGCCTCCATGCTCCTTTCATACTCCATTGCATCCCTGTAAATTTGGAGGGTTTTGAGGAGCCACATTGGACAGTACCCTTAGAAAGTTAAGATCTACTTTAACCTTCACCAACTTGGTGCCCCCCAGCAATTCCCATCATCCTTGACCATGGGCCGTGCTAGCTAGGACTAATGAAAGTTCGTGCAAAACAACAGGAGGTTATTTCATTAGAGAAGGCTGAAATACGTTATTGTTGTGTTGAGTAAGAATGCTGGAGTAAAAACCATTTTGCACAATTTCACTAAAGTTTTAACAGCATGCACACAATGACTTTGTCAGAATAAAATGAAACTGGTTACATCTGGCCTATACCTATTCTTTTTTTATTTCTTTTGTGAAAATTTGCTATCCTAAATGGGGGGAAATTCACTTGACCTTAAAGTGTAGGAAAAAAAAAAACTGGCTGGTGGAATGCCTAGTGAGGAAAGACTGTCTAGGTATGCATGTCATGATCCACTTTCAGGCAAATCAGGTGGGTGGTGATGCAGAAAGGAGTGAATTCCCCTGCTGCCCTTCTCACATGTGATTGGGGAAGGCAAGAATCAGCTGGGCAGTGATGCCCACCTGGGGGCTATATGCCTCAGCAAATTTCCATCTGATCTCCATTTTTCCTTAGGCCTGTCAGACCTCCCCAAACAAGGAGCCATTGGGGATGCCTCTCTAGCAAGCCAGAGCAAGAAAGGGCCCCAGTGTCACCCCTCCCTCATTGCTGCCACTTGCCTGAAGGGCAATGGGTGGGCACTAGGTTGGAGACACATCCTCAAGCAGGAACAATAAAAAGGGATAAGCATGGAATCAGTGGAGTGGCAGAGCCCCCAACTGATTCCTGCCCCCACACTAGTGTGTGTGTGTGTGGGGGGGGGAAATCAGCTGATTACCTACGCCTCCCCCAAAGATCTTGACTGCAGGAGACAGGCCATGTGGGGGTGCCCCTGCCAGTTGTCCAAGATGCAGCTGTCAGTGGCAGTCTCTGGCTAGCCACAGGGCAAGAGTGGCAACGGACTGTTTTTGTCACGCAGCTCTCTGGTACTGGCGTTGGTACCATGATGACTTTTCCAGGTTTGGGCTACACAACAAGCCATCATGGTTCTGAAAAACCATAGAATAGGCCATTTGTGTTTGAGGTTTCTAAAAACCAGATGTAACACCATGAAATAACATGACAAGGTTTGGACAACATCACAGACAAACACTGGTAACACAAACAAACAAACCACCACAGATTGTGTCATGTGAACCTGCCCAGTGTGTAAAACTGCTCTGCTTCAACATCTTAGTGCACATATCCAATATTCACAGATACTTATTCTATATGTCTGCAAATGAACATTGACTGAAATATTCGCAATACTCACATGAAGTCGCTGCTGTTCCAATTCTGAAGCTTTCAACTGTGTCTTGAGGTCTGTTACTTCTTTCAATACTTTGTAGTTTCCAGCCTTCCCTAAGTATTCAAATAGAAGTACAAAAATATTCATATATATATGAAGAGTGACTAAAATAACTTTCTAGCTGAATTAGGAAACAACTGTGATTAGACCCCTTTATCCAAAGCAATGAAAAAGAATGTTTGCAGTTAAGAACTATGCAGGATATGGAGTGAGTTTGGGTTGTCATTGAATCACAGGGTTTTGTTACATGTGAACACTGTGGTTTAACTATGGGTTGTTAACCAGAAATAGCCCAGAATAATCTAGCAACAAACCATGGGTTTTCTTCCAGGGTTGTACATGGTCAACAGTCCCCAGTTAAATCACAGTACAGGCTTCACACATAACAACAATGCAAGATTCAACAACAAATCATACACATCCCATACTCTGGGCTATTATTACATGCAGACTAGGTCATAAGATGCAGTACTGTTGATTTACTTGATTTACTGAAATTAGCTACACAGTTAACAATCCTAGTTAAGGCTGGCAATGGAAGCCTTCACACAAGGTGAACAAACAGAACTGCATAGCTCTCTTAATAACTAGGCTATTGTTAAGGGAATAAGATCATTACATCTGAACCTACTTTAAGTGCATATGTACTGTTTAAAAGAAGGGCCCACCCACAGAAAAGCAGTCCTTTGGCACAAGGTTGAATATGTATTAGTAGAGGCCCTTCTCCGGGAACCCTCCGTGAAGGAAATTAGGAGGGTAAGTACTCGGAGGAGGGCTTTCTCTGCGGTGGCGCCCAATCTATGGAATGTGCTCCCCAGAATGGTCCGCCTGGTGCTGTCGTTATTTGTTTTTTGGCGCCAGGCGAAGACCTTTTTATTCAAATGTTATTTTAATTAAATAAGTTAATATTATTTATTTATTTTATTCTTTGGCCAGGGTGACTTAATTTATACTGTTAAATTATATTGTTTTATATGATGTATTTATTTATGTTTGTGAGCCGCCCCGAGGCTTCGGCGAATGGGGCGGCATAGAAGTTCCCTAGATAGATAGATAGATAGATAGATAGATAGATAGATAGATAGATAGATAGAGGGCTCTCCTGTGCAGGGTCTGCAAAATTTCCAACAGCATCCAGAAAGAGATCTCCAACAGAGTATCCACAGGTAGCTGAAAGTTTTCTTATTATTTCCCATTTTTAATATATCTACATGGATTTGTGTGAAATACATACAACTTACTAGTGTACACATGGACTCTGACAAACTAGGACAAAATAGCCAAATAAGTATCCATTTAAAATTGGTTCCTCTATGCTACCTGCTCATATATTGAAGGTCTTCAATCTATTACAGCATAGGTGGCGAGTGTTTATCCTTTCAACTGTGCAATATAAGTCTTTTAGCTGTCAAAAGGGTGCAGCAAATCCATTTCCTCTTCCATTTGCTAATTTCCATGAAGTAGATTAATTTTAAAGATCACATACCTCACGGAATACTAAAAGCTGTTCCAATACAAAATATATCTATCTAATATCCTCCTCCCCAAAAGAACTACTCGAAATTACTAAAATGTGCTTGAAAGAAGCATTTGCTGTACTCCACCAGCAATTAGCTGAATTAGACCGTCCCTTATTAAAGATACACTGTGGTATACAAAAGACATGCAACCAGTTTTTGCCGAATATGACACAACCTATGATCCATATATACTACAGGCAGACACCAAAGTGATGATCCACTGATAAAGCATTTTGAATAGTACCCAGTACAATTTTTCAAATTCCCAAATGGTCCAATGGAACCCAAAATGCAGGGGAGCCCTGTATTAATGCCAGAATATGTTACAGCCCTAGGTTGTACCATGTGGCCAGTTCTGTAATGACTTGGGTTTGAATACCAAAACTCCTTGTCCTCCTTACCATTACAATTAATTAATCTTACAATTAGAGATGATTCACAGGTTTAAAATCATTGGTACTTCTAGAAGAAACGTTAACTGACTTTTCATTAATAGTCTCATTTCTAATCTTAGAGTAAAACAGAATAAAAACTACCAATGCATTCCCACCAGTCTGTTCTCATCTTTCCTGCAAGATAATATTGGGAGGTTAATGCAGTTACACTTAAAAAAAAATGTGAATCTCACTCAAAAAACTCTAAAAACAAAGGGAAAAAAACAGAAACATAAAAATCAAGAAATTAATATTTGTTGGTGCATGCATATCCTGATAATAGCATTGATCCAAACTATACAAGGAAAATGCTGTGACTCTTAATGGCTTAAAGTAGAATGAAAGGAAACCATCTCATTGGTCTGGCCATATGCATAACTGCCTTTCAAGACTTTTCAAACTTACTTTTTTCCCCCAGAGTAAATGAGATTTGTTTCAAAGTGCATCACCTGGATACTGTTGTAACCAGCACTGAATTATCTGGTAGGATAGTTATGCAAATTTGAAATAGATATTTTATTTTTAATCTACTGTATTTTACTTTTTGTTCAAAAATATTTGGCTCAAACATTTCACAGCCTTAGACTCAAACCTATTCTTGCATGCATGGGAGGTACTTCCACTAATCCAAGGAATATATCCCCCGTTGACCTCAAGGGTTCTTGGTTCCTCCAGATCAGCTTTTCAGAGGGCAGAAGGTGTGCAGCTGGCAAGTCTTCCTGCACAAATGGAGTCCTGATAATGCTTCTTTAGATCTAATTCTTTGGGTTTATCAGTCTACAGTGTAATTAGGACTTTAAATATTACCAGCAGCAAAGACATCCCCTTTCTTAACTTCTGTTTGGTTTCGAGAAGTCTCCACCTGGTGAACAAGTTCTGCTTTTTCCTTTTCCAAACGATCAATAGTTAATCTATAGGAGTATAAAATAGAGCACAAAAATCTAAGTAGCCTTTGATATTTTTCAGTTTGTTCTGAATAGGAAATAAGTTTTACTTTGCTTTACCTGAGTAGCTGAAGCTCTCTGACAAGTTCTGACTCTGGTTTGCCACTCTGAGGAAACTGTTTGAGATGTTCAAAAAAGAGAAATACTTAAGACTTTTTTATTAAAGATTTCCTATGGGAAAGCAGTCTGTTTTAAAAAAACGAGGAGTGCCTCATGACTGTGCTTAGAAGTAATCCCCCTTTGTTGCACTGTCCTGCTTCTTACCATTCCCTGCCATACAAGATCCATAGATTGCTGAAATCTGAGAAGCGATGTTTTAGTTGCAGCTTCACGCTTCTTGAAGTGTTATCTGGGATGGAAATACCACTATCTAGCTCTTTCTCAGCCTTTCTAGAGAGCAGGAAAGACATAGGAATGAATGATGCACCGAAGGCCAAAAGGAGCTACCAGTTCTGTACTATTCTGGGTGGGGAGTTTTGAGGATGGGAACCAAGAGGCCTCACCAGAAGAAAAAATAAATGGGAAAAAACCTCTCTGTATGTGTCTGACCCCAAACCCTCACTACAGGAAAGAATAGCTAACTATTAGCTAAATAGCTAAAACACAGTATAAGCCAGACAATTTTTTTAAAAAAAAGAATTTCTCGAAGATGAAGTCAGAAGATTAGATAGTGCTATCCTAAAACATAAAGTCTACAGCCCATGGACAACCTTTCTACTGACCCCAAGTGTTATGCTGGAAGGCAAAACTGGCCTCAAATTTTGTACTGGAGAGGGGAAAATGGACCCTAAGATACATATTAAAAGTTTGCCAATAAAATATAGATGATAGCTTGTTGGCAATATCATACACAGTAAATTTTATTTACCTGTGCTTTTAAGTCTTCAATATATTTTTCATTTGTCTCTTCACTCTCTGTGGCTTTCCATAATAGCTGCTTAAGGTCACTAATGGCTTGATTCTTCTGGGCAATATCAGCTTCCATTTCTTTCATCTTATTTTCATACATCCTGAAAGCAAGCATTATGTTGCCTGTGAACACATACAGCAGAACATTTCCACTGATGGAATTCACAAGTGGAACAGGATAGCAATAATTCTGAGGGACACTTAGTTTTGCAGCTATCCTTCTTATAAATAGACATACAATTGCTTCTGCACTTCTCAAATGAAGGTAGGATATGATCCTTATATGTACAAACATTATTATTCAAAAGTTCAATTAACATAGATGGGCAGAAATCATTGGCTATAAGAAGGGAAACTGTGCTCCACCACTGGACCATTTCCAGTGTGCTACTTGGCATCTGATAGTTGCTAGAGGCTGGTTTGATACTGCCAAATCACTTTGTACATTCCTTAGCAAAAGTGCGTGCAAAAGATCACTTAGCACAGATTAGGTGCTTCAGCTGTTGAACAATCCCAATATTCACTCTTTCTTAATAGATTTACAACATACCATTTTGTAAAAAAAAAAAAAAAAAAAAGGAAAGCCTGCAAAATTGGTCAGCTAGTTCTATTACATGCAAGGCAATTGAACATTCAGTTATGTATTTATTTATAACATCTGTATGCAATGCTCCAAATAAGAACATTTTGTATAGTGTCCTAAATCAGCTGTTATTTACAATTGAAAAATGTGGTATGCATGAATCAAAATAGTTTATTCCAAATGTGCACAAAATAGAAACTATTTGAACAGTAACTATCACTATCACTCTACCTCCACTGGTTATGTTCTCTTGCTAGAACCCAGGAAACTAGCCAAAATTCTCATTTCTGGAACAGGACAGGTCAGAGGAGCTCCATACTGTGAGCTCTGGTGAATTCTGCCATTCTAGAGATGAGGATCTCCATTTAGTTCCAACAGTGTCAGGAAACACTAGTTCCCCCTTCACTAGTCCAGTTAGGCAATTTGGGATATTGCCCTTTATTAGTGACACTCTTCTGGAATGAATAGCTTATTCAAAAGGGCTGCTGAAATTCAAGCTCTCATTCATTTGAAAATATTTGGGAAAATGAATATTTATGTCTATCCTTTCTTGTTACTCAGTCCTACCTTGTTATGACCATAGATTTCCAACCTTTGCTGTTGGTTCCTTCAAGTTGTGGGTTTCTGCTTTCTGCTAAGTTTAGCTTCTTTATCGTCTCTTCCAATTCAGCAGTCAATTTCTCATTTATTACTTCAAGATTGTTCTTGGCAATTCGCAGCTTCTCTGCCTTCTCTGCTTCCTGTTGACCAGTGAAAACTAGTTAGATACAATTATCTGCTTCAGACATACTGCTTCCTCACTATGGCTCAGTAAGTTGAGGATGAACATCAGGCCTTCACTTCCACCTGATTTATTTAAACCAGAGTTCTGAGACACATCTAAAAGAAATTCTTGTTTAATATTATAATTAGTAGAAATATATTAAACTAGTGTTTCCAACTGAAGATGCCAGAGGGATCTCTGGTTTGAAAAGACCAAGACTGAAGGAAAGCTGGTCTATAAGGAAGCTGTGTCCATTCTCACTTTGTTATACTATGTTAGCAGGAACATTTAAAAACTTGCAATATCCCCACCCCAAATACATTTGTTGTACTGTTAAACAAATTATTATAACAGTAAACAAACTCTAATATCCTTCATAAAAATGCATTTTACAGCTGTACCTTTTTCATCTCCTTACGTATCCTCTCGTTTTCTGCAATGATCTTTTCTGTGCCTTTAGTCTTCAATTTGTAACGCATGCTCAATTCGCCTCCAAGGTGTAGTTTCAGTTTTTCCATTTCAGACTTAGTATTTCACAAATAAAAAACACCAAAATAATATTTGTTATTTCTCAAAGAAATATTTGAGAGAGGAGAGAAGCACAGTGCTTAGTTAAATATATGGCAGTGCTCAGACCATTTTTATGGAGTAGTAGTTCACTCATTGTACTTGTAAAAATCAAAGTTTTACAAGTAAAATTTTTACAATAATAAGTTTGCTTGTATACACAGAAATTGCTGACATATGAAATAGTAACAGTCACTGTGAACATTTACTTTTAATATTTTTCATATTAGCAAACTAAACAAAAAAAAAAGAGAATACATTACCTTTAAGTTCTCATTTTCCTGTTCAAGGCTGGCCATTTTTTCACTAGAAACAATGCCAGGAGCTTTTTTAAGCTCTTCATTTTCTCTCTGAACCCTCTCTACCACCTTTTTCATCAAACCAATTGTTTTTTCTAGTTCTGGAATGGTTTTTCCACTTCGTCCAGACTACACAGCAAAGAAATAAAAGGGAAAAAAATTCATTCATGTTTGTAGTTTGCATGTCACAGGAACATCTCCATTATCTCAAAACAAAACAAAATAAGTCACTATTTTCTAATTGTGCTTGGATCTCACTCTTTTCTTCCTTGGTTTGGTAGACCTGCTTGATACCATTTTTTAAATTTAATATCCTATCATATTCTAGTGTAAGCAATGATACCACATTACAGTATTACTGGCCCAATTTACATGTGATAATGATGACAAATATGAATATGAAAGCTCCATTTAACTATAATGTCCAGGTTCACACATCTTGAAGAAACCTCCAACTGAAGATTTTATATTTAAACTGTCAAATCATGGTTTTGCTGTGGATCAGATATTATACATTATTTCATGTGCAGAACAGGTGTTTCAATGGTTTTACATTTTACTCTCGCCTTCACCATAGTTGTACCATTCAGATGTGAACTCTTGGATTTAATTCCCAGCAAGCATGGTCATTCCAACATATCTGGAGGGCACCAGATTGGGGATGGGGGTTTCATACTATAGTTAAATACTTTAGTTTGAAAAGGAGCAAGGGTAAAAGGATGAGGACTCCACTGCTAACAGAATCATTTTTACTATTGGCTAAAGAAGGAAACATCTTTGGTAAGTTGGCAGTATTGAAAGTACCTGTTCCCAACATACACATGTACAGACTAGATCCACACACACATGTTGAGCAAGGGTATTCAAAGGGTATAATCTGAAGAGTATGAGGGTCATTCAAAAATGGATTTGAGGGTGACTCTTTTTGTATTTCAGTTGAGACTAAAAGAAGGGAACCCTGCCAGATGGCGATGTATTATTGGCCAGAGGCTGTGACCAGCAGAGCTAAAAAAGTCAGAGCAGAAAAAGAGCACTCTCATGACCAATTAAAGCTGCAACAGGCAGGGAATTATGTGGTAGAGAAAGACAGAAATAGGCAAATAAAGCAAGGTAGAAGAAACAGCCATAAAAGAACAAAAATGGATATGCAAAGATGGCTGTCAGCCTAAAGAGAACTGAGAAACAGAATCACTAAAAACCAATAGCTAAAGTATTTCAGAAGAGTTGTGGTTAAGAATGGAGACAGATTTCAGTAAGCACAGGGAAGCTGAGAAGCTGAGAATGTGAAAAGACAGAGTTTTCAATGTGGAGTTCCTGACACAGCTGAAAACCTGTCTTCAGAAAGAAGTTCCCATTTCAACTGAACAGCCTTCATGCCAAGGAGAAGCATTTTTCCATTCTTTCAAACTTAAATGTTCCAGAATTTTGTTTCTGTTTGCTTGATACCAGACTCGATTTAGGCTTATCTTCAAACACATCCCATAGTTTTAGAATGTAATTCTTACCCCTCTGACATTGCCTAACTTCCGCTCAGCTTCTGTTTTCTCTCGTTTCAGAAGCTCACACAGTTCTTTTAAGTCAGCTACTTGACTCTAAAGAGAAAAATAAAACAATAGTCATATCCAGTCTATTCATTTTATATTGAAATGGAAAATAATCCATATGCACAAAGAAGAAAAAGTTAGCAATCAGCTGCCATACTAAACTCCAAGTAGAGATGTCTGCATACAGCAATGTTTGAGTAAAACACGAGCTGTACAGCATTAGTGTTGCAAATGCATATGAAACATGTAATATAAATCCTTCTTAATAAAACAATCCACCAATGTATTAGAGCTGGCATCATAGATCCATTTAAAAATGGCTCCAGAGCATAAATCCAAAACCTGGGTTGGTTTACTACGACACTGTCAGACATGCTACATGCACAAACATACCTTTAGTCTTGGCAAGTCTTTATTGGCCTGTTCTAGCTGGAATCGTAATTCCATATTTTCAGATGATAATGCCAGATTCTCCTTCTGAAGGTCTTGTTCTTTTTGATATTGATCTTCAGATCCTAATCCTGAAGTCTTAGGAAGCAAAAAAGGAACATAATAAATCATCAATATGATTGAAGTGCAGAATATTTGCGTTTCTGTTACACTTGAGAAATGGGAACAGTTTGAGTTACATTAATGTATGACACCATAACCTAAGTCTCACCCAGAGACATCTGGCCACTGCTCTACAACAAAGTTCAATACAAGCTGCTCATACCTATCACCCTTACTAATGTTCAACACATCTGGTTTCCAAGACAGCAAATAACATGCCTGGTCTTATTTAGATTTCCTTCAGTTCTGTGAACACATACCTCCCAAGGTATACTTTTTCAATTTAAAGACATCCATAATTTATTTAACATTTTAGATACACATACACAAAAGGACATAACAAATACTAGTATGTCAACTAGTATTAAAATACATTTACGAGTTAGTGCCGTGGGGTGCTTAGAGTGTCTGAACCTGGGAGATCTGGGTTCTAGTCCCTACTCAGCCATGAAGCTCACTGGATGATTTTGGGCCAGTCACTACTCTCAGCCTAACCTATCTCACAGGGTTGTTGTTGAGAGGATAAAATGTAACTATGTAATCCTTGGGTTCCTTACCAGGCAGAATATAAATGCAATGTAATAGTACTAGCAAAGCCCAGGAAAATAAAAACATCCCTGGGAGAGTAAAACTTGCTGCTAAAAGGATAACCATCTGAGTCCCTGGTATGGCTGTCCAGAAGGGAATTCTGCAAATGGGATTCTACCACTGAGAAGATTCATTACCTACCTTACCTCAGATGGCAAGGGCACCTGGGGGTAAACCTCCAAAGAAAACCTTATGCACTGGCAAATGTTCCTGAGGTACCTGGATCCTGTGTAGTGCTTTAAACATTATGCACTAGTGCTTTGAATTGTGCTTGGGATACCCAGAAGCCAGTGGGGTGTTTTCAGTCCCAGTGAAATATGTTCCCACCATCTGGTCACAGCCAACATCCTGACCACTATATTTTGAATTGTGTGCAGCTGCCCAAGAATCTTTAAAGGCAGACTCATTTATGCATTATAGTATTATTTAAAAGGTCTGTATGCTGCTCCTAACAAAAGTAGTTGATCCTAGCTCAAAGTCATTTGGATAATCCCACCAACATAGTCCTGCTGAATGTAACTAAAACAGTCAGTAAATCATCTTACATGGATATATAAAAATAAATACATCTTACTATAAAGCACTAGATACTATGCGCAGAGCCGTGTGTTAACATACTAGTTATGGGGGCGCGGGAATCTACTTGCAATGTTTCACAGATATTGACAAATAACTTATCTTTATGTACTATGTAGCAACAGCAATATAATATTGAGGATATATGCTGGAATACCTCTGTTCTAGAGGCACAATCACAGTATTTTGGTATGTCTATTATGCCACCAATTTTTGTGTTCTGCATTTCATTTAGTTCAATATCTTTGGAACAAAGATTTGCTATTAGTCTAATGCATCCTAAACAAATGCATACCATAGCAAAATTCTACAATACAAAATGTGATAAAGTCTTGCAAGTTGCCAAGCTATACTAATAGGTTAGTGAAACAGTTCAGTAATCAGTAAGTTACTGATTACACCATGCCGTGCACTTCCTTTTGAATTGGCTATGCGAAGGAAAAGTAATGGGGAAAGTGGGGAATGGAGTCATGATGGCAAACCTGAGGAACTTCATAAAAGCTTGGAATCAATTCAGTCCTCTCTTCCTTAGCTTGATGCATCTCATATGCATCTTCTGCCTCACCAGTATTTTTTTCAAGGCCTTTGTCAGAATCTTTCGGCTGATTAGCAGCTTCCTCCAAGTCACACTGGATGCAGCTTGCTTTGTCAGATTCAGGTCTGCTTCCCTTTTCTTCATCATTCTCACTCCCACTAGAATGTTTGGAGCTGCCTTCTGTTCCTTCATTTGTTATTTCACATTCTTGATCTTTTATTTTCTCTTCAGAATAAGCATTTTCCTGTTCAGCATTCTCTTCTGGGGAATTCTGGGATTCTGGAGAGCTGCATTTTTTGTTGTCTGATCCTACCTCTAAATTGTCTTGCTTTTCCTCATTTTCAAATTGCACTTCTGGAGTTTCATTGACAGTAGCACCATCAGCAGCCTGATCAATGTCATCTGTAATGCGTGCCTCTTCATTAACTCCATTATCATTAACATTAGACATATTAACAAAAGCTCGAGGTCTTGACTCTATATCACCTAAAAGAGTTTTCTTAGGTGGCGATTTCAAAAGCTTGTGCTTAGCAAATTTGTTAGTAGTAGTTAAGGGAGTGTTAGCCAAAGCAGCTATCTCACATGGAGAACTCTGACACAGAAGGTGTAATGCAACATAAAAAGAAAAGAAAAAAGCAGTAGGTTGTAAAGGAAAAATTGCTTTAAAAATCATGTATACATTAAATTCATTTATAGATAGATTAAACCCCCACTATAAAAATGTAAAACAGAATTATACAAGCCCCTATTCCTCATTTGCTGGGGCATCAAGGATTCACCCAGATCTCAATTCTCTAAAGTTTCGTTCATTCTACTATCCCTCACTTGCATGTAATCCATGCCAGCTGCCATATTCAAAGTGGAAAAAGTAGACTCATTTTCCTTCTTTTAATTCAAACAATTCTTTGTGCAAATTAACTCAATACTGATTTCATCATCAACTAGTCAGATGCTCTTAGCTAGTTACATACATTTGTGGGGAGTGGGAAACTGTCCCCACATTTAATGCCTCTGAACTCAATGGATCCATTTAGCAATCAGTGCTAATAGCCACTAAGCAGACTTCTGAATTTCTGTACTGTTATCTATTTATTCGTTTTGATATTGCAATGCCAGCTTTGAGAGTAGAACAATCATACAATCACAGAATAGTAGAGTTGGAAGGAGTCAAGAAGGCCATCAGATCTAAAACCCCCTGCTGATAAAGGTCACCAATTTATAGAGTCCCACTCAGATGACTGTCCAGTTTCTTTTTGAATGTCTCCAGTGTGGGAATCCTCTCTTGGCAACTGGTTCCACTGTCATATTGCTCTGACAGTGAGGAAAATTTTCCTGATATCTAGCTAGAACCTGAATTGTGACAACTTAAGTCTTATACCCTGGTATCAGCAAGAAAAGTTATTGACCTTCCTCTTTGTGACAGCCTTTGAGGTACATATAGACTAGTATCACGTCCCCCTTTTCTTCTCAAGGCTGAACATGCCCAGTTCTCTAGTCTTTCCTCTCAGGGCAGTGTTTCTAAACCATGGATCATTTTTGTTGCCCTCTGCTGGATCCTTTCTATTTTTTCCTGCATCTTTCTTAAATCTTTGCACCCAGCACTGGACACAGTATTCCAGATAAGGTCTGACTAGTGAAGAGTACAGATGAACTAATACTTCTCATAATTTGGAAGTAATACTTCTATTAATGCATCCCAAAATAGCATTTTTGCAGCTGCATCACATTGTTGGCTCATATTTGGCCTATTGTCCACAATCACTCCAAGGTCTTTTTTCTTTTTCCAGTTCTATTGAGCCAAGTATTCCCCATCTTGTCTCGATCCATTTTGTTTCTTTTTCCTAAGTGGAGAACTTGGCACTTGTCCCCTTGAATGTCTGTTGCTTTCAGCCCAGCATTAATGTTTATCAAGATTGCCCCAGATCTCCGTTCTGTCTTCTAGGGTGTCAGTATTCCACCCAGTTTTGTATCATCTGAAAATATTATTTTCTTTCCTTGTACTTCCTCACTGAAATCATTAATAAAGATGTTGAAGAGCTCAGGGCCTAGGACTGAACCCTGTGGCACCCCACTAGTTACCTTTCTCCAGTGTGAGAAGCTGCCATTGATGAGCATACTCTGTGTCCAATTTAGCAGTCAATTTTGGATCCACCTAATAGCTTTTCTATCTAGTCCACTTTTTGCAAGTTTGCTTATCAGGATGTTGTGGGGCACTAAGTTAAAAGCTTTGCTAAAGTCAAGGTAGATTATGTCCACAGTATTTTCCTTGTCAATTTGGGAGGTTATTCAGTCAAAAGATGAGATTAGCTTAGTCTGACATAACATTAAATTAGTCTGACTAATTTAATTACTCTGACTAAATTAGTCCTCTCAAAACTGCTTACAGATGGAACATATTTTTACATATAATGAACTCACACAAAACAATAAAGGAGAAATGACAGCTGCTATTCACACCACATCTTTATGGTAGTGAATTCTAGAAGCTTATCATGAATTGTGTGGCGAACTTGTTTCAGTTGAATTTATTGCAATGCGAATAGTTTCACTGAGTGATCCTAAACTTTGAAGGAGAAAAAAAGTTTGCTATTTATTTTCTCCATACTGTTTGTAACTTTGGAAAAAGCTTACTACAAAGTGAAAGCCTTCTGACCAAGATCACCACCAACCAGAATGAAAAGTATTCATGGATGCTGAGAGTTATATTCCAAAAACACTAAAAGGGCCACAGGTTTTTCACCTCTGCTCCACCATGTTCCCTCAGCTATTTTTTAAACCACATCAGAACCTGCCATTCTGCTAGTGCAAATGATGCTGCACCAGCAGAACCCAGGTTCTGGACTATGTACAAGAGGAGATTCTAATGGGAATGGCTTCGAAAGAGCCAAAGGATATTTCAGATTCACAGGTCCAAAGCTGGAGACAATACTTCAGCTTTGGGTCTGGAGATCTAAGCCACAATACTTACCACCAGCAGCAGCAGCAGCAGAGAATGAATAATGTGGGGTGTATCTTCAAGTTTGGACAAACAACCTCAGAGAGGGGCAAATGAGGATGTTTTAGAAGACAGGGAGGAGAGAAGACTTGTGCCACCAAAATGCAAGGCAACCTGATGGAACTCGAGCCCCTTTCTGTACCCCTCCAAAACACCAAAGCTGGATGGCTGAATTTAGCCTTCCAGCTGACATACAATGTGGAGAATGAAGTGACATTTATCTCTGCTACTTCCCTCATTTTGCACTGGATCCTCATAAGATCCGAGTTCAGAGGCTTATGAGTATCAATCCATGGGATTCTGCCTAAGCTACATTTGTGCAAGTACGGTTTCACAATCATCATGTGCAAGTGCTGATGTGATGGAAAGATTCCACAAACCAATTCTAGAACAATTTGAATTTGCGGAATAATACTGTTGGATACTGCCCCAAACATTTTAATTGATCATCAGAGGTATGCCACTATAAACCCTGATCATTTAGTTACATCTTTTAGCTCAACAATATCAGAACAAATGTAGTTTCACCATAAAGACATTATGATACTTGTTATTTTATTTTCAGTCCTTTTCCTAATAATGCCTGATATTGAGTCTTATTTTTCAATGCCACTGAGTTAATACTGTGTAATAAGTTAGATATTATTTGGATGAAACTAAAAAATATGACTCTGCCCTATCAATCCTAAGGCCTGTTCAGACCATAATTCTGCCTTCCTGCTTTACTTCAATGAGTCTCAGAGGACCTGATATGCTTTCTCTTCATACCTCAAAACAAGTTAATGCCTCAAGCATCTCAGTTCAAGCACTGGAATATAAATCTGGAGGTTCCCCTACTGACAAATACAGTGATTATAAAACAACTAGTTGCCAAAATACTTGGTCTCAGAAATACACAGCTTTTAAGTACTTATGTTTTGCAGCACCTACACAATGAGCAGAACACTGAAAACACGATTTTCATCAGTTGGGAAAAAGAATAGAAATAAGAGAGTTTATAAAGAGTGCATGTAATGAATAAATTCCAAGAAATAAAAATAGTTTAACGTACTGAAGGTCTTGAAAAATTGTCCCTTGAAAGCTGTTTTTCCAATACATTCAGTTTTTCTTGCAGGTATCTGTTTTTTAAGTGCAAGTCTTCTACAACAGAATCTCGAGGGACAGCATACTGTGTCCTGCATAGAAAAGTGTATCCGTTATTATTGAAATACACAACATGACAGCCACATGCTTTATGTTTTATGAGAGTAAATGATGCCCATTTTTAGAATTATTTGGGGGTAGAAAGCAACATTTCAAAGCTTTGCTTAATCATGGATAATGTGTAATTGGGCACATTACATATGTAACCCTTCTGTGCATTCCTGTAATTACTTAAATAATTAATAAAATAATTACTTAAAATTGTAAAACAACTCTTACAGGCATCAGAAATCTACAAAATTCTTTATTATAAACAGCCAACCTTTATTACATGGAATAAAAATCACAAAGCTTACCTAAAAGCTACCTTAATGTTAACTTTGTAAACTGAATTCCCTGATAAGACGACAACACAAAAGCTTTCAGTCCTTTTATACCACTGTATATTTCTTAATAGAAATTTTCTTTATCACTTATTCTCAGGTCCCAAACTGGCCTCAACATTCTATATAATTATCTAATGCAAGTGTTTGCTTGCTTGCTTACTTGTTTCTTACACTAGGCTGTTCAAAAGGAAACATAAATGTTCCTTTGAAAATGTTGTACCATTATATTGTGATTTCCTATTAATTAAAAAATAAGTAAACAAACCAGTAGCAACCAACTAATAACACCATTCATTTGAAGAGAGTTTTCTGTAGTAATTCTTACTTTAAGTGAACAATCTCATTTTCCAAACCCATATTTAGTTTCCGGAGTTCTTCCAGCTCTCGCTCCATTTCATAAGCTCGTACTCCCACAACATGATCAACAGTAACACCACAGCTTTTAAGCTTCTTCTGCAAACTGATTTTTTCTTTATCAGCCCTGTAATGTTAAATTACACATTTATTAATACAATAGGGTATTTGCTTCCATATGACTAAATGATAGGTGAATTAGAATTTGACTGCTTAACACAGTGGCTCAGTTCATACACAAAGGCAGCTAACCCACGTTCTGCCAGGTTGCATGATATACATGTGCCACTATATCCTGAACTATGCCACCTGCAACTGGACCTTGCTCTGATTGGCAAGCCTAGGCACTAAGGGCTATTTGTGGGTTAAACAACTCAAAGTTAACCTAGAATTAGTTCTTACATCTCGTTTGGGTTGCTTAGCATAGAAATAATAAACAACAAAAGGGATCATATGTCATGGTGCACCCTTTGATTGGAGTTTGCCTATTTTAAATGGTAGAGCCCTGCAACCCGAAAAATTGTGGGTTAAGTAATTAACCCAAGATTTGTCATCGCTATGTGCAAACAGGCCCAACCTTATGCATGCCTACTCAGAAGTAATTGTTACCAAGTTCAATGGGACCTACTGGCAGCAAGTATGGATTGGATTATACCCTTATTTTTATTATTTATCATTATAAAGAAAATATTTTGCAGTATCTCCTTATGTGAGATCTAGAGAATTGTGCCTGTAGAGACATACATTGGGGGGAGTGGTGATGGAAACTATATAGATCATGGTGTTTTTGTCCTGCTTGGCCACCAAAACGTAATATATGTATTTTGCCTACTGTTTAATTGCATAATTCATCTTATTATTTTTCTTATCAAATGTTGGTGTGGACTATTTGTGGGAAGCAGTATTAAGTTTTGTTAAGTGACTCTCCTTCCAGTAATGTAGTAAAACTGCTACTGCTCTGGATGTGTTTTCTTTCTACTATTAGGACTATTTCAACAATTTGGCATGAAAAAAATGTGCTTTCGTTGTGCATATAAACTTACTTGGAAAACAGTTCCTTTACTGTATTTAATTGTTTGGTTAAAGACTCCACTTCCTTTTCCTTTAATTTTAGTTTGTTCCTCATCCCCTCAGTTCTATTCTGCCATTTTTTACTTTCCTCCCATCTAATTAATTCCTCCTTTGAGCTCTGGAAAAAATAAAAAGAAAAAAATTCTTAGTAATTAGTGTTGTTTTTAAAAAGTTATACATGTAAAAGAATGTATATAAACATACATATATGTTAGAAATAATATCATTTTCTCTAAAATGGATACATTGGGCTACATTTTCTATTTTCTTTATCTTCACTTTAATCTAATCTTTTGCAGAACAATGCTATTCTTGTCAGACATGGCCAATCATGCTAATTTGGGCACTGATTTAATAATTTGATTCATAACAAAGACAAAATTGCAAGATAGAGGGGAAAAACACACGTTATGCAGAAGAAAATTATACTGGCCAAGATCATTTTTTCAGCTTGCCTCCTCCCATACCTTGTCTTCTCTTGGGGTTTTCTTTTCTGACTCTTCACTCTTCTGTCTTAACTCAGTTTCCAGCTTTTTATTTTTTCTTTGAAGCTCTTCTATCAGAGCTTGCTCATCAGCTTTGCCCTGAAAAATTAGCAATAGTTTAACCTAACTGCAATTCCTATATATCCTACTTGACACAGTGTTACAATATGGGTGGTTATTCTTTAGCCCAGCTGCAGACCTCATTGAAATGAATGGAGAACACATAACGGTATGGAGTATGTGCTTGAAAAAGCGTAGGCTCTGATATATTTTGAGCTTATGAATATTATATATTCATTATATATACATGTGTAAGTCACTACAACTTACATTTACATTACTGAAATGATATACAAAGGGCATTCAGGAAAAATGCAAATATTCTTCAAATAACCAGTTGTCATGCTGTATCAGATACAAGAATAGATAATTAAATAAGCTCACTAATTTTTGTGTATAACCAAAGTGACCAGATTTGCACATATATGGTTGTGTTTTACCACTGGATGATTTCCAGCAGTGCAAACACACAACCAGAAAATGTTCCATGGCACATTCAATTTACCTGAATTGAATGGGTTAGTCTTTTAATTCGTTGTTTTAGTTCTTCATTTTCTTTTTCCATCTCATCTTTCTCCCTTAAAGCTTTAGTGTGGGCTTTCACTTTTTTCTGAAGTTCCTGATTCAGATCATCCATGTCTTCCAATAATGAATTCTCTTTATTTTTGCTTATTTTAAGAGCATCTTTAACTTTTGAAAGCTGGTCATTTAAATCTTCAACCTGACTCTATGAAAGTATATTTTGAAAAAAACAAAAATTAAATCTTGAATGCTAATCAAGGCCACCAGCAATAAATATATTAAAATTAAACTGATTATGCTGAAGCTTTTTTTCCCTATATCAAAGTAAGATGATACTCATTACCTGAGTTTCCTACAAAGGAATTGTAAGAGAAGCATCTTACCCTTTCATACCCCCACAATACTCAGTCATGTTAATGGCTTCATACCATTGGGATTCAACATGAACAGCTGCTTTATAACAAACCACTACAAGTAGTACAAGTGCATTATTCATTCATTCATTTTATTATATTTAAATTCCACCTATTTTCCTGAAAGAAACCCAGGGAAACTTATATAATTCTCCTCTTCATTTTACCCTCATTAGGCTGAAAGACAGTGAATGGCCCGAGATCACCCAGTGAGCTTTATAGCCGAGTGGACACTAGTGCCCAAATCCTGGGTCCAACATTTTAACCATTATACCACACTGGAACTCTAGAAGTGGCTCCTTATTCTAAACAGCTGCCAAGTATCCTGATGTACCAAATAATTATTTTTCTAGATACCATATGCAGAACTATATTTTTTTCAGACACATCGAAGAGAGCCGATGTGGTGTAGTGCTTGAGAATAGTGTAGTGCTGGACTGGGGACCTGGGAGATCTGGATTTTAATCCCTGCTCAGTCATGGAGCTCACTGGGTAACTTTGGGCGAGCCACAGATTCTTAGCCAAACTGGGTTGCTGCTGTGAAGAAAAAATAGAGAGAAGAACCTTGTAAGCAGCCTTGGGTGGTCTGAAAGAGAAAGAAAGATGCTGTATGTAGCAGCAGTGGTTATAATAATAATCTGATGACTCTGATGAAGTAGATCTCTGAAGGTGTTGCACTTCAAGTTGACACAAATCTGCTGCTTTTGCAGCAACAGGCTAACAGAGATATTCTTTTAGATAGTACTGTTTCCTTTGTGGAGAGAGAAATAATTTACTATAGTGATCCTGCACAAAAATTTAAAATCAAGGGCAAATATTTTGCCTAATCTGATACAGAAATATGATTCTATATGCTTTAAGTTGCCCAACCCACTGCTAAGCTGCGGTGAAATGCAGAAAGTTCTGTAGAAAGTGCTGTATGCTGAAATGAAAAGGAAGTGCTCAGCAGCAGTTCCTGAGAAATTGCATCGTGTGGATCTAGCACTTGAAAGCACCAGGAATAGACAAGAAGCCACCACTTTCAGAACAGCATTGATGCCCTATCATATTCCATTTTCCTATCAAACCAAAGTAGGCAGCAGCACCTGAGCTTGCTACTTGCTGCTCACCTTCAGTTCCTTTGTGTGCTTGTCAACAATCTGCTGAACATTCATGTGTGCCTCCTTTTGCGATGCAATCGAAATAATCTGTTGCTCTGCAGCAGCTGTCATTTCTGCTCGGAGCTCCAAGAGTGCTTTGCTCAAAGCCTGAAAACATGTATGATTATTAAAAATAAAGTGAACAGATCCCTGCCAGCAGATTCACAATCAAAAAGAAAAGTGAAATGATGTTGGTTTACTAGATAAAAAGAGTCAGTTTATACCCCAACTAATTTTTTCTATACTTACTTTCTGCTGTTTCTCTTTTAAGGCTAGCTGATTCTTCAGCCGTTCCACTAGATTTTTCATTGTAGTTGTTGGAGCTCTAGTATTTGCTTCTCTTTGGGCTTCCAGCTCCATTTTCACATGTAGTAATTCCTTCTCCATCTGTGACAACAAACTCCTTAACTCATCCACTTCACCTTTCAATTTTTTCACTTCAGCTGCATGCTTCTCCTCAAGTCTAGCACAGCAACATAATAAATAATAATGACATCCACTGTTACACAGAGCAAGTTCCAGATGGACTAAGAGGGCTGAAATATTGCTTTGTTTTGATTAGAATTATAAATATCCCCAATGGTGACATAAAAGGAGTGAAACACTGTCAAAATTGTTTCTGTGATAATTTAAGTCAGCTGTATTAAATGATGAACTATGAGAACATTTGAATTAACAAATGAATTTCATCCATTTATTTTAAGTTTGGCTTCAAAAAATCTAATGTTCTTAGCATATATTTGGAGGAGGATATCAGCCTGGCTCCTGCCCACCAACCTACCAACACCCCACTGCTACCTTTGGCTCCGTCCGCTGTCTGCATACTATAATTTGTGTTTGCGCAGAGACCTACAAAAGTAGATTCCAATGCACACCAAGCCCACAGTGCAAACATTGATTTATTGGCATCCAGATCATGTTTCTCAAATATCAGTGGGCTCTACAGTTGTAGGTTCCTACACAAACATAAAATCCAAAACACGTCAATGATATGCGGGGTGAGAACAGGGCTGGATAATTCTGATCCTGGAGAGAGCAGTCATTCTCCATGTTGCTAAAAGGTGGCTTTAAACAAATTTAATAAATTAATAAATACATATTACAGCATCAGCAAATAGCTGCATTTTCTTTACCAATCACAATATGGCAATAACAATCTTTCTTATTTTTCTTTAAATTATATCATTTGAAAGTTTCCAGTAATTCTGCCAAGTAGGTTCAAAGCAATTTTGATTCTGTATATCAAGTAGTGAAATTCACAGCAGGCCAGGTCTACCAATATATTTCAAAATGTGGGCCAAATCCACCTAATTATTATTGTCTAGGGGACTTAATATTTAATCTTTTTCTGGTGTTAAGGTAACAGCAAAAGTACAAATGTTTAGAAAACTAAATTTCAGATTTTTTTTGTTATTTGTTTATTTGGTTGACTTAACAGTGAACAATGGCCTACAAAGAGACACAGTTTGACACACTTTACATTTCATATTTGGTGGTCTCTTCACTCTAAGGAAGCAAGCCATTCAAAGGCAAGAGAGAAATGTTTTATATCATCACTGGGTCTATCATATTCTTAACTTAGAGTTTCACATACCTAAACTAATTTGGAAGAAATGCTAATCAAACCTTACAGTGGAAGAATCAATCAATCAATTCTTTATTCGGTCATTGACCAGCCAATTACAGTGAAATAATGCATCCAACGGCACACTTATTTCAGAACAATAAAGTTGAAGTTAACAAAATTACTTCACAGTGTGAACTGACTATGGATTGCAACCAAGATATCTAGTTAAAGAAAAATAAATCCTATAGAAACAATGCCTTCATTTGCAAAATATTTATGAAAAATTATCCTAAAAATAGCACTATTTTTATCTTAAAATATTGAGATCAAAGTTTATGATGAATTATTTCTTGCAAAATAAAGTTAATTACATACTTCAGTCAAGATTTTCCAAAGATTAAACACACAGATATATCTCAAACTGCCGGCAGATTACTTATACTGTGAAGTGTAACTCTGGTCTAGACTTACTGGGCCTTGATGTTATCAAACTCCTTGATTTTTACCAAAGTAATTTGCTTTTGCTTCTGCAAGTCAGAGGACGTTTTCTTTAATTTGCTCAGAAGGGAGGCAAGGGAGCTGTCTTGCTCTGCTACGGTTTGTTCCATCTCTGCCAGGCGAATTAAATGTTTATTTGCTGGGACAACTAATGAAGGCTTTTTCATCAACTCCTGCAGAACAAAACATTATTTTCTAGTCAATAAATTGCTCACTATTTATTGTATTGGGGATTTTCATTCAACATATATCTCAAATTACTTAGATCAAATTCCTTCCCAATGCTCATCTGGGAAGGTATTAATTTAATTTCTCATACCCCACATTTAGAACATTTACTTCAGCCACAATCAGATATTTTTTAAAGTTCTACTGATCTGAATATTACATTTAAGCAATATGCTTAACATTCTCTCAACAAAAATGTGTGACCTAAGAACCCTATTACCTAATGAAAGTCTATAGCAAAACTGTCTGAGTGTCACAAAAAAGCCCCTCATTTACTAAGGAAATGAAATACACCATAAGTATTATTTTATATGTACTATTCTAGAACATTTTAGTTGAGTAAACAGCATTAACCAAAGACAGATTGCATTTTGTATGGTGCATGGTAAAGAACTAGGCATAGATTACCCACTTTTATTTTCTCATTTAAACTACAATTCAGCAAAGTTAACAATGTTTTAATTCATGTGTTGCAAAGAACACTATAAAGAACACTATAAACAATAATCCTAAACACTCCGTACAAGATGGGTATTTTCCAAAAGTCTTTTTATTACACACACACCGACCACCTGAACCCTCAGCATCTCCTTTTGGCAGATAAAGGGAGCTGTAAAGCACAGTTCTGCCAACATTTGCAGTTTTCAGTATTGACACCAATACACCTATAATGATCAAAAACTCAGTTCTCTGTTCCCATTTTTATTAATTGTGTTATTTCTTTATATATAGCCTTTTTTCTCCCCTGCCAGGAACCTGAAGCACCTCGCATGGTCCCATTTCCTCTCCAGATTATCCTCACTACTATAAGTCACTCAGTGAGTTTCATGGCTAAGTGGGCACTAAAGCCCAGATCTCTTACCACTACAGCTCTTATCTTTATGCCCCAAATTCTAAATTTTGAAAAGTATATACTTACTAATGCAGTTTGCTTGAACTTATTAAATGAATGGTCAGCATGTAAATCTAACTTTTGATGTAATACTCTGAGGTCTTCATCATGTTTCTTTGCAATTTCCTCTTGTTCCTAAATAGTAAAAAATGCATGTTTCTTATTGCTATAACACATAACTCAATCCAGCAAAGTACAGAAAGAAAATCTGGTTTGTAAACCTATGTGTAAGGTTCTACTTAGCAAAGGCTTACTACAAGAATCATAAATGAAAAAACATGTTGACTAATGCACAAAGACTTATGGAATCATACTGCTTTTATGGCGTTGTGACTGCATCTGTATACCACTTCATTCTACCTAAATCTACACTCACCTATTTATTTCAAGTCACAAATCAGAAGAATTAGGCTGCAGTCTTATATGCAATTTACATGGGACTAAATTTAACCAATAGTCATGCATAAGATGTGGTATTATTGTACTAAATGCAGAAAACTATGCTCCTATGGCATTACCTTTTCACATTTTCCTAGGAACCATTTTTAATTTCAAATAGCAACATAAGGGTTCTTCTCTCCTTTCCACTCACCGACCTTTCCTCCTTATGCTGCCTACATGGGATTCACCCATCTCCTCAAAAGAGTGGCAATGCAGTCATAGAAACAACTGCAAGCTATCATCAGGAAGCAACAGTTCACATACAGGGACCCTGTTAGCCATCATTCCAAGCTATGCCCCAGATCTTCCATCCCTGTATGTAACCATTTTTATAATGCCATCAATTCAACAAATGTTTCAACAGTGTTTCATTTTGCCACAGTTAGGGGTAAATACCTCTCTTGCTTTGGCCAAAAGGTGCTGGTACTTTTTCAACACTTCCTCTTTTTGGTTTAATCTTGCTTGCATATTTGCAATAGTTTGATGTGCAATTTTCAGGGCATGAGGATAAGCAGTAGCAGTATCCTCTTCTTTTTGTTCAAGTTCTGCTGTAATCTTTTCTCTCTCAAATGATGCTGGCAATCTAAGTCTTAGTTCATTTATGACCTTGTCTCTTGATAAGATATTTTGCTCTGCTTTCCACAAAGCAGTTTCTTTTTCTTTCAGTTTCTGTAATAAAAACAATCCATCATACCCCAAATTATTCATAATATACATTTTGGTAAAATACATATTTATACAGAAATTCTCATCATTGCATCAATCATGCCTTAGATGTATTATGTTTGAAGCTGCTATTTAGTTAAATATGTGGAGAAATTTTTAAAGAGCTTGTACAATATTTATTCCTAAAAGTTTGAATCATGTGTTCAAATATTTAGAAATGTAACAATGTGCAATTTTTTAAAATGTAAGGATACCAACTAATTTGGAGGTTGTTCACATGTGATTGAGATCGCATATTTGTTATTATTCCTACAGTAATAGGAATAATTGTGGTTTCAATTTGGGCACATGGAGGTTTCTGAAAAAGCAACCAAGGAAAGTTGGCTTCTTTTTCAGAAAGCCAAGTTATCTTCCTTTGGCTCCTGGTGATTGTGGGAGATACAACTCAGGTAGATTTACTGTGTTGGAAGAGTAAAGGGAACAGGTAGATGGTAGCAGACGAAAGAGTTTGATGTATGTCACTCTATGTATGAGTGATGTGAGAACCTGGACTTAAGATGAATGCTACAACCTCTGAGGGCAGTATCAAACGACAGGAGAACAAATAGAATTGGAAATGGGAAGAAGGAACACTTTGGGAAAATGTTAAGGGTTAGGGTTAGGGTTAGGATTAGGCTGGCAAAATGGCAAAACTGAGGCTGTTATACTTCAGACACATCATGAGAAGGCAAAACTCAAAGGAGAAGACAATTATGTTAGGGAAAGTCAAAGGCAGAAGACAACAGGGGAGACCAAATAGAGATGGATTGAATCCATAAAGGAAGCCACAGCCTAGAACATGAAAGAGCAGAATGGAGCTGTCATGTACAGGACAGTTTGGAGGGCTTCATTCATAGGGTTGCCATATGTCAAAGATGAATTGATGACACCTAACAACAACAATCATAGCTCACAAGGAATTAGCTACACTGACTGATCAACAAAACTGATAAACTGATACCGAATTTACACAGATGAGCCTAAATCATCTTAAATTTGACTTCATCTGGATGGTTAATTTTAGCTAAGAATTTTACTGGTTAGTATTAACCGTAATGCTAATATTACTGCTTGCACTAAGAAATGCCATTGTGTAGGTCTTTACATCTACAGAAGCAGCATTTTCTTTTTCCTTCTTCAAACTATTCCATCTATGAAAATCTTAAAAAATAAGGTGGCAATTCAAGCTCTCCCAGATCTGTATGATTATGCATATTTTAAAGCAGCAAAAATATCTTTTAAGTATTAATGTTTCTAAAGAATTGGAGAAGAAAAGAGGTTTAATGTATACTCAAAGGCTGGCCCAAACACTGTAACTGTCTCTCTCTGAAATATTCTCCTAAAATTATTAAAACTATATGATTCATTAGCAGACCAGTCCAATTACCTCTTCTAAGGTTTTGCAGGTGGCCTGCATTTCCAGGATTGTTCGAATATGTTCTCTAATTTTCCTTAGAGCTTGCTCAAGTTGATGTGGAATGGGCAAATCAGGATCTGGAACTGAACCTGTAGCTTCATCAAACTGCAGAGGATAGAAGAAAGCAAATAAGGTTGACTCTCTTTCCAATTACTGAAATAGTTATAAACACTTATACTAGTGATGTAAAATCAGCCTAACTACCTTTAGAGCTGTGCTTAATATGTCCTTTTGCTGACGGTCATATATGTCGAGTTGACGTTCTAATTCTACTTCTCTTTGGTCCCAAGCTATCTGCTGCTCCTCATGGAACTATAAGATTAACATATTTAATAACAATTTTACTTCACAGCATCAGAGATCAACACAACAATAAAACAGACAATTATATATTTTAATTTTGCATGCAAATAATATGTAAGATTCTATGGCTAAAATCTCAGACTTGCTGGAAGGGTATTCCAAGAATCACAGAATTGTTCCAATCTCCATGTCCAAGAGTTACTAGAAAGATGGCGGCGGGGGGGGGGGGGAAACAAAAAGGGTCGAGTTTGGGATTTCAGGACAAAAACCCCTTTTAAACCAAAAATTTTCCCTTTAAAAAGGGGGGGGGGGGCAGGGAAATCACACCATCCCTGGATCCTATGTCAAATAAATATCCTTTTATAGATTCCAGCAGGAGGGAAAAAAAGCTCAAAAAAGAAAGCAACAAATGACAGGAAATGTGAATAAACATATCCCACTCCTTCCTTGCTTTTGCTGTGCCAGCATAAGCCCCATAGGGTTGTGAGTAAGGCAATTCACTAGCACTAATGCATTTTCCACTGGACTGTTCTGTCCTACTATATTGCTAAAAGTATATTTAATAGCAATAACAACAATAACAATAACTACAATCATGGCATATGTTTTTCAATACCTTATTCTGCTGCACAATTTCTTCTTCCAGGTTATTGATTGTTTGCTCATATTCAGAAAGAATATTGTTCAAATATTTAATCTTTTCCTCTTTCTTGGCTAATTCACGGTTCAGTCTGAGCTCCTGAAGACGAAGCTCTTCAATTTTCATATGCCATTCAGTTACCTGATGATATACAAAGATGAGATGGACTGATTCTACAGGAAGCCAGAGGAAGACACAGCCTTGACAAGAGCTCAGAAGGTCTGTCAAGAACAGGACAATTTGGAAGGCTTTCATTCATATGGCTGCCATGAATTAGAGAAGAAATGACAGTATATAAGAACAACTGATCAAATCTCAAAAATTTAGAGACCAAACTAAATTGATACCAGTAGAGTACTTTGGCACTAAGCTGAGATCACCTAGCTCAGTGTAAATGAAAGTTTGGTAGGCAAGGGCTATTCTATTTCTGAACTTCAGGGGAGGATTCCTGAAATTATACAGCCAAAACCACAGCAATGATGCATGAGCAGAAGGTATCTGCACTCTCCAAGTTTTGAAACCTTGCAGCTTTGTAAAAACCTAAACACATACAGAAAATTTAACAAAGTGAAAAGAAAAATGAAATAGAGTTGCTAAAAATGGAGGAAAAAAAACACAAAGACAAATGGTATAAAGGGAGCCATTTCAATGTCTGGATAAAAGGCATCTCCTGTTTCAAAAAGACAAAATATTTTTAAAACTCTCCAGGGTTAGAAGTGAGAGCTGTCTAGGGAAATTTCTGTGTAAGTAGAGTTAGACACTATTCCACCAGCTCAGTAACACTGAAATGGTAGCAGCAAAGTGAAACAGTTCTTCCCAATTCAATTCTTAATTAGTGGAAAAAAAACCATTTTCAAAAACCTGTTAAGGCATATTCGAAAGCAAATACTGTTCATTAACCATGTTGATTTGGAAGGGCCTGTGACTCAGAATCAACCCGTAGGTGTAGTTCACATTGATCACTGCAGTTCAGGCTTGAAGTGGTTTACCAGAACCCTGTAGCATTGTTCAACACTATCAGACTCTGCTGCAGTTTGAGGCCTGGGCTAGAGAAGAGAGAATGCAACAGACCTAATAACCCTGAAGTACAGTTCATCATCACACCCTAATGCAAATCAGAGAAATATGCTGAGAGACAGAGATAGTGAAATTTACAACAGCCCTGTAATACAATACATTATAGGCCAGGGGCTGGGTTTGGGCTCCCAAACAAATGATCCAAACATCTGGCCACATATTAAATTTTAAAAGAGAAAAAACATTGTATATGAAGTTACAGCAGGAATGTTGTCCTTGAAGCTAACCTTTTTGTCTGAAACCTCTCAACAATAGACTGAAGTAACAGACATGTAACAGAAATACACTGCTAAGTTTGTTGTACTTGTCTGTTACTAAATTCTGAATGCATCTGCTAAAATCAGTCCTGATATGCTATTTAGTTTTATCAAATGATAACAAAGATTAAGCATTAATTCCAGGTTTGAAAATATTCAGACTAAAGTATCACTGACAGTATACCTATGTACCCTAGTTGCTTTGGAACAGAGACAGGTTGATGCAACGGCACTCATGCCCTTTGTGTGGGCTTCCCAGAGGCAGCTGGTTGGTCAATGCATAAAACAAAATGTTGGACCAGGGAGATCATTGGTCTGATCTGACATGGCTCTTCTTCCCAGCTTATAAAGTAAAAGGGGAGTAGGATATAAAATGCTCATAGCAGGCTTTGTGAGACATGAAAGTAAAAACCAGGGAAGCTAGTTCCCCTTTACTCAGCACTGGTTAGGCCTCATCTGTAATACTGTGTCCAGTTCTTGACACCACATTTTAAGAAAGATGCAAACAAGTTGGAAAGGGTTCAGAGGAAGGCAACTAGGATGGTCCAGGGACAGGGAACAAAGCTCTGTGATGAGAGACTGAAAGAATTGAGCATGTTTAACCTTGAGAAAAAAAGGCTGAGGGAAGATACCACAGCAATCTACTCTACTTGAAAGGTTGTCACAAAGAGGAAGGCCAGGATCTCTTCTCAATCATCCCAGACTGAAGTACAGGAAATAAAAGACTCAAGTTACAGGAAACCAGATTTCAGCTAGTTACCAGGAAAATTTTCTGATCAGTAGAACAATAGAATCAATGACCCAGGCAGGTCCGTCACACTGGAGACATTCAAGATGTAGCTGGACAGCCATCTGTCAGGGATGCTTTAATTGGAGTCCTGCACTGAGCAAGGAGTTGGACTTGATGACCCCTTCCAACTCTACTATTCTATGATTCCAACTGCAATGTCTCACATACTAACCAAGTGACAAAAAGAACAAATAGAGGGTTGTCTCTGCTGAACTGAAGGGGAGAAATGTCCAAAACTTGTTCTGAGGCAGGGCTCATGTCAGACTACATATAAAACCAGGGGTCCTCAAACTTTTTGAACAGGGGGCCAGTTGACAGGTGCCAGCGGTAGCCACGGGCCGCCAAGGCGGTGCCGGTGTGGAGGCCCGGTGTGGGGGCGGGGCACATGCGCACGTGAGGTAAGGCGTAGACGGGGGGGGCATGTGGGGTGAGGCGCCAGCTTGCTCACAAGATTGCTTTCTCCAAGTGTTTCCAAAACGACCTCCTCGTGAGCAAGCCACACGCATGCACAGCGAGTGCAAAACCTGTGGGGCGGGCCGGTTAAAAGTGCATGGCAGGCTGGATCCGGCCCGCGGGCCTTAGTATAACCCATGTATAAAACCAACACTCAGAGCTGTATTTTAAATTAATGAGCTATTTTTCAAACCTTTTGTGCTCCTCTTGTATCTTTTAATGTGGATATTAACTCTTCCAACCCTTTTAATTTCAGCTCCAACTCCAGTGCTCTGTTCTCTGCATTCCGGTGCTCTTCCTCAGCATGCTGGACTGCATCCATAGTTTTAAGTTTGTCATTCTGAAGTTGAATCATAGTCTTGGAGAACTTCTCCTGTTGAGCCAGGGGCAAAGCACCACTGAATTGCCTCCGCAGTGACTGAACAGTCTGGCGTAGATGTTTGGCTCTGTTTCTTCCCTCAAGCCTTGCATAATATAATGCTTGTTCCTTGTCATCCAATTTCTGCTCCAGACGCATATTAGTGATCTCCATTTTCTGAAGTTTGGATGTAGTTGCCTCTAACTTGGCCACAGCAGTAGCCTCACTAATCTGAAGGGCCACAATATGCTGATGTAATTTTGCAATAAGTGTTTTTTCATCTGACTGTGCCTAAATGTTAAACAAGAGAAAATAAAATGGCATAAAGCTAAATGCACTTGCAAAGGAATTGGCCCTGCTATCTTTGTCACTGAAGTCAATATTTATGGGTCTTAGCAGTAAAGCCTATACCTGGTAGTCCAAAATTTGCATTCTCAGTGATTCCACTTCTTTTTCTCTGGATTGCTGCCGATTCTCCAAAGCAGCAACTTGCATCTTGCCAATATCAGAAAGCTCTTTTAACCTATCAGTAAAGAATATTTACAGTTATGAGGGAAAGTTGTTCATTAGCTGAAATGCAAGGGTAGCAGTATCTTTAAGACACAAGATTATGGAGCACAGTCTTTTACAAATAACTTCATTCAAATACAGTATTGTAAATTAGGAGAAAAAAAGACAAAGAGAATGCATAAAGATATACCAAGAAAGCAGTTTGCTACATTTCATTAAGCACAATAACTCAGATTTATGCAAATCTAATTTCAGCTACTTTTTAACACAGATAAGGTTTTTCCCTATGACTAACAGCTGAAAAAGCACTTTTGAAGACTGCATGCAGATGGAAAGCTACACTTAAATCTGACACAATTGTTTTATCTTTACTAAAGGGTGGCATAGCAATGCTTAAAAGAAACAAATCCCTTTCAAAGAGAAGGGTATGCACACAATACAATGCTTCTGTAGTAGGAGTTACCCCCAAAGAACTCCAGCTACACTGCACAGTCCTGCACCCTAGTACATAAAACAGCTGGAGATGGAGCAGTGCTTACTTTTCAAATGCTGCCCATCCTAAATTTCTCAGAGGGAATTTTTTGGACATTCACATGTCTGTGATTACAGGAAGACACTAGCTTCTGACCAAGCGATAACCTCTGAGAAGTCAGCAGCATGTTTCACCCAGGGCTGCAGCAAAAGTGTCACAAACACTTTAGAACTTACTTGGATACCTCAACCTTAAGTTCCATTTCACTTTTCTCCAGTTCCATAATTCGACGCCTGTCTGCTTCACTGACTGCTTTACTCACGCTGCTTGATAGTTCATCTCGCAAGGACTGTTCCACTTTCTGTGCTTCAAGGTTGATCTTAGTAAGCTAAGAGTTGGGAAATAAAATTGAAATTTCAACAAAGTGTTGTTCACCCAAGTCCAAACAATTTTTTAGCATGAGGGTGGCTAACCCACATCATCATGTTTGTTACAATCTTGGACAGGAACAGGAATGGTTATGGCACAGGCAAACTCACCTGATTTTCCTATTCTGCATTTCTGCCTGTTTTCTGACTCCTAAGACTCAAGGTAAGCCCACTCCAAAACAGAGGAGCCCTAAATATACACTGAAATACATCCCATCACATAATTTGAACTCAACTTGCAAGGCATTTACCAAAAAGACTGGATGCTAATGCTACTTCAATTCCTTTTACAGTATCTCTTTTGACTCACAGCACCTTAAATAAGGCAGGGTAGCAACCTGTGGCCCTCCATTGCCCTATAATTCCCATGATCTCTTACTATGGGCTATACTGGCAAGAACTGATGGAAACTACCTGGAGGACCATACAAGTCACTCGTCCCTGAGTTAAAGATCAGTAAACAGAGTGATCAAATAGAACACCATGTGCCATTGCATTTTTCACAGTTCTGATCATATTATCAAAGCACAGTAGCCAACCTCAGCAAACTTTGCTTCCAGTTCAAAATTGCGTTCTTCCACTTGTTTTAAGGTATTTCCTAAGTGTTCATACATTCTCTGAGCGTGCTCTGCCCTCTGTCTTTCATTTAGTTCTTTCATTTCCAGCATAGTAATTTTCTTAGAAATAGAAACAATCTCGCTGTTGGTTATGGCTTTTGTGGTCTTGTCTGAAGCATTATCACCTACAATTCAACAACAGTACAATGCAAATATATAGGCTTAAGCAAACACACACTTACGTCTTTTGTGGAGGAATATAAAATCTGCATTAAGGATCAAAGAGGCAAAAAATACTCATCTTTCCAAAATATTAAAACATGGTAAAAAGCAAGAATTTATTTTTTAACTAAAACTAACTGTGAATCTGTGAATCCAACCAAAAATCTGCTAATGGACTGTTAGTGTAACAGCTTCGAGATTCAGATTCATTTATTATCACCGCTTTTGATAGTTTATTTGTCCCAGACTGTCATGAAACAGGACATATCATCTCACTAAGCTCGCCATGATAAGACATCAAACAGGTCCTCTTTGCAGATAAGACATGTTAAAGTAAGGCTAAGCAAGCTCCACCCTATTGGCCCAATAGGGCCATGCTTACTTCAAAGTAGACACGCAATCTGACTACCAGCACAACATCAGCCCACTATGGAAAAATTTATCCACTAAAGTCCCTGCATTATGCTAGATGCACATGGGTGTCATTTTTGCTGTGTAGCACAAATCCAGGCATAGACAATGCTTAAATAACCCTAAAACAACCTATGGGTTCTTTGAGGAATATCAGCCCCATGGACACAATGGCAAAATGGACCCCAGCATGACATAACAGCCCCCACAGGTAAACTATGCCACAGTGGGCTGTCATGTCATACAAAGCAGGCCATAGGCTTGATATTTAGGATGCTATTTGGAAGGGATTTTCAGACATGCTGCTCATAGTGACAATGGAACAGAGGTAGCCACATTCCAAGGACTGATTTTTTCAGCCCCACATGGTTTTGCCTTTTGGCTTACCTCTCCCCAGAATGCTAGTCACACTGAAGAGTTTTGGCAAAATGAATGTTGGCTCTTAGCCCAGAAATGTTTCTGCACTATTGCATTAAATAATAGGGCAATCAGACATCTTTTGAGATGTATGCATTCCAACATACTATTTTATTTTAGTCTAAGCCAGTATAAGGACACCACTAAACTTTTACCAAGTTTTGAATGAATGTGAAATTGAACAGTTTTGTTAACTTGGGAAGGAAAAAAAGCATGCACACAACTTCTTGTATTTAAACAGATCATCAATTCCAGATTTTAAGATAGCAAGTTTACAGAAAAAGACAAGGTACATCATCCTATTATCATAAAATAATTATACCATGCTCTGTGCTTACCTAGTTTTGCTGTTTGTTCCCAAGCTTGCTCCACTGTATGAAGTTTCTCCTTTGTAATTTCCAATTCCTTGATTAAGGACTTGATCTGTTCTTTCAGGGATGCATTCTCAAGCTACACAGCAAGATGATAATTAAAATATCAATTTGAATATAATCTTGAGGGAAATAAAGCCTTACACAGCAACTATTTAGGCTCTGTTTGCATATAACAATAGATCTGCACTGCCAGTTCTGAAATTAAATGGAGAAATGCAAGGAATTAACATAAAATTGCTACAAATAGTTATCACAAAGTATAAGTGATGGTACCTCCAAGTGCTCCAGGTTAGTTGTTCTTTGAACAAGCAAGTTATCTTTTTGTAACATATCCCTGTATTTAGCAGTTAGTTCATTATATTGTTTATTAGCCATTTCTAGATCATTTAGTGGTACACTGTCATCCAACACTTTTTGCAGTGCTGCTATCTTGAAGGTTGCCATTTCCTACATAAAAAAGGGAAAAATACTTATCAGAAATAAACCCCAATACACTTGGCACCACTGTGCTACAATAGAGACGGTCAAGGTTTTTATTTAGTCTACACCTGAAACAAGCTGATACTACATATGTGATAGTGGTATGGCCTAAAATAGCCTACTCTATCTATCCTGTTGTTAGAGGCATCAGTGGGGCTATGCTTTTGCTTCAACATGCAGAGCCCAACATTATACTCATTCATAAGTAGAGTTCATATAGCATACAAAATGTACCTTGAATCTTCGCAAACTTCCAATCTTTTCTCCAACTGCAGCTTCCATAGCCATTAATTCATCCTTCATTTTCTCTTTCTCCTTTCGAAGATGCTTCTCCATCTCAAGCAAGGTTGTATACTGCCTTGTCATTGATCTTTCATTTACTCGCAGGACTGTTATTTTTCTACTATACTCTGCCAAGAGCCGTTTAGCATCATCACCATCCTTTTGCAGACCATCTAATAAATTCTGTGGGGATTATTCAAATGTTACTGTCACTGTGATAGATGCATCATATCCATTCACAATGTCTCAGATCCAGCTAAACACAGAGTTCAGTTCATACTATGGGCCTTTCATTTCCCCAGAGACCCAGCTGTTCCCTGAAGAGCAGCTCCCAAGAGTTTGGGTGGTGGTGGCACCAGAACTGCATGAGATATATAGAAACAGGAAGGCCTGGGGAGATAAACATGGGAAAATGGTTTCGCAGTGGGGAGGGAGGGGCTTTTATCTTTAGAGAAGTGACACAAGAAAAAGAAAAAACAGTGCAAATCCAGGACCCATCCATTTTCTATCAGTTTAGCTCCTCATTGCCACAGCAAGAGACACTGCCACATCCCAAGCCATATTTAAAAGTAATCCCAAACAGTCATATGCTTTCTATAGCGTGAAAGCACCACAGCATAGAAAGGATGGGGAAACCTTGATGTTTGAAAAAAACTTCTTGATACCAAAGTCTTTATACAGCTAGACATTTACAGTATACACTGAAACAGAAATGTATGTCAATTTCACAAGTTTAATTTTCTAGGACTGCTTGAGAACACTTCTGAAGATAGGTCCACAGACCATTTGCAGAATGTCCTGTCATGAAAGTCTGACAACAAAATGTGTCTCTCTTCTTCCAATGAACTGATTTTTCTTAATGGTCCACAGGTTTTCCACATGGAAAGGTCACAGTTCTATCAAGATATAGTTAAGAGAAAATCTAGCATGTTCAAAATGATTGTCTCAGTGATGAGAACAGTTCAACTTGTGATGCTACTATAAGCTTAAGATGTAGTTCAATATCCTGGAAGTACTTTCAGAAGGCTTTTTCATACCACTATACAATTATAGAAATCTTATTCTCCTTTCAATAATGCACAATTAATCAATTGTGCTGATGGAAACAGACTTCCCATCCCTTCCTTCCCACAGCTTCCCACTATTAAAATGGGAGCTGGCTGCAGTTTGCTTTCTGAATCCTGTGCCATTGTGGTCAAGTTTAGACATAACAGAAACCATGGATTCAGAACAAATCTGAACAAGTATTAGATTAATGCACTTTTTCCCCTACCTTCTCTTTTGCAGACAAGAGGAAAGTATTAAAACAGAAGCTTCCCCCTCCATGTCTAAAAGTGAGGCACATGAGAACATGTTATCATCTGAGAACATGGGAAGCTGTTGGCTTTAGTTCCCTGGAAAATTATAGTTTCTTTAAAAACAAAAGAAACTTTTGGTATCATCCACAGTGCTGAGTTCCTTACAGGTAATTGTTATAAGTTGTATTTACGAATCACTCCGTTGTAATATTTACTCTGTGCTGATGTCTGTTAAAATCATTACGTCCAAATGAAAACATCAAAAATACTTACACAATATTCTTTTATTTTTATATCGTCCTGTTCCTTTTGAAATTCTAACTTCTTCTTTTCTTCTTGAATTTTTTTACCGTCAGTTTGCCAGTGTTCCCTTTCACTAAAATGCATTTTAAAAAAGATTACACACACGCACACATATATTTAGAGCCTTATTTATGACAAGTTGAATTCAAATTATTATAAATGCAGTGTCATTTAAGGCAAGTGGCTCTCTAAAACTGAAAGTTCAGGTCAAAGCTTTCATAAGTTACTTGTCAGCAAAGTAACTGATGAAAAAATGGATTTTGCATCGATGAACTTGCACCTTTGTAAAGGCAGAGGATGGTTAAAAATAAGACAACCAGAGAAGCTGAGTGATCTGCGATACCAGAAGGATTATATTATTTTTGCTTTGCTCCAAAGCAAATAAAAATATTTTCCTAAATAGGAAAAAATGCATGCAACACTAAAAATAGACAAAATGCAGCACAATGACAGTAGTTTTCTGGATGTTCTGTATAGCTTCAAAAACTACATATAAAGCTAATGAAGAAAAAAATAAATTTGGATCCCATTTAATGCATCTTTTGGTTAATCAAAAGATCATCAAAAGCAGTAATTATACCTTTGATATTCTTTATACAGTAAACCTTGCTGGTGGCGGATAACTGCAAATTTTCTTTTATGTTCTTCTACTGCTTCTTCTAATTTCTTAGACAGCTGCTCTTTCTTTTCCAGATCCTAATAATAAACATTAAATTATTATTAAAAGAATCCCAATTTCAACTCTAGTATCAGAGGTCATTGTTGCAGCTTTGAAAAGGCATAAGCTTTCTGAAGTAGGATTTTATGAAAAAAAGGATTTTATTATTTATGTATTTAGGTTACTTATATCCCTCTTTTTTTTCTTTTCAAAGAACTGGAGGCAGCTTACATAATTCTCAGTCTCATCCTTACAGGTAGATTGGGCTGAGAGTCTGTGATTGACCTGAAGTTACCCAATTAGCTCCATGGCTGAGGAGGGACTAGAACCCAGGTCTCCTCAGTCCTGCACTCTTAGCCACTACACCACACTAGATCACACAAACACATAATTAAAAAATACCATACCCACTTCCATGGAACAATTATATAAATATATCAAGAAGTTACAGTATAATATGAATTTTTACCTTAAATGTAGAAGCTTAACAATATTTTTGTTTAATGTCATTTCTTTCTACATTTCTTATGAGCAACTATTCTTGAAATGTTGGTTGTTTGCAACAATTTCAATTTAAAATCAAATATGCCATGAATAAGAAAACATTCATTTAAGTGTTATACGTATTGTTGAGATTTTGCAAAGCTTCCAAGTTACCACATTCTATGTAGGAACAGATTGAAGAGGGCAGAGCAGAGGGCAAAGTAAATCTCTTAGCAGGTTTTAAATTATTTACCTGTAGAAGATGTATTAAATACTCATTCTGCAAGTTGATTATGTTTACACTAGTAGGAGCCATCCCTTCTGGAAGGGCCACTGCTTTGAATGCTATACTGGCACCTTCTGATTGTCGCAACAAATGTATCTCACTTTCTAGACTGGCAACCTGAAAAAGGAAGATGTTCAATAATAAACACAGAAAATAACATCACTGAAAACTTTTAAGTGTTACCTAGATCATATCATATCATTACAGACTACAGTAACAACACAGAAAAACTTTCCAGGCCATCCACTACACCAAATCAGGCTGCTTTTGAAGGTCACCACATTATAAAAAGCAGCTTGCAAGGAACAGTGGTTCGGCTCACAGACCTGCAACACTATTGTCCAGATCACAGCATACAGCCATAATCCTGTTATGTAGCACCCACACCCAAGAAATACTCTTCCAATGGCTCAGAGTTGTACATGGAAGGCCAAATGAGCTTATCTACCTTTGTATTTGCTTTGGTCAACTGATTAGAAAAGATCACTGCCTCCTTCCGAGCTTCTCTCAGTTCTTTCCTTAATTCCTCATTTCGTCCTGTAAGTTGGTCAACTTGAGTCTTCAAATGCAAAGTGGCATCAAAGTTTCCGTCTGCATTTTTTAATTCAATTGCCTGCCAATGATTTATTTAATGTAAAAGAAAATAAATATTTTCCATAAAGTTATACTTTCAAAGTCAGAACAGTGAGAAATTGCTCAGATTTCTCCATTAACAATGCTAACAAATATATTGTTACTTCATGTAGCTGGGTAGATGAGCAGTTTAAAAAAGAGAAAAAGAAAAAATGTTTTGAAGTGTAAAGTTTACATGACCAATAGAACTGGCATTGAAAGGAAGGACTTCAAACAGAACTTCTGCAAATATATGACAATGCCTTTCAGTGGCTGCTCTAGAGCAATATCTTAGAGCACAGAAAGGAAAAAGGTAGATGATGATGATGCACTAGTAGACCTCTGAACCTTTCATACTACAAGCCTTTCAACTTCCAAAAGTGTAACAATACCATATGAAATTGCAAGGAGTGAAAAAGCATCTACTGTGTCTGGTTATATACAAACTGCTTCCCTCTCAGCCTCAACATTACTCACCTATAAAGGATAAATATTAATTAGTTACTTCTAAGCAGGTATTTGTGCAACTCTGTCAGCCAGTTTTAAACATTTATGTAAAAATACTTTATATAAAAGTCATACTTCAGATGTAATTCTGTAAGGTCACATGCAGGTTGTCTAAGGTTCTGTTTCATGTGGTACATCAGGTAATTAACTCAGAATCAGCTCGCTATCCAACCCCAAGCTAGTAATTATTAGCCAGCTAAAGCTGGTAGATCTTGGGGTTCTAGTAACAATGGGAGTAGATTCCACACCTGAAGCCTGCTCATTCCTGCTATAGAGCATTTTAATTATTTTGTGAACATTAACTAGAGATAATCCTACCAAAAACCCTGACTGAACCCTAGGGAGAAAGACCAAGTTCATGGAATAGGCAGGATTCAAACCAGCTTAATGATGCTATGCTACCCAGGCAGGTTACTGTGCATAACACTGTTAGCTCAGGGTCTCCTTAGCCAGACTGTACAAAGTCCCAATCAGAATCTGCTCCTCAGGCCAGGTCACAATCTGCCCATCATTCACTACAGAACCAAGAGAAAGGCAAGCAATACAGGAGAAGAGGTATGTGTCTCTAAGTCCAGTCCCTGTCCAAAATCTCTGTCTTTGGAACAGAGGAGAACCATTCCAGTGTCCAAACAACTAGCAACAATTTGGGAGCAAATAAAAATGTTGGATTCTTATGAGAATTGACAAGCAGTTGGAGGATCGTAGTGTTGCTTCAGTTTTAAAATATTCTGCAATGCTTTCAGTAAGAATCATTTTCCCTCCAAACACAACAATTTTCAGGTAAATTTTCACATTTCATAAATCATTATATACAGAATTTCAATATTAAGTACTTTAATAGTCAAACAGATTCAAATAAGCCAAATATGTAAAAAGGAACAAGACACTTACATTTACTAGTCGTTCCAGACTAGGAATCATAAGAGCAGTTTCTCCACCTGTCACCGCTGGATCTTTCTGGATATCTTTTATGGCTTGTAGAATTTCTTTCATGCCTTGTTCAAGGTGCTTATTTTCTTGTAGTAATTCTTTCACTGCAATTAAATTGCATACAGTTCATTTCTGGACATTTTGAAGTGGACAACTGCAAATTCATATACATTTTAATTGCCAGATTTGAAATGACAAGTGGGCTGGATTCAGACTTGCATTTAGCCCAGAAGATTTATGGTTTCTGGGACATGTGAGATGTTGGGACTCCTACAGAGACCTATCCTCTGGAAGAGTGATGGTGAGCAGGGAGTAAGGCAGCCAAACCCCTGTTTTGCAGGGACCCGGTCCAAATTGGTCCTCTCCTAAAATGCTTAGACTCACTGAAATCAATGAAGCGTGTTAGCATGCTTAAGTCCTAATGATTTAAGAAGATCTATACGAAGCATGACTAAGTCTTGATCCAAACCAGCATTGCAGCTAAACCAAATCTTTTTCTGATAATGTTTATTCTTTAAGGCAACAACTTTCACTACTGGTTGAATCACACATCAAAGGAAGTTAAATTCTCTTAATTACCTAACACCTTTTCACATACTTAAATTAAATTGTTGCTTACATTTGGATTGAAATGTTGCTATTACAATCCTGTTTTCTTCCAAGTCTCTCTCCCGCTCATTTAATTCTTTGGCAAGGTAGTCATTCTGTAGACAAAAATAGAATGTACATCAAAATGTTATTTCACTTTTTTAAGGCTCAAATTTCTGAATATAATACAAACTGAGAAAAAGTTGTCAAAAAGTATTGTTAAATCACAAGGGATTCCAAAAATATATGATAGCTTACTGCATTTCATATATTCCAAACAAAACATTTTTTCTAATAAGAGAAGTGGCAGTAAAGCATTGCAATTCCAAAAAGTAAATACAGTCACAAAATGCTACATTTAAAAAAAAAATACTTATCATGCTCTTAATGTGGGCTTTCATCACGCTCAACTACCTCAAATTTCTGGCTCCTGCATCTGTCAAGCTCTAGCTCTGCACTTTTATTCAGTGCATTCTTGGCGAACAAGTCTCTCAATATCTGCTCATTCTAAAGAACAAGTAATAATTAGTATAGAATCCATGTTTCTTTCCTATGAGTGTTTAGACAGAAAAAGGCCTACAACTCCCAGCATACCCTAGCCAGCTATATTGAATCATTCATAGTTGCATATTTTAATGAGTTACAACAATCAGTATCTAACTATAACTCAATCAGTGTCACTGCCATTCTGTGCAATCAACTCTTTTGTAAAGATGCACTGATACAGATGTTGGTACAGCCATTCCTAACCTCTTATGGGACAGCAAAGCTAATCATTAAAAATGCATACATCAGTCTATGACAAATAACTTTTTACCCTCTCCTAAGTTGCAATATGCAAGTAGCCTCTATCTTTATACCTTTAATTCAGACAAAATTCATAATGTGAATATGCATTACTTGTTCAGAAATTTGGCACATATGTAATAGGAAGGCATAATGTAAGCATATATAATGAAGAAGCCTCACCTCTGACCTAAGGACAGTTAATTCATTCTTCAGCTGCTTTATGAGACTCTCAACTTTTTCTATCTGATATGCATTCACTGGCTGGCTACAATCAAGTCTTCCTTCTACATGTTCTACTGGCCACAATTCTGGAAAATGTATTTTGTCTTTGCCCATTTCTTGAAAATCAGTTCTCAAATCCATCAGTTTTATTTCAGAATTATCCTTCTCATCTTTCAACAGGACCTCTTGCACTACATAAGACGACACCGGTTTTCCAAGCAGAGTAAGGGGCAACCCCTCCTGGAAATCCAGGGATAGCATCCTAACAGGGTGTGCCAGTGTATGGACATGAGAATGCTCTTGACTTCTCTTCATCTGCCTTTCCTGACTTTGTACCTCTTGTCTTTTACTGGCCCTTTGTTTTCTTTGCATAGCAGAAAATGAAACTGGACAGTCTGTTGCTAGTTCATTTGATTCCTTACAGTTGACTGAACATAATGCTGTCCCTAGCATTTCTGTAGATTCTTGCCCTAATGAACTGTAAAGCTCATCTATTGTAAAAGCTTTGGAGCCATCACTATAATCCTCCACCTGTACCTGCGAAAAAAGATGAGAATTCAACTGAAAAGAAAAGGAAGTGCTTTCATTCTTTAGGCAAATAAACTTTGGAATTTTCCTTCTCTTTCCAATCCATTTTTAGAACTTGTTTTTTATGGTTGCATTCTGCAACTGTGAGGAAAAAGCAGTTACATTCAGCATAAAGTATGTTTTCCTTTCTTTCTTATATGACTGCTAACCTGTATTCATAACACAAATAATGTTCCACAGCACAACCAATTGACAGGTTAGTCACACATTATTTTTTGTTTTTATGATTTTATTGTATATAATACTTTATACAAAGGTGCTTCAAGAATATTCCAAGAATAAATCAAGTCAAAATTGAATTGACAATGGATAGACACAGTATGTGCCTTTACCTTTGATTTAACCTCATCAAAGTTAGTGGTACTCATAAACTCAGATTTCCCCCGTTTCATCTTCAGATCTTCAGTAAAGGTATCAATCAGCTGTAAGTCATCTGCATCTAGTCCTAAAGTGAACATGGTAAACAAACAAGTAAAAATAGAAGACTTAAAAGGTGACTTGAGATAACATGGATGAAAGTCTAGAAAGCAAGTGACATGAAGAGACCTAATGATAAAGCTAAAAAGATTTCTCATTTAGGACCTCTTACTAGTAGAGGACTGTATCAGGCAAGAGTTGGCAGTTCACACTTCCAACCTGGTATAGAAAAGGCTGGAGAGAGCTAGGCAGGAGCTAGGCAGGAATGAGACTGTCAACTTGCCAAAACTGAAGAGGATCACAAAACTACTGTTGCTTAAATGGATGTGCAATGCAGCAGTAAATCAAATCAATAATATAAGGTTTAGTATATCCCTTTGCATACAATGAAAAATTATGTATCAGTCCATCCAGAACAATCATGGAAGCAAAAGATCACAGTATATTCAAGAGTTCAATCAGCCTGAGATTCATATAAACAGATTCATATAAACTGGTTCCTCAGTATTGCTGAAGGGGCTTGAATTATTCTAAAATCTTCTATTGTTCGTAGCAAGGAGTTAAATAATTACTAGAAAAACTAACCTAAAGATGCAGCTCTTCTTCCTTTCTCCTGAGCCAGTTTACGAATCTGTTGTTTCAGGGCAACTCTTTCCTCTTCTAGTCTTTCAATCTGAAATGCATTTAAATGGTCATTACTTCTCCATGTAATTTTATTTTATTAAAAAAAATTAAGTGAAATGTACCACTTGCCTCTTTCAGCAGGACCTGGTTTTCAGCCTTGTATTGCTGTTGTTTTAATGCTTTGCTATTTTTAAATTCAGTTAAATCAATCATTGTCTTTGGATCAAGACCTATAACACAATATACATGACGTGTATTACAGAACATCTGTATGTTTAATTAGAGACAGAGAGAAGATAGGAGAAACTCTCTTCCCACATATCATTCAGTACACCTTTATTGCAATACCTTTGGCTTAGATAACCACACTGAGCGTAATTCTCAGCCATTGCCTTCAGTTTGCTTCTGATTAGAGAAAAATACTAGGTTGTGCTCTAGAACCCTCTAACTGTATTCCAGCACAAGTTTGCATTGGGGGAAAGTGATAATGGAGAATCAGTTCATCTACAGATAATTATTTGTTGTTATCCCTGCTTTTAATGCAAGGGATCAGAGTGAAAGAAAGTCTCTTTCCCTCTGCATTTGAACTCTGCTACTTAAGAAGTAAGCTTCTTTTGTCTTGGAACAGATTATACATACTGAATATATGATGATTAGTTTGTAATCAAATAAGGTTAAGATTTGGCACAGCGGTTAAGAGTGCTGGCCTGGAACTCAGGACATCTGGGTTCCAATTCCCACAGTCATGAAATTCATGGGTAAGTTTAGGTTAGTTACAGGCTCTCAGTTTAGCCTACCCCACAGGTTTACTGTCATGAGAATAAAATAGAGATGAGAACCTTATAAGCCCCCTTGGGTTCCTTGCAAGAGGAAGAAAGGTGGGACATAAATCTAATGTTAAAAGAAGAAAAAACTGGAAAGGCCATAATCTAAAAGAGTCCTTGTGATTGTGCTGAAAGGTTTGTATTCAGCAATTTTCCAGTTTCCTTACTACCAACTTGTCCTGTGTCTGAAGCATATTAAAATTCCATCAGCTCTTCTGTTCTAGATGATGCCTGTATATGAAGATATTTCATTATTCAGAAACAAGGCTAAAAGTTTGATAATTGTTCTGCAAAGGCAGGGTTTTCCCTACAGAAAAGACAAGGAACACTTTAATTATCATATAATTTAGGAAGAAAAGACAAATTCTATATTTCAAGTCAACTAAAAAAAAGAAATCAACTGAAATTCAATTCAGAATTTCTGAAGATTAAAAAGCACATATAGCAAAGACAAATTAAATCTGTTTCATTACTACTGTACAATTGAACAACTGCAAAACATAACATGCTACATACCTAGCTGTTCTCGAAGATCTTCATTTTCATCAAGAAAATCACTGATTTTTAGTTCAAGTTTGTTAACTTCTTTAATTAATATTTCATTTTCATGATCTCGTACTTTAATTTGCTTTTTCAAATCCTTTATTTCAGCAATAGCATCTTCCAAACCATATATTCCCTTACAAAAGAAAGCAAACAAGTTCAATATGAGATATTTATTTATTTATTTATTTGTTTGTTTGTTTGTTTGTTTGTTTGTTTGGAGTTTTATTTGCAGCCCACACCTCCTGATGACCTCTCCCAGCGGTTTCATGTAGATGTTAAATAGCATGGGGGACAAAATGGATCCCTGCGGAACTCCATGGCATATCTGCCATGGCACAGAGCCATAGTCCCCCAGCACCACCTTCTGAAATTGGCCATTGAGATAGGAGTGGAACCACTGCAAAGCAGTGCCTCCTATTCCCAATCCCGCTAGCCTATCCAGAAGGATACCATGGTTGATGGTATCGAAAGCCACTGAGAGGTCCAGGAGGACCAACAGCAACGCACTCCCCGTCTCTCTCCCTGCACAGGTCATCATACAGGGCGACCAAGGCAGATTCAGTACCATACCCGGGTCTGAAGCCGGACTGAAATGGGTCCAGATAATCAGTGTCATCCAAGAGTGCTTGGAGTTGTTCCACCACCACCAGTTCTAACACCTTGCCCAGAAACGGGATGTTGGCCACCGGTCTATAATTGGTGGCCATCTCTGGATCCAGGGACGCCTTCTTTAGGACTGGCCGGCTACCGCCTCCTTTAGAGGGGCAGGTACCTGGCTGTCCCTCAGAGAGGCGTTGATGACCTCCAGTATCCAGGCACCAATCCCGTGTTTGGCTTTGTTCAGTAGCCACAACGGGCAAGGGTCAAGTAAACAGGTGGTGGGGCGTACTTGTCCAAGCACCTTGTCCACATCATCAGGCCACAATAACTTAATAACTTAATATTATTAATGGAATGCCAAGAAACACATAATAAAATTGAATTCAGTTTCAGCTTTTCTGGGGGCCTATAGACATGACCAGAAGTCCACAACTCATTCACTACCTTATATCCTCGGGTTTGTTTTCTTAAAATATTCCTCAACAGGCACCTATGACATGCCAGGAAGTTAAGAACACAGCAGTGACAGCATCCTTTGGAAGGAGACTTCAGCTTGCTGTGCTATCTAGTGGGGCCTCTCTGCTCACACATGTGCCCACTTTACCTTGCTTCCCATTGCCTCTCCAGACTGAGACTCCTTCCTCCACAGACATTAAGAAAAGCAAAGAGAGACACTTGGAGGCAGGAGGAAACAGGAAGCCCACAGAGAAGCAGGGATACTTTACGTGGGTGGGAGTGTACAGACAAGAGGGATAATTGGCACTGTGGGTTTTCTGAGAAAGAATGAAGGGATAATGAAGGGGGAAGGAGAGAAGAGGGAGAGAAATGCAGGAGGAGGGAGTGAAAGTGGGGCCCACCAGCTTTGGCCCCACGGACAACTCCAAAAAAGTTGCCTGCCTGGATCTTAAAGAGCATAGTGTCAAATTAAACTACATACTGCCTCATAATCTCTCATTCGTTTCAGAGTGTCAATAAGGTCTTTGTCCTTCTCCCTTGCATCAGCTTCTGCCAGTTCTGCAACCCGTTCAGCTTCTTTAGTTTTCTGTTCCAGCATAAGTAACTTTCCTTGCATTTCTCCAATGTAATCCTGTTGAGATGACTGACCTAAATTTAAAATTGAAGCAAATACCCATAAGAAGTTTGCTATTCACTCAGTCTCAGCCCATTTCTTAAGGAATATTAGGTGTGAAACTGGTATTAAATACAAAGTGCAGTATCCAATGGTGTTGGTTCCATAAATTCAAATCACATTATCAGAGCTCCACTGACTCGTTGAGTTGCATAAGTGGTTGTGTATTACAGTCGAACAAAATGGTTGTGCAAGAAACTGGTCACACAATACATTGCACAACCAGTGGCACAACTGTAATATACATTTATAAAGTATAATGTACAAGCAGTTAAACAAGTTATGGAAGCATAATTTATAACTACTTGCAGTTGTACACTATGGTTGTGCATAATGTACTTAGATTCTCTTCTTATACATAGTTCGGAACCTAGTATCTGCTAGCATCATGCCATTTTTGCTAGCCCAATGACATAGCTGGACATGGCTCTCTGAATTAAAAATACTGAATTGAAAGAATGAAACTTGACCAATCAATAACCATTAGGCCAATTAAAAGAAGTATTAGTCTCCTTTCCCATTATAACTATATAATCCAAGAAATGAACAGACCAGAAAGGATCAGACCAGCCTTGCAAACAGAACCAAGTAACAAGAACTCCTGAAGAGTGAACGCAGGCTGTTACTGATGCCCGTTTGCCTGTAGAATGGGAACAGGTAGAAGGGGAGCCCATTTCAGGAATAATGCATACAAACATTGAAGAGTCAAGTCAGAAGTGCCCATTAAGGCCATCAGGTTCAACTCCCTGCTCAGTGCAAGACTTAGTTAAAGCATCCCTGACAGATAGCTGTCCAGCTGCCTCTTGAATGCCTCCAGTGTGGGACAGCCCACAACTTCCCTAGGTCACTGGTTCCATTGACATATTCATCTAACAGAAAGTTTTCCCAGATGTTCAGTCAGAATCAGGCTGCCTGTAACTTGAAACCATTATTCCGTGCCCTGCACTCTGGGATAATTGAGAAGAGATATTCACCCTCCTCTTGTGACAGGTTTTTAAGTACTTGGAAAAGTGTTACCATATTTCCACTCGGCCTTCTTTTCTCAAGGCTAAAAGTGGCTTATTATGTATCTCTGCTCCCAAGGCTTTGTTCATTGATGCACCATAAGATATAATACGAAACAGTAAATGTATATAATAGATTTAGACATACTACTTTGGGATATCACAGATACAATGTCCCCACTCAGCAGTGAGCCACTTGCTCTTCATCCAGCCACACATTTAAACAAAAAATCCCTGTCTCAAATTACATGGTAAATTTTAGAGGTATAGCTGTGTTAGTCTGTAACACTGCACATAATGAAGAATCTTACAGAATCATGAAGACTAACAACATTATTCTTACATAAGCTTTAATAGATATGGTCCATTTCATCAGATGTAAGAGCACATTAAAAATTACATTTAACACAGAAAGAAACTATGGCTACCTCAACCCAAACTTTAGTCTTAACAAAGATTTAAAGTCAGCTTCAAATCCTGTTCTGAAATCTAATTATGCATATTGATTACATACTGCAATTATTAAATGAACCATAAAGACAAACAGTTACCTTTTCCTTTTTGGAGCTCTCTTTTCAGATCCTCAATGATCAATGCATTCTTTTCCATTTCTTTTGTATATTGTTCAACTTGTTCTGTGAGTAGTTTGATTTGACTATCTCTTTCTTGCACACCCTGCAGACATATAATTTTGTACTTAATAAACTGCATGGATAGCTTCCTATAAAAATACATAAAAGGATCAACATAACAGAAAAATAAAGGTACTTACAACATAGAGTTCAGATATTATCTACAAAGACAAGCAAAGACAAAAGAGCAAAAAGAGGAAGAAGAAAAATAAAAAGGTATAGTTTGCAGGATGATAAAAAAGATTAACTTTTTTCAGAGTTACATTTTGCTCATTATCTGAATTTTGCTTTAAACCAACATTAGCTATCTTAGATACTGGTTCAAATAATTATGCATATTCTCATGAACTGTCAATTTCCAGCATGAAAAAGGAAACATTTAGATGTGTATGGCTACACATTAAGCATGTCTGCACATCTTCTGGACACTAGGATATGATTGGTGACTGATGAATCCCTTGAATCGATCACTACTCCCTCTCCAACATACCCATTTCCATGCCCATCATGAGGTTGGAGTTCCATCTTCATAGAAAGAATCAACATGCTGTGCATGGAAAGCACTTTTGAAAACAGTGACTAGGTACACATCCCGTTTATAAATTGAATAGATTTAAAAAATTTAAAAATTGAGCATTTCATAATTTCTACATTTCAAAACATTTTAAATTACAGCTTTAATTTTTAAATATGTATACATATATAAACAGATTTTAAAATGTGAAATCATATGTTGATTGGTTACTTCTTAATGTGAAAAAACCCAGTACCTGCTGGAGTGACATCACACTGTTCTTGTCAGCATCAAGCTGGGCCATTTTAAGCTTCTCTTTCAAAGTAAGCAACATTTGCTGATATTCAATGATTTCATCATCTTTGGAAGTCAAAATTCCCTGTAAAATAGCATTCAATAATGAGGGGACAGTCTTGCAAAGAAGAGAGTTCTTAAAAAGTAGCTAGATTTGCCATAAAATACCTTCCATTCTTCCACTTTTTCATTTACTGCTGCCATGAGAGGATCGTCTTCTTCATTCTTTGCTTTGAGTTGCTCTGTTAATTCATGCACCTGTAAGATGACTGTGATGTAAGGTACATGAAAATATAAAGCTATGCACACATTACTCCAAATTAACTATGGAAAGTTTCGCAGGGAAATAATTGGAATCAAATTTGCTCTCTCAGTTTACTTTTAAAGAGATATGAGATCAAACGCTATACCCCCTCAGCAAGCAGCAGACCATGAATATCTAGCTTTCAAAACAAACTTTAAAACTGGCATTACTCAGTGCTCCTCAGAAAATGTCACATCTCTGACTCGATTTGTTTTACACTAATTTTAATGTCTTTTCATGTAATATTGAGCATGCTCTGATACTGGAAATAGGCTAAAGTATAAGTTACTTCATACCTGTAGTTTATATTGTTCCTTTTCTTTTCTTATTTGGTCCATAACAAGGTCAGACTGCTGCACAATAAGTTTCATTTTATTGTACTCATCAGTCATCTTTTCCATTTCCTGCACTGATTCTTCTAGATTCTTCCTCATTTCCTGGTTTTGAGCCTCTAATTTTTCATTAGCCTCAGTCAAACCCTAAACATTACAAAGAATTTTATGGGGTTAGTGTTTGGTTAGATGCAAACTATTTTTAATTGATCAAACCCAGCTCTGACAAGGACTAACAGACAATATGGTAGCAAGCTTACTTATCGGCCCAATTCTAACTACATAAGCATTATACCATAATGCAAGCCATTAAATTAGCCTACTACAGGTAATGAAATATGATTTAACTCCCCGTGACTGACAACACTAGAAACACTAAGAAAGGGATATTCCTCATCTATTCCTTCTAGGAGTTATCCCTTCACAATGTCATCTGGAAAAGTATGCCAGTTTTCATATTGGTATGCTGAGATGGTAAGAAAAGAGCAAGTGCTCCACACTCAGGTATGATGGGGAAGCCAGACAGGCACACCTTGGCAATTGCACAACATTTTCTGACCAAAATCCAACATTTCCTTCTAACATGAAGCCATGCTGGGCATTAATATGCAAAGAAAAGTATGGTAGGAGTAGTTTTGTAATGAACCCTCCCCCCCACAAAAAAAGGACACACACTTGCAGAAAAACAATGGAAGGAACAGAGCAAAATGACCAAACTTCTATCCAAACTTTGAAAGGGACAAGGGTTGCAAAATCCCCCTCAATACAATAGTTTAAAACAGGGGAGGCAATGCTTCAGGGGAAAACTTTCTTGATACCCACCAAGTTGCCCCAGACTTCACACTGAAAAAATAATAATGTATTTTCTTACTCACAGTTGGAACCTCTGAAACAGGTGTCTCATAATGCTGTTTGGGTTTACACCTACCTCTATCTTGCCCTCAGTTCTTTCAACAGACTATTTGTCCCTTGCCATGCCTCCCACATTGGCAATTTAGCAAACTGTCCCAGGTACAATTATGCCCAAGCCCTGAAAAGGCTGCTTACACCTGCTTTAAACACTCTCTTGCTCCCAGGTTTAGAAAGCACCTTCAGTCAAACACTGACACTGGCAAAACAAACCAGGAAGCTCTGGACTCCTAGAAACTATGTTGCATCAGGTCTTATTTATGAAAATGATAAAGTTGTTTCATTTCATTTCCAGAACAACCTCTGAATATACCTGAATTTCATCCAGATACTGGACAAGTTCATAGTTCTTTTTTGATAACTGTGACCTGTAATCTGATTCTTCTCCTCTTCGTGAAAGAACTGTTTCCTTCTGTGCATCTATTTGTCTTTGATAATCAACTACATCCTGACGAAGCTGCTCGTTCTGCATAAAAACAAAGAGGAAGATTTAGAGTTTGAAAATCTTGCTGGAAGGTAGTGACTCCACTAAGAGGCTGGGGAACCATGTCAATGAATCTTATGACTCTGTCATCTACGTTGTCTGTAGACGTACATATGCTAACATACTGCATGTTAAAATTATCAATATTCTATGATCTACTAAATGAAGCTGAATTGTCTCACCTTTTTCTTCATTCGTTTTTTCTTCAAAGAAAATAGAGCAGAATAGGAAAGAAAATTAGGAAAACACTGAGAAAAAATGATAATGTAGAAGCCAAAACTTAAAACAGCAAGAAGTAATAATACTTCAAGGGAACAAGTAACAAAACTGAGGTTTATAACAGAATGCATTCAGGGCTTCAAACTTTGAGCATCTATGCTAATAAGTGCCTCAAAAATGAAAAGTCCCTGTTCTGAAAGAGGAGCTTTTTGCTTCCCCTTGCATCAGCATTCATCCCTCAAACTTAATCAAATTGATCAAGTCAAATGAATGGGTCTTATTTCTGAGAAAAGATTCCCAAGACAGGTATGATGAATATAAATGTGAAGCCAGAATCACAGCACCTGATCAAAAATAAGAAAAATAATCATGATGCCGAGCACAGGTGAAAGAAGCTTTGCCTACTATTCCCAAGTCCTCCAACAGCAGCCATCAATGAAAAAATTGATTCGGGGGGTGGGGGGAGATGACACAAAAGCATCTAGGAATGGGCTTTATAGTTCCTGCTACAGAAGTCTCATTGCAGAGGCACACTGTTTGAAAGTTCCTGCTACCTTGCTAGGACACCCTGGGGACATTCTACAAATGTAGCTAATTCAGAGAACACATTAATGACACCGAAAGAGAGCTGAACAAGAGCAGACAATAGTGTCCCAATAGAACTGCCAGGAACATAAAAGGAAGTTCAAAATATTTACTCTCTAGACACAGCCATACTCCAGGAGAAACTAATTTAAAAATATGTAAAATATTTCCAACACTGTCAATTGCAACATTCTTTACTAACCTCCCTTCTCAACTTGCTGTTTTCATTTTCTGCATCCTCATTTCGAAGAGCAAGCTAGAACGATAAATTTAGGTATGAGTTCATAAGGAAAGCTATAGCCGAACTTTCCTTCCTTTTCCAAGATTATCAATGTCTCTGAAGTACCTCAACAGTAAATACTAGGTTTACAGAAACATCTACTGCAGTGCAAATAGAGAAAAGCACCAGACTTCATTACAGATTGTTTTGATTTTGCAATTCCTCACTGAGAACAGAGGAGAAATATATCATAACAAAATTGTATTATTGTTTGCCCTGGAATAATACCTGAGGAGAAATCCAACAATAGCAAAACCAGACTGAACTGATCAATTGAAGATGTAACCCCCAGAGAAGTAATTCTTACCAAGGAGTAAGTTCCACTGAATTCAATGGGGCTTACTTCTGAGTAGGAATAAGCAAACCTGTCAAGATTGAGAACAGTGCGGTTCTCATTTTTCCATTAATTACATCCCAATTTCATACGTGTTACTTTTTTCCTCACTGACATTTGCATGCATTTTTGTGTGCATTTTTCAAGATGTATGCATTTGAAAAATGAAGAAAAATATACACATTTTCTAAGCATGAACCCATTGACTAAAACATATTTGTGCATATTTTAGATATTTTCAAAGAAAAATGCATACATTTTTCAAATGTGCCCATATTGTTGAATGCATTTTTTCATGGCACAGAACGAATTGCAAATGCATGCACCGTTAACCACAAGTTGTTTTTTAGTTTTGCATTAAAATGTGAACCCATCAAATCTGTCACTAGCCCCTGCATAGGGATGGTGTTATAGCCAGTGCTCCCCACTTAGGAGGAAAATGGAAGCCACTAGCAAGAGATTCCTCCTCCCCAGAACAGCCCTTCAAATATGTTCAAGAGTTACATTCAAGAGTCTGTTCTTCACTCTACTGAAACCATCTAATTAGTTTTTACTTTCTTTCCATACAAATGTAAAATTATTATTAAATTGCATTACTATAAATGTATATTTACATTGCTACTTTGTGAAATAAAGTACAAACTTTCATTTTCACAAGATCATATATGGTGCAGTTGAGTCTTTAACATAATTTTAAAAGACATTCCCATTATGTAGTTTATCAAGCATAAAAAGAATTTCAGGTTGCAATTCTACACTCATTTACCCGGTAGTAATTCCCATGGAACCTAATGCAGCTTGCTTCCAAGGAGATATATTTAACATTGCCCTACTAAAGATTCTCAGCTTCTCCAATCTTATAGCAGAGCTTATCACTATTATTTCATTATTAAAAGTTAAGTGAGTATATGTTTACAGCTAATGAAAAGAACTATGTACTTGTAATCATTTCACACCATTTGCATTTTTATTTCAGTTGTTATTCTCAAAGTAGTTAATTTAATGCAGATACTCAATTTTAGCACAAAGTTACACATCTTGTTAATTAGACTAACCTGTTCATTAATCTTCTTCTCTTTTTCAACCTCCTTTTCCATATCTGCTAATTCTCGGTCTTTTTGTTCCAGTTGTCTTTCCAGTTGGCGTATTTCATCACGCAAAAAACGAGTATCCCGGCCAGTAACTGTTCGCTGTGCTGCCTGGTAAAAATAACACACACATTAATATGCTTCCAAAGTAATCAGGTATGACATGCAAACAACTGTTTTAGACAGCATTACAATGCACAGAAAACTCAAGAAGATTAAAAAGCCCTTTGCAGTGCTATGTAGGTATGGTTTTGGAAAGCCAGCTACAGGTGTGCACACATGAATCAGAAGAAATTTAACCTGAATGTGTCAAAGTAAAATTATTGAACTGACTGCTATTAATTTTATTCCAATATATACCAAGCACATCATTCAAAATTGATAAAAATATACCTCATAGACTTACAATACAAATATATATTTGTATATTTATATACATGTTTTAAATCTGCATAAAATCTACATCCATAAGTAATGCATTTTCTCATGTGCATAATAAGAATTTGCCTTCGGCAGCATCTTCAAAGTACTGTCTTAAGAGATGAAAATGATATGGTTGTGATTTAGAAATCTTTCGAACACAGGGAAGATTCTGAAGTTAAGTATAATGCAGTCCTACTAATTTCAGTGGGTAATTGGAACTGCAAAATTTTGAAGTACCTAACCATAGCTGAAATGCAAAAATTTTACTTTAGTCCCCACATCTTTCATAAATGCATAATAAATTTAAATTTAGCATTTGTTTCTGAATAAAGTGTTTTTAAAGGTCAGACAGCTGTTATAAATTAGCACAAAAGCACTGACATCAGAAAGAACAGAATAAAGCTCAATCATTATTTCAATTTAAACTTTAGCTTACCTCCAGTTCCTTTTCCAATTTCATCACTTTAGTTTTTAACTTGTTTTCTGTTTGAATAAAATAGAAAAAGGTTACTAAACCATAATTTTCAAAAGCTTCCAACTGAAAGCCAAAATAAACTAGGAAGCAGCATCTGTCAACATTGGAAGGAACTACTTTTAAAATCAAATTACAATCGCTATTATGGTTTTATCCTTTTAAATTAATGTTTGTATTTTAATGTTTAATTTTAACTTTTGTTAACGACCAACAGAGCCTTGGCTATTGGACAATATAAAAATGAAATAATTTTACTAATCACAAAATTTATGTTTTATTGAATTGCATTTAAAGAAGAAACATACCTTATAATTAACAGCTATGGAATCAAGCTTCCATAGGTGGGCAGTATAAGTCCAACTTATATTAATGAGAGCAATAAGCATGTACCTAACTCTTCCCAGTTAAAATTGCTTGGCTTTAACTAGATCTTGAGCTTGGCAGCTTCTAAATCGATAAGTTTTACAGATTTTATAGATGTTAAACAGAGTTTCAGAGATAGAAATGGAGCCAATTTAGACAAGACATTTGTTCACAAGTTATAGTAGTTCCTGCAAACCTGGGTTCAGTGGACCTCCATTTCCCCAGCTGGATTTGTCTTATTTATTCTGATATGGACTATGGGCATAATTTAATGTCATGAAAAGAGATTTCCGCTCATACAGTTAGAATTTCCCATCCAGTCCCACCCCACACTTCTCAAACCTAATGTGAAAGATCTCTCCAAACTTTATTCATAATGTCAAAATATGGATACATGTGTGATAGAATGGTACTTATACACAGAATTCTAGATACCAAATTTGGCTTGCTCTTCCCCAGCTTTCTCAACTTCTTCCAGGGCCAGTTCTACTTCTTGATTTTTCATCTGCAAGAAAAATACCAGAGTATAATCAAGTGCCCAGAATAAAAACAATTCACATCCCAATAGTCACTGTAGAACTGAGGAGAAGTTTTAGTCTTGGGGGACAGGAATCTCACAAATTTGTCCAGTGAAACTAGGAACAAGTTTGCATGACACAAGAAGCCATTGTGAAATCTGAGTTCTGTAGTTCCTGTGAGGTATGTTTAGTTTTCTGAAACCACAGAGAGAATCAGTGACTTGTTCTAAGGTTGCTACACTTCCCTGTGGTTTCTCTGGTCATTTTATCATTGCTGGTATGGAAATATGATCAAATCCCCTGGTGAGAACAGCCATGGTTTCTTCTAGCCTTTGATAACTACTGCCCTCAGCTCACTAGCAACTGATCCTATTGCTTACTTTATTCCTATTGTCCGAACATTGTATCCCTCCCCCTGTTTACTTCTGGAAACGAGGAGACAGTGCAAGAATATATGAAGGGAAAGAGGGGAATTGTGGCAAAACTGTTTATTTGCTTTTAATAAAAATATCTGTGTGGGCTGGAGTAGCTGGGAAGCACAACAGACATGCAGGTATACTCAGGAATGGGAGAGGGGAACCCATTTCAGGTCCACAGCAGACCAACCAAGAAGAGGGTAAGAATGGTAAAAGGACAGGTTTTGCTCAGATTTATGGCAAAGCCAGGAGGTTGGAGTGGGAAGTGCAGAAACCACACTAACCAGATAAACTCGTGATCATCTGACCAGTGAAAAATCCTCACATTGTAGAAATAGCACAAGGTTGTTTCCCACGTCATGTGAATCCACCCTATCACTTCTTTTCCTGTACTGGTAGCCAGCTGGCGCTGCTTGGTGGCAGATAATGCCAATCATGGCTGACAGAAGAGCAACAACATCTACAGCTATTGACAACTGGGGAGGATTCGTCCAGAGGCAGGCATGAGGCCCCCCATTCTTGTGGGGATGGGAAGGCTCACTGCCCCACTTAGCTCAGTCCTGTTTTGCAAGGGCATGCTACTTCCACATATTCTGGGCATGCCTCTGTTGAAGACATTGCCCCCTCCGCACATCTCAACCCCACAATGTGCTTCATGCACTCTACCATATAGCAGCTAGTGGGCATAGGAGGAGATAGAAAACCAGGCCCAATCATATTAATGACTATTTGGAATAACTGCTTTATTGCAAAATGATGTTTTGTACCTTAATCAACACAGTGATACTAACCTTCATTAGAGACTGAGAAATTTTAAATAGCTGAATCAAACGTTCAGGATTCTCATCCTTCAGATCATTTCCATCAACCTAAGCACAGAGGAACAAAGAATTTCTTCAACAGAAAGATTATTATATGTTTTGACTGTTTTGATATATGAGTTCCATTTAGTTTATTTATGCAGTTCACTGGATTAATCATGCACAAGTACCTTGGCCACTGCCTCCAGCAAATCATCTGCTAGTTCCTCTTGACGAGGCAAAGTGTCAGGATCTACCCTCATAAGCTTCTTCCATTCTAAAATGGGTGCCATCTTGAATGTTCATTTAACTCTGTACAAGTAAAAAAGTAATGGTTTTTAAAAACTTAATATATACAGAAGTAATTACTTAGTTAAACTACTTAACAGCAAAGTTGCAAATTTTACCAAATATTACATTAAAAAGCTAAGCAGAAGACCAAAGCAATTCATTAAGACTGAAACTGAAAGATCCTTGTTTGTGTGTTCAAGGTTCAGCATCACTTCTATTTGCCAAAGCTGCCGGCGTCATCATGTAGGATTAAGTGTCAGTCTATTGACATGACTTGAAGAGACATTTGAAGAAGCCAGGAAGATTTCTCTGAAGGGGTGTCTCTTGTCATACCTTGTGTACATACAAATGAATACACGTACATAAAAATAAAGAGGGCTTTGTTCATAGTGGAGAGAGAGAGAGAGCGAGCGAGCGAGCGAGCAAGCGAGCACACCAATGTGGTGGTTAGAGTAGTGGCTAAATCTGGATTCTAGTTCAAACTCAGCCAGGAAGTTCACTGGGTGCCTTTGGGCCAGTCACAGACTCTTAGCCCAACCTACCTCACAGGGTTGCTGGTTATGAGGAGCAAACAGTGAATTGTAAATTTCCTTGGGCTCTTCATAAGAGGAAAAGGGGGGATATACAAGCATAACAATAATATTATTGTTTTGTATTATATTATATAGCCTGCAAATGCATGCAAGCTAGTCCTCCTTACCTTTAGAAGTACCATCTGGAGAAGGTAAACAAAAGCTGTAGTGGTAGATATGAAGAAGCATTGTATTCTTTAACCACTACCCTGGAGTATGGGAATAGACATGTTTTTGGTTCCTGTCAGATATCTATACCAGTATACTGAAACTTTGGCTACTGTGTTACTTTCTTTTCTATACCTCACTCTTAGTGTAATACATAGCATATTCATGTTTAGACATAAGCCTAAACATGTATAGGCAACATCTCCTACAACTCCTAGGAGATGCTGAGACATAAGACATTTTTTCTAAACATGCATAGGATTGTCATGCAAGAAACCATGTTATCACAAGAAACATTTGGAGTATCTGCTAGTGAATTATTCTACCTATGTAGAATTCGGCTTTTGCAGAAGAATAGACCCATATCCCAAATATATTTGGTTCCCTATCTAGACTGTTTATTTACTGAACCCTCATTCCACATTTCCATACGCAGGACTGGCTTCCTTTCCAATCCGGACAAAGTAATGCACTGATGGATATTTTCAACAAACAGAACACACTTCTATCCATATGCATTAAGCAATACGTGCAAACATTCAACCACCACACTAAAGTATGGGGTTTAATGGGATGATGTAGGAATAAGACTACAAACATGTGAGCCACTCCTATGCATATTTTTGGAGTAACCAAGTACCTCTAATTCAATAAGATTTACTCCCAACCCCAAGTATGGCTGTTACAACCATGTAGCCCAATCCTACACAGTTTTGTATTTATTACATTTTTACAGTTCCCGATGTCCAAAGCCTTCTGGGCTGTTCACAACTGAAACCATACAATCCAGCATAAAGCATAAAAATTTAAAATCAGAGCATAAAACCAAAAGAAAAAGTGGCAGAAGATTGAAAACAACAACAGAAACTGAAGGACTAAAATGCCTGGGAAAATAAGGTCTTCATCTGGCACAGACAACACAATACTATAGATGGTGTCATTCCACAACAGATCCTATTCTTAATAGCCATTCAGATCTTTTGGAGGAGGGCTCTGAAGACCATCTCAGGACTCTGGCATGATAAGAATTAGAGAAGTATCCAAAAGAATGCTGAAGCCTCCATCAATTCTTTTCCATCCCACCAATTTCACTGTATGAGCAGTGTGTCTCCCTGACTGTCATACAAGAAGGACCCACCAGTTTTGAAAGGGAAATTTAGCACTTCCTAGGACTAGCCTCCCCAAATGACATTCATTTCTGGAAGGAGGCAGGTCCATGGAGTTCTGCCAACCTGACTCCTTCCAGATACGGTGGTAACTCGGCTCACAAATGCCTTGGTTCATGAACAAATCGGGTCACAAACAAAAATTTCTGAAAAAATTTGACTTGGGTCGTGAACACTGCTTTGGGTGGTGACCAAGATCGCAGCCATCTTGAGGAGGGGGGACATGGCCACGATCACAGTTCCATTCATGCAGGGAAGGCGTGCCTGATCAGAGGCGCGCTCCTGCAGGGAAGACGGGCACAATCTCGGCCATCTCCCCCTCACCGCCCCCAGCATGATTGCAGCCATCTCCCCACCCCACCCCCGAGTGGGGAGATGGGCGCGATCGTGCTGGGGGTGGGGGGGGATGGCCAAGACCGCGCCCATCTCTCCCTCCCCCAGCGCGCTGTTTGTGCCCACCTCTTCCTCCCCCAGTGCGCCTGCGATCACACCTGTCTCTCCCCACCCCAGCGCGCTGGGATGATGGGCACGTGCTAGGATGATGGCTGTGTGCTGGGATGATGGGCGCAATCTCAATCGTGCTGGGGAGATGGCCGCGCTTGTGCTTGGAGTGGGGTGGGGGGGAGACGACCATGATCTTTGTTGTTGTCACTTTGCGTCACATTTTTCTGATTTAAAAAATGGTTACAGAACAGATTAACATTATTTACATTAATCCTTATGGAGAAATTTAACTTGGCTAATGACCAATTTGGGTCAAGACCAGATTTCTGGAATGGATTAAGTTCATGAGCCAAGGTACCGCTGTACCAGCATTTCCACTTGTTTGGGTTGTCTTGGAAGCACTAAAGCATTATTGTGCAAGTAGTAGGATTCACTTGTGCCACACAGTTGGTAGGGTAGAAGAGGATCAGCAAGGGCAAAAGCATAGCATTAGATTCTGCCCTGGAATTTTAATTCTAATTCTCCTAGACATAAAAATGCAGATTTATTAGTGGCCTTTGGTAGTAGTAAAGATTTTTTTTGCACATCTACAAACTTTGAAGCTTCACTGAACCTGTCCATTCCTCCCTCTTGAGCATAACTGGCCTCTTGAGCATAACTGTGCCATTTTGACTAAATAAGGACCACTCAGAAAATGTTGGTATTAATATATAGGATTATAAAGGGACCTGAAAGCCAGACACTGTACAGTAATTAAATATAATGAACCTTCTTCCTGCAGTCTTGCAGTCTAAGAGACAACGTCATAAAGAAAAGGGAAAATGATGGTGCAGCAATTCAAAATCTAGACTCAAGAGAAAAGGAAAGCCAAGCTGATGCCACAGAAAAGAATAAGTATAGCTAAAGCTATTACCTGCTATTAGGCCAACTGAATTCAAAAGCTCACAAAATAACTATTTCCCAATTAAACCACATTAAGAGCAAAATAAAGCAGTGGTGTATGGGCTAGATCCAGACTAAGTTAATAATGTTTTCATTATAAGAATATAGGAAGAGTCTTAATGAATCAAATGAGCATTCTTTCACGTGTTGGCTGGCCAAATCTGATGGGAAGCCCACAAGCAAGAATTAAGTAAAACAGCACCTCTCAAGTCACTGACCAAATTTGTCTGTCTGTCCTTCTTTCCTAGAAAATCTAGCTGGGTGTTAAGGTTTGCATAAGTGGTTACTCCCCATGCTACACTATATAACATTACAAGAAAACTCTTGTAGCAACTTAGGAGATTAAGTAAAATATCTTAGGGTCCCTGGATAAGCATCGCAGAAACCATAGGATAGGTTAGATTTTTCCTTCCAAGGCCAGGGACATTACTCAAAAGTGGGAGCTGGAGATCTTACCTCTCCATCCACCCACTTGCCACCAGTGTGCAGAGAACCATGCTGGCTGCCTCTTCAAGGAGAGAAAGTATACCTTGAAAAGGGGGTATGGTATGCCAATGAGCAGAGAGGGGACAAGAGGCCTCCCATTCTGAAGTGCCCCAAAGATCAGAAGCTGAGATTGCCTCCAGAATTCTCCGGCCCTACAGGCCTCTGTACTGCAGAGCATGGGGATCTCAGAAGAGCCTCAAATCTAATACGATTGCACCCTAACTGCATTGTAAACTTCTGTAGACAAGGAGTCAGAAAGATGCCTACTGATCACTCAAATTTATGCAACACAGCATATACAAGATAAATACGCATCTCGTACATATTTGAACTTCACATAGAAATGTTAGACGTGCATTTCCTACACCAGTTTTCCCCCTGTTGGGGAAAATTAACATTTCCACTTCACATCTGCATCAGGCTGTAACCCTAAACACACTAGGGAGTAAGAGTCATTGCACATAGCTGCATTTATGTCCAAGTGATTAATACACTGGACAGCATTATAAGTATTTTGAAACCCTCAAGACCACTCAGAAATATGTCAGTAAGAAAATAAGCACGTAATAACTCTTTAATACTAATGTCTTGAATGCCAAGGGTCTGAACTCTGAAAAATCCTTCCATATAAGAACAATAAAGAGTCAATAAAGTCCACAGAAACAACCAACAGTCTTGTAACATTATATAAATCAAGGCTGGGGTTCTATGGATGTTCAAACAGGGGAAAAGTCCGACAACTTCCAGCAATGCTCCCAGCCAGATTTCTTCTGGCTTCAACTTTCGTGGATATTGTTCCCAGCACATGCACGGCATTTTAGCTAGAAGTTGGTGGATCTACCCACACATGCTGCAGAAGTGGGGAACTGTCCGAGGGAGTTGTCAGGGGGACCGAAATGCAAAAAGGACAAACAGCGCTGATTACCTTAACAGCTGCCCTTCAGAAAAAGTTGTTGGGCGCTAACACAGACAGCACTGCAACGGTGAAACGACTATGGTGCGATGTGATTGTAATGTTTCGGTCAACGGATTTCCTCCGGAGGGAGCCGTCTCAGGACTGCAGCCATGACCCTTCCCAGCTTCCGAGGTTAGAAGCGCCAGGCTCCCCGCTTCACGTGAAGACGGAGAGGCCCCTCCCTTTCCAAGAGCCGCAGGCAGCCTCGCTCGCGCGTCGTATCTATTGTCTGAACCACGTAACCCTGATTCGTTTGTCTATTCAGCTGGCAAGCCTCCAGACTCCTTCCTTACCGCCGCTCCCTGGATTCCGCAGTCGTTAACGGAGGAGGAGGAGGAGGCCGCTGCTAGGCGACGCCATCAAACAGTCCCCACCCAAGAGTCAGAAGGACCCGGATATTCTTAAAAGTGAGCGGCGGCCGAATCAAAACTCCCGCGGGACTACAGTCCCCAGACTGCCCATGAGGGTCCTGATCGAAGACTGCAAGCCCCAGCGTGCTTTGCGCGAGGAGACGCCGTGGGCTGTGACCGTGAGCGCGGATTTATTCTGAGTATCCGCTCAAGTAGTTGGAGTTGCGGAGTACTGCCTTTAGGGAAAAATGCGACCAAATGAATGGAAGAAGCGAAGAATCGATCTGAGACTCGATACGAAAGTAAAAACTACATGTCCCAACATACCCTCCTTTGCGCAAAGGCTGACACTCTGCACTATATGCCGCCTGGAATGCTGGGATCAGAAGTCATGTCGGACGGTTTCCCGGCATGCCCGTCGCGATCTATGGGTGACAGGATAAGGGCGTGCGCCTGCGCGGTGGAGGAGGGTGTCTCCAGTTCAGGTTGAACAGAGAGGCTGAAGCTGCAACGGGGTGAGCCATGGCGCTTGGTCTAGGCGGCTCCAGGTAGAGGATCATGCGGAGTAAGAAGCGCGTGCAGAGGCTGGAACCAGGGGCTTGTAGGAAACAGGGCGGCTCACGCCTTTGATCCTCCCGCAAAGGTAGCATGAGAGGGAAGGGGAGGTGGTGGGTTCCTAACTCTCTCCTTGCCTGCTATGAAGGAAAGCGCCGGAACGTGCTCGAAGAATGTGGGGCTTAGTGTACCGCTCGCTTTCGGAATTGCAGGGTGGTTCGTATGTGCCGTTCGGTACCTGGGGGTCGCCGTTAAGTTGGGCACTACTGTAGGTGTTCTAGCTGAAATGGCCGTTTCCAGAATAAGGCTTGTGGGTTCTTGTGTAAATGGACACACGTGACTTTTTGGGAAGACTCGAGTTAGATTCCGGGTTGTTTGAAATATGGAGACTGCAGAAGAAAGAATTACGTACCGCATGGTAATAACTAAGTCTTATCCAGCTGCATAGTGCACCATGGGCCCTCGTTCCCAAAACAAGACGCGCAACACAATTCTGTGTATGATTACTCAGAAGTAAGTCCAAATGCAGTCAATAGGACCTCCCCCCCCAGTGAATGAGGTTAGCATTGCAGCCTAATGCCCCATTAAAGTTCTTGAATGAGTTGCTGCTAACTTTCTGCAGGTTTGAACAGGACTTAAATAATGACTAATTCTCTCTGCATTTGGATCGCTGTACTTTTACAAAGCATGTAACAACTGATGTGCTCACTTTGCATATTGGGAGAATTTCTCATGATAGTGTTGATTTGTTATATGATCAAGATAATAAATGGAAATACGCAATGTCTCTCTGTTACTGTTCCACATATAACAACCTGTATTTTAAAACCACCTCTTGGTTTAACCTGCCGTATAATTCTTTGTGGATAAGAAATGTGCACTGTACCTGTACGTGTTAATTGCATATGAAGTAGGTACTGAAGCATTACAATACTTCTACATTGATAATTTATGAATAAAGCTTAATGCTTGTAGTTGACAAGATTTGACTGGTGTGTGCAGCTTTAGAATCCAGCAGTTAGACTCAGTATCCCATCTGGTATGTTTGTGCAAAAACAGTTTTGATTGGCTGTTCTTTTTCCCCACCTGTACCTGTCTTTGAGCTTAGAAGCCTCTGGCAGACAATCTGTAAGGATGCTTTTTCTCATTTGCCTGGTCACTATAAGGTGATTTGCACAATTGGTCTGCTTTCATTATTCATTTGATTGTTGGCTGTGCTGAGACCATAAGCCTGAAAAATACTAATCTGCTTCACATAAACATTCCTCATACCATTACATTAATATATAAATTAAATTTATAACCTGACTTTCTTGCCCAAGGCAACTAACAAAGTTCTCTCCTCCATTTTGTCCTCACAATAACAATCCTTTGATGTAGACTGAGAGTCTGTGACTGGCCTAAAGTTATCCAATGAACTTCATGGCCAAATGGGGACTAGAGCCTGGCTCTCCTAAGTCCCAGTTGTCACACTGGCTCTCACCCTCTCATTTCCAAGATTGTCTTTGGGATACCATCAAACAGCTCATAAACTTTTCTTAAGAGTGTTATAGTTATTTTGTGACCATAATTGTGCATAGCTAAACACATGAATAAATATATTAAAGCAAACAATGTAGCGCAGAATATCTAGAAGTTAGAACAGAATTACTGTTTGACTCCACTCCGTTTGCAAAGCTGCTGTCAGCCATATATAATGGTTCAGGCTACAGTCCACTTGTTCTTGCTGTACTTGAGGGGCAAACAGAAGCCTCTGCTTGTTGAGAGGAACTTCTAAGTGTTTTTTTTCCTCATAGATTCTCATATCACAAACTCAAAGCTTGTTTGAGTTTAAAAAGTGAAAACACCAGTCCAAAGTCTCAGATCACTCAGTTATGAGAGAAAGAAGTCTCTGTGGCTTCCTTCCCCACTCCTGCATGCGACACCATTTGCCTAATCATCTTTAGGCTGCACAATTTCCTGTGTTGTCTGAACATGGCAAAGTGCATGGAGGGGAGTGACTTCAAACCCCCCTCAGAGCCCTACAAAGGGCCAGGGCTTTGGGGCAGGGGCACTGAAGTCACCCCTACTGGACACCTTGCCAGATGTGGAGGACATGGAAAGCCGTGCACCATGAGGATGATCAAGCAAATTGTGCAGCGTGTGGCCAACATGCCGGAGGTGAGGAAGAGAAGCCAGCATGGCTGGAAGTTAGTTACATACTATGATTGCCCTTTGCAGTTTCCCATATACCACTCTAGCATTCCAAAATGTTTGATTTCTTAAGGAATTCTTTCCATATTCTTCCCTTCCCCCACCCATGAGTTAATAGTCCTGTTGGAAAACCTGCATGGTAGTCTGGGTATATAAATTAGAAAGCTGACCATGTATTTTGGCTTTCAGTATAAGGTAGTCCCCAAAACTGTTTTTCTACTGCACATTTCAGTTTATGGAATGCCCAGAGCAGCAAATCTGGCAGCAACACTCAAAGATCAGCCCAACTGATCTTTTTTTAATGTTTCTGTGCAAATGATAGCAAAGAGGAAGCACAATGATTTTTTTTTTCAGAAGGGTACTGCAGAATCACAGCCTCTCCGTAAGCTAGGTTTCCTATCCAAAGTATTCCTCCATGATATTCACAGCTATTTTTACAACCATACGCTTGTTTGAAGAGAAATGATGCTCAGACTAATCCTATCTGCTGCTTCTAAAGACCTGCCAGGAGGTATGGAAAATCTTTTTCTATAGACCTCAGCAGAGGGTCATTCTTTTTTTTTTCCCTCTGCAATTTTCCCTTGTGCCTTAAGTTTCAGTGAAGAGGAAATCAATTAAGCAAACTCTAGACTAACATAACTTAAGAGGACCTCTCAGGCACCAAAGTGGTTTGGATTGAACACTGCCACTGGCCACGCCCCGGATACTCTTTTTATGGCCTTATCCCCAGAAGAAACACCACTGGCAGTTGATCTCTGCCCAAGAGGTTTTCCACAGGTATATCCCCCTGCCAACATTTGCCCCATTCTATCCACTTTTAGCCGGCAGGTCTGAAGCTTAGGATTTCTCTCCTGCTTTTGAATTTCTTACGCATAAGCAAGAAATGTGTAAGAAGGACTAAATGGCCATGCTGCATTATGGCACAGAATAGACCTGTCCAGTAGCTGCTAAATTATGAATCTCAGGGGTGGGCCTTCTAGGTGATGCTGGAGTGCAGCTCCCATCATCCTTAGCCAACATATGTTAGGTTGAGGGATGACAGGAGTTTTTTCAAACAACAGTTGGGAAGCCACAAGTTGCTACCCTGCTGTAAGTACTGCAGTTGAATAAATAAGTTGCAATCCTCAACATAAAAAGGGCTGGCTGGTGTATACTGGGAATGATAGGCTTTTTCCACTTAATGTGCAAGGGCTGCATCTTTGATTCTTTCAACAGCTACAATGAGCTTGTGTTTGCTTATTTTTATCCCTCACAAAACTTGAAACTGGCCAAGACAAAAACTGTTAGGAAAGCAGTTTTTCACTGGAATGGCAATCACGGGCTGTTCATCAAGGGCTGGAGTAACCTGATCTGATGCCATGTAGCCTTCAAGCAGTCTTGCACAGTGGGAAAAACCAGTGCCTTACCTACCTACCTACTTACCCCACCTACCCAGTCCAGGTGAAGGTGTGTCTTATGCCCTGGTACAGCCCTGCAACCATTTAAGGGAGGAGGCTGTCCTCTCCATTCTTCTGATGGGGACTGCCCCACAGCAGGGTGGGTAGGGGCAGACACATAACTGAGACTTTTGGCCTGCTAATCTCCTGCAGCTTCAAACTGCAGACTGCAAGGCTACATGCGCCATTTGTTTCTGATGGCTGAGGATGTTATCCGAGGCTTTAACCACACGGTTGCATTTATATTACCTGAAATTAATTGATATGCTGAAAGAAAAAAACAGCTACACCAAACTGCTCACCCCTAGAGTTCTTTTAGTATGCATGCCCACAGGTTTTACAGGCTTGGTATTATGGCACTGTGGACCCCTTCTTATTATTATAAATTAGGAGGAAGGACTTCTCCTACTCTGAAAATTGGCTTTTCAGCTACCAGAAGGAATCATCTAGCCCTTTTATGGATTCAAAGGGTCACTTAACACAGCACTATTTAGAAGTGTATGAAAATCCATTGCATGGAATTAGATCATTAGCTCAACTAGCACAGTTCTGTGTATTCCACAGCTTCTGGCAGAAGCATGTTTCAGCTCTGCTTCCTGAGATCCTTTTAACTGTACCATTGGAAGGTAAGAACCCAGGGCTGACCCTGTGATCTTATATGTGAATGAACTGAACTGTTGAGCTGGGGTTCATCTCCATTACTTCAAAGAGTGATGTATTTCTGTGAGCCAAGATGTAATGGACTTCTGCCCTAATCTTAGCATACATTTTGATTTAGAAGTATATCAAGCTGTTCACACAATCTAATCATGGTGTGAACTGGTTTCTGAAATTATTTCCTTAGGCAGGAGAGAATCTTACATATGCCTGTGCTGTAATATAATACATTACTGTAAAGAGCTTTTCTCTTGTGAGTTTTCAATGGTTTAAGAAGGATGTGTTCTACTGTGGAAAATCACAGTGGTTTCAGAGGAATTATTATTATGCTTCTTAAAGCTGATCTTTCTCTTTCTAGTGAAAATCTATAAGCGCCTAGAGTTGATTGGAATTATTGACATCAAAATGGATGAAAACATATTTTTAAATGACTCCTTTTGAACAAAATGCATAAATGAAAAAATACAGTGTTTGAGAGGTAAGTCTAATATTTTATTTTAATATCCAGATATTGGACATGAAATCTGAATAGCTTTTAAAATACATGGCCCTGAAATCTCGTTGGGTTTTTTTGGGAGGAGGGGGTTGACTGGAATAATTCCTCTCCCTCCAGAGGATTACTTGTCTGATCTGGTGACATGCCTTCTTATTCATTGGACCAAAAACGTGGTTGCTGATAGATACTTGTTTAGTCACCTCAATTTAAATGCCTCTTTTCCCCACCTCATTTTTGCAGTGGGAGCTGATCCTATTGGATAGGAGAAAATAGTCTGCTGCCTGTATAAACAGTAGCCTGTAAAAGAATAATTTCTTTAGTTATACATTGATTTTTATGTTAATTGCTTTTTGGGGCTTGTAATATGAACTGCTTCTTTGGCCCCTAGACCATGTTTCAGGTACCACCTATTGCTGCATATGTCATCCTCTGAAGTTGGAGACCAAGTAACTGGATTTCTCCATCCACTGGGGATAATTCCCATAGGACTGTGTCCTGAACTGGGGTGACCCCAGTTCAAGCTCACCTGTTAACCACATCAGTTGAGTGGCCCTTCACAAACTACAGGTTCCAGCCTTGGCCTGTTTATCTAAAATACAGAAATAATTTGTTTACTCTATATTTTGATAATGTAAGCTCCTTTAGAAATAATTGAAAAGTGGAATGCAGGTACTGCTAGCCTAGAGGTGCCTCTGCCATGCAGACATTACCATAATGGTGGTCAGATGATGGAGAGGGGTGATTGCCTGAATGGTGCATGAAGACTTCAAAACATCTTCAAGAGTTTTCCCTGGGGAATTGGTGGTGTAATTGCTGCTTGGGCTCCACTTTTGCCTGCAAAATGTCTTGGGCCACTGTGGCTTATCTACCTGCATTGTTGTAAAAATTGTATGCAGGGTGTTGTGAGCATGGGATATAAATACTTTGTACCGCTCTTAATTTCCTTTTGATTCTTGTGAGTGTAGTAATATAGGGATCTAGAAAGCTTTAAAGTTGGTGAGCAAAACAAAGAAGTGTTGCAGTACTGTTTGTATAAGAAATAATTATCTAGGTTGTTTTGGGGTTTGCTTTGCAAACTGTAGGCCAACTTTTATCCCCATGTAAGCGGGCATGCAAGCACAGAACCCTCCCTAACTCTCCACATCAGTGGAAACATTGACCATTATGATGTCAGTTCAAACTCTCTTATGAAAAAGGTGTGGACTGTCTAACGATTACACAGCAACGTTTCTTTGACCTGTTTTGGGAAAACTTTGTTTATCCTTGTAGGTAAGTTGGTCCCTCAGTGTGCTTATTTTAATGAAAATGTTTTCATCTGTTCTATAGATATAGTTCCACAGAGTTCTGGAAAAGATGGCTTATTTAAGCCTCAAGGAAATTGCACTGATGGTTGGCGTGGTGGCCGCGTGCTACTGGAACAGTCTGTTTTGCGGCTTTGTTTTTGATGACGTCTCAGCCATATTGGACAACAAAGATTTGCATCCTTCTACTCCTTTAAAAAATCTGTTTCTGAATGACTTCTGGGGGACTCCTATGTCTGAGGTATCTCTCCTACAGAAATACTAAGAGACATTCTCAAGTACAATGCTATGCTGGTAGATAGTCCTAACATACAGATTTGAAACTTTCACCTTAAGAGGAAATGATATTTTATTGAATAATTATAAATGAGTACTATACCTTCAATCTGCTTTATTTTATTTCATTTTTTATAAATTTGGGCTGTCCAGTAAGTATACGTGATTATCCAGAGGCCAAAGTGTACAGGGAACAATGCTGCAATTCAAACATGAGTGCCAGAAGTTGGGAAGCATGCTCTCTAGAGGCTGTTCCAATGCACCAAGCCCTATTTGTATATCTGCAAGGTTTGGCATAAACAGACAAAGCACATAGCTGCTGGCTTTATGAAAGGGTCAGCCTGAGATTGTATCCCAGAGCGTAATTCTGTGCAACTGGTTTTGTCAGCAAAACCAGGAGGACGACTTGTCCTGCACCCATTGTGCATGCTAGGAAACATCCCCCAGGCAGCTGTTCAGACCTTACAGAGGGCTGCAGCAGGGATGAGGAAGGAAGTCTCATTGTGCTTAGTGGGAAAGTGCAAGTGCGCCATTGGATTTAATCTGAGTCAAGCCAAAACTTAGAAGGAAAGAAAAGATTCTCCCCCAAGTCTCTTGTGCATGCCAGAGGACAGAAAAGGTCTATTGAGCTTCAGAGCAGGACAATTATGCAGTACACAGAGAACTCGGGAAGGGATTTGTGGGTACTGACTAAAATAAGGGCTTGGCGGAGAGCAAAAGTTTTTGTCACTAGTGACCTGAAAAGCAGATTTATGAGACCTAAGTCTGAGCAAACCGCTGTTTGGATATTAGAGCTTTTTTGCCGTGACTGGTTTATCTATATTCCTAGCCTGTATTATATTAACCCATAGTTAACACATCATTTCTCACTCTTCCTAGGATTTCTGCAGTAGACCGTTGAAAAACTGTGGCTTGTTTTCTCAGTTTGTTGGTTGTTTCCTTTCTCCTTCACCTGTCCCCTCCCTATGTCTCAAATGCCTTTGCAGCACTATAGTCCTGGCATTGAAAGCATCTGGTTTTCTTGACCACTTGCTCCTCCCACCTCTGTATCTGGTGAAATAACCCATGAACAAACCACAGTTCTGAATTCACACATAACGATTCATAGTGTCATCAACCCAGAATTTACAAGCCAACAATGAACCATAGGTTCCCTTGCTAGATTGTTCATGTGCAAGGAAACATGCTTGGTTAGTACAAGAGAATTTACATATTACAATAACCCAAATTCAAAATTCCATACCTTTCATTAGCATTATGTGCAAACCCTAAACATGGTTCTTCAAACTCCAGAGTTAAACTATTTATAAACCTGACTTTCTTTTATAATTTTGAGATTACTTGTTTTGCTGTAAATATTTATATCATTTTTCAAAAGAAACCTACATGTATGCTTTTTTCTTCTTTCAGGAGAGGAGTCATAAGTCATATCGGCCACTCACGGTCCTCACATTCCGTTTGAACTACCTGTTCAGTGAGTTAAATGCTGTTTCTTACCACTTCCTGAATGTACTCTTCCATGCGGTTGTTTCTGTAATCTTCCTCAAGGTCTGTAAGCTCTTCTTGGACAACAGGACCAGTTTGGTAGCATCCTTACTATTTGCAGTACATCCAATACACACGGAGGCGGTAAGTAAACCTTAGGAGGCTCCATTGTATTCCTTCTAAGGAAAAGGAATACAATACACTTTAATCCTGCAGTGAAACAAAAGAACTGCTTTATTTTAAGGGATGGAAGCAGGATGGAAACCCAGCTAATGTTTTAAACTCTTTTGGGAGGGACTGGAGAAACTGTTCAAATAAAAGAAAATGCATTTTAATGCTTGAATCACGTCTGTGGGTTTACATCTGTCCTTTACCTAGAGCCATATTACAGTTGATTACAGAATCAATTAATCCCTTAGCATTCAGTAAGAGCATGGCAATTGTAGAGAAATAAATGATATTAAAAATAGCACTCGGGTCAATTTATAGGCAAAGGCCTTCTTAGAGAAACTAGTATTTCCCTGCCACTTGAAAGACAGCAAAGAGTGGAGAACTCTAGCCTCCTTGGTAAGGCAGTTCCACAGCCTGGGAGCAGCTACCAAAAAACCCTTTCATGGGTCACCACCAAATATACCTCTGAAAGCTGTGGTCCCAGAAGAAAGGCCTCTCCAGAGAATCTGAAGAATCAGGCAAGCTTGTATAGGAGAAGGTGGGTCTTTCAGGTAGCCTGGTTCCAAGCAGGATAGGCTGCCTACGTCATAACTTTGAATGCTGCCCAAAAACAGGCCAGCAGACATGAAGCTTCAGTAACAAAGGAGTCACGTGCTCCTTGTAACCTGCAGTCAAGTACCTGGAAGCATCATTCAGGAGATTCTGGACACTGTTCGAAGGCAGGCTACATGAGGCTCTAGTTTCATTCCATCTCACTTTATAGTTCCCAGCGAAAAGTTAAAAAAAACCCACATAAACTAGAAAAATGCAACACCAAAAAATAAATTAAACAAGCACGTCTCAAGTAATAAAGATGGCATTCAGCAAAATCGACAAATCTGGTTAACACCAGAGACTTTTAAAATCTAGATTGTTGATTCTCAACTTAAATGGTCTCCATGAGGACAGGTAGACATGAGACTGATCTGAAGTACATGGAGCAGGACCTTCAGTGTTGCACTGAAAGAGTGTGAGGGAACGTGCTTGCACAGAGTTCTTTAAGATGCCCCAGCTTCGCACGGTCTTGGGCTTTACTGGTTAAAGCCAGCAAGACCTAAGCCCCAACGCAAGTTGGCCATCTAACCTAAGCACCAATCCATGCAAATCATATAGCACCAGAGTAATATGAGTCCATTCAACCAGTTCCAGCCAATAACTTGGTTGTGTACCCTTGGCATTTCTGAGCACTTGCCAAGGGCAGCCCTGCAGAATATATTACAGTAGTAAAGCATGGAGTTTGGCAAGGCATTAATAAACTGGGGATTTTCCTGGAAGCATCATGGTTGACGAACAGCTGTCACTGAAAAGGCAATGCACCTGAAGCTGTAAACATGATTGTTAGGAGCAGTGCCATCTTGTACAGGTTTATGTCCCTTCAGTCAGTCCACCAGTCGGCAGCAACTGTCTTACCTGGATTGCAGGCCTAGCTAGACATGATGTTAAAGTTATTTTATTTATTTTCCATCATCATAGTGGTCAGAGGGTCAAACTGGGACTTGGAAGTCATGGATTCTAGTCTCTGCTGGGCCATGAAGCTCACAGGGTAGCTTTGGACCAGTCACTAACTCTTTGCTTAACATACATGGAGAGAAGAATTATGTAGACAGCCTTGGGTTTTTTGCAGCAAAAATGGGTGGTATGTAAATCAAATAATACAGAACCCTCCTCTCCATGGATATTCACACTGTATGCACAGATATCAAGGCTATGGTACAGTCACTTAACTAGTTTCAGGTGACTCGGCCAACTGAATATGGTTTTTTGGATGGTTCTCTGGAGCATGCATGCATCTTTTGAAGGAAATATTTGTCTTCCTTCAGTGGTAAAGAGTCTTCATGTGCACCTGTCAGAAACTGAATGGGTTCAAGTGGCCCTGAAAAATCAGGTAGTAAGCTTTCTTGCCAGATGATGCAATAAATTACAAAGTATTTCTAACTTAACGGCTGTATCCACATATTACCCACACGAGGGCGCTCTAATTCTGTACTTGAATCATCAGAACAGTAGAAGTTTTGCCCACTTCTTTACTTGGTACAAAGTTGCTTTTGGTTTTTGTCAGTACAGGTGTTCAGAGGAAAACTTTTTCCTATATTCTTTGCCCATTGCTTGTACATTTGATTTATCCTTTGGGTTTACATCCTAGGTTTGTTCAAGTACTTACCCTACACAACTCTCTCCTCTTCTGTTTAGGTAACTGGTGTTGTAGGCAGAGCAGAGCTTCTCTCCTCGATCTTTTTTCTAGCTGCTTTTCTGTCATACACCAGATCCAGAGGGCCAGAGAACACAATAGGTAAACCATCTAGCATGGCTTATGTATATTTTTCAGACTGAACAGGCAAGCAGTGCACAAACAAACAAACAAATGAAATAACCAAACTGACCCTGTTGTGTCTCAGTTCAGTTCAAAATGTGTCCTTTTTCTTATGGAGGTTGAAAGGTCACCTTCCACTGGTTCCCTTTGAATGTGTTGGACAGGAGCTTCCAGCACCCCCAGCCAGGTTGAGAAAGTCTTAATAGCCTTCTGCAAGAATCTAATGAACTGCAAGTAATGAAAAATGGAAGGCAGCCCTTCCAATATTCTCCTTGTGCATCACCAGAGGAGTGGGAAATGTCTGATCCTAAGGAGAGGCTCGTTGCCTCGTCGCCATTACATTCTGCCATTACATTAATGGCTCGTCGCCATTACATTCTGCTGGGATTGAGCATGATGTCCAAACACAGCCATTCGCAGCATATGGACCTAGCCACTTGCTTACCCTTGGTTTAGCCCAGCTTGCAAGATGGACTTGCCTAATGCATTCAGTGTACATGAGGGAATTGGCTTTCACTTCCCATTTACACAGGACCTCTCTCCCGCCCTTTGCACTGAAACAAACAGTTGCTGTATACAGGCTTAACAGTCTGTTTATCTCTTGCCTTGCAGTGTGGACTCCTATTGCAATGACTGTGTTTCTTGTGGCCGTTGCTACATTATGTAAGGAGCAAGGAATAACAGTGGTGGGAATATGTTGTGTCTATGAAGTATTTATAGCTCAAGAGGTAAGGCACTTTTGGAATCCAGTTGTATAAGCTTGAGGTTATGCCATGAATTTGTCAGGAGATGCATTTGCTGCAGTTTGAATACTTCATCGTAGTCACTTGTTAACATTTGTGATGACGCACTAGGGTCACATGGCTACTAATTTTGTCAAAATACCAGCCTTGCCATCCAAATGTTCATGGCAGTGTTGGACTGAAAGGTACTTAAAATCTTCTTTGTGAAAAGCCAGAGTGCTTGAATCATACTGGACTGCCGCAAACACCAAGGTCTATACCATGCTCAATGCACCAGCGATACTCAAAGGGTAATAACCCCTGTCTAGGCATTACCATAGTGCATTCCCAGATCATGATGGATATCACCCTAAAAATAATAAAAGAAATGCTAGAGAACTTTTTCAGGCCGAAGAATGGCATGCACCAAATTAAAAGCGTTCCTAGTAGTATATTCACTGTAAGATGTCTCAGCTCTCAATTATCTAAGCATTATTCAGACATTTACCAAAGGAAGGTCAAGTGCAAGTGGACCATATGCCAGGAGTTCATGCTCCAACCCAAACCCTCCACTCCCAACTTCCTCATGCAAGTAAGGTCTGCAAGAAATGTGTCCAGCTGATCTACTCAACTGGGAACCCTGGTCTACTAGGGTAGCCTGCTTGTACTGCAACAGTGGTCAGCCAAAGGGTATTACTGCACCCTTGGCAGACCTGTTCTGTCAGCACAAGGAGGTCAGGTGTGGAAGGATGGGGCCAGAGCATGCATCCCCAGCTCCCTCTGTGCTTAGGTGACTCTTCTTCAGCAAAAGCCTGAGAAGGACTACCAGATAATAGCAACCTAGCAGTTCCCACCGACTACCATTACTTCATTGTCCCAGTACTGCTGCATCATAGTGAGAAGCAATTCAGTGTTAATTTGGATGCCCTTCAGAAATTCTTTAACTTGCAGTAGTACATCTGCAGACAGCTTTCTTGGTGCCCACCAAGCTGCCCTGCCTTCCCACGTTTTTTCCACATCCTTTGTTGTTTTTTTGCTAGCAGCTGGGATTGCTGTGAAACAGGGTCCCATTGGTGCTTCTGTTGAATGTGATGTGGCTCATATCGACTCATATTACATTGTTTTATCCTGTCCTTATTTATTTATTATTGTGAGCCGCCCCGAGGCTTCGGCAAATGGGGCGGCATAGAAGCCTTATAAATAAATAAATGGCTGAGACCCCATCTCTGACCTCTGTCTATGCATGTTTCCTTGAAAGTAAGTTCATTTTTTTCCAGATATGTTTGCCTCGGAACCACAGTGAAGCACTTGCTTTAAGACAGCCACTTAACGAAGTTGAACGGCATCACTTCCATTCCAGTACTTCAACAGAATATTTGATTCATTTAAGTTCCATGCCAACCCAGAATTCTGGGTTGGGCAAATCTAAATTTCCTGGGGCAGCAGAGTGCGTCCACAGATTCTTGAAACCTATTAGACTTTCTTCTGAAGCAGTATGGAAAAAGCAATCCAGTGTTCACCATACTCAGCATGCAAAAAGCTGAGAAGAAAGCCAAATTCTTGCAAGCTGATGAGCAATAGAAGTGTTTTCAATTACAAGCTGGCAGCTTTCTAATTTCCTGTACTGAAAGTCTTGGTTGTGCTTGTTTTTAATCAAAGCTTAGAAGCTATAATTGCGTTACTTAGCAATGAGAAACACAATTTAAGTCTTCCAAATTAAATTTAGAAATATACTTTTTCTAAAATACCTTGTCATTCACAAGTTAGTCATTTTACAAAAGAGGGATTATTTCTGTCATTTTTAGTGATTAAATACATTACATTGTACTGTCCGTGCCATGCAAGGGCATGCTGGTTGATTTTTATAGGCTTTGATAGTAAAACCTATGGGGTGGTGGATTGGATTATGGGTTGTACAGTCCCATTTCTACTCATGTGGTTCATTTCTATCCATGCTTCCTTGAAAGTAAGTTCATTGTATTTCAAAACATGTTTGCCTAACAGTTTGCAACCACGGCTAGGTTTAAGGAATAGTTGAAGCATATTATCATCATGTTAAATATATTGTTCATACATAGAATATGAATAGCTTAATGAAAAAGCAAAATGGTCTCTTTTGCTGGTATATGCCATATATGATAAAACTAACAGGGGTCATGATCTAATCAAATTCAAGCATTTCTGTTCCATTGATTGAACAAAAAACTGCATGCTTAAGTATATTTTACTGAAATAATTTAGACTTACCCAGCACTTGGCTTTGGATCATGCCCTAAACTGTTTAATAGTTTAGAGGGCGAGTAGGTCAATGAAAGGTCTGGCTTCATCTATTTAACATGAATAACTTGTCGAATAAAGGAGGCAGGAAAGATACCTGGGCTCAGCAGTCCTGTGGCTCTCAGCATCTGGGCTTCCATAGCATGGTAGAGCTCTCCATGGCAGTAGACAGATCTTTCCCTTCACACACACTTCCCGCACTACCCAGTTTTTACAGGAGACTTCTGTTCGCAACTGTGATGTTGTGAGCACAGTCTCAGGGAGAAAGCGGGAGGGGCATGTTGGTAGGTAGGGAAGGAAGAGAGACCAGGATCTGCAGTTTCCTAAATTCTTTCTGTTGGCCGCCTGCTTACCCAAGGGCTAAATCAACCAGACAAGCCAAGAAGCCCTTCTAGATACAAATGTAAAGAAAGTGAGGAATAACAAGCATCTCCAGCTTCTTCTGCCTGGCTTCTGCTCACAGGGGTAGGATAGGCAAGGGGCTCTGACCTCAGAGCTCTCTGCTGAGCTACAGTCCCTTCGGATTGTGCTCTTCGTATTGCAGTCCAAAGCTGCTGCTGTGCCAGGAGCCTCAACATGGCTCTCCCCTGGGAAGTTTGCCAAACCTTAGGAATACCTGAAATCAAAGTTCCGTAGTGGTCCAGTAGTCCTGGAATCTTTCTCCATACTGGCCTGACAGGATAGCTCAGCCGCAATAGTCCTCAGGAGGTGAGATCTGTAGAAACAGTAACAAAGCCATCGTTCCATCTAGTGAGACTCCACTCATGCAGCTGTCACGGACTATTCATCATACTGTACAGTACACACTTCATGCTGCTTCTTGCTTTTGTCTGTTTTCTTATGTTTTATGTCTGCTTTAGCTCTGTGTGTCTTTTCAGGAATCGCAGAACCATAAAGTGCTCTATAATTTGAACCAGTGAGAAATATATTGATTAGAACAATGGCTAGACAGCGGCTGTTAGGATGTGTGATGAATGGTGCTGGCAGGTGCCTTTGTCTGAAAACTGTAAAATGTTGTTTCATTTTCTAGTATACCTTGCCCATCCTTTGGGATACAGTGTTCCAGATTCTCCGAGGCAAAGGCAGCATCCCTTACTGTATGCTCCAAATGCTGTTGAAACTAATAGTTCTGATGTTTAGTACACTACTTCTTGTTGTGATCAGAGTCCAGGTGATTCAGTCACAGTTGCCAGTGTTTACAAGGTAAAATCCAGTGTTATAATCTGATAATGTGTTAGCAGAGTAACATTTCCTCTTGGGTAGCTACAGCCTGGTTTTATTATAAAGCCATTATTTTACTGTGTGTGCTATTTACCTGAAAGCAAACTGTCTCACCTTTTTTTCTGCTCTGACACTTTTAATTAGGGTTTATGACACTGTAATAATGTCAGTTCTTTTCATATAGTACTGCATTGACTGGAAACGTGACAACTAGCTCTTTTAGACAGTGAATGTGTTGTAAATGGTAGTTGAAACACAATTACCTGCTTTGCACATCATGGCAACAAATCAGGGTTAATTAACCCATGATTTGCAAGTAATGCATGAACAACCTCTGAACACCCTAACCATAGGGTAGTAGCCTAAAACCATAGGTTAAACAACCCAGAGTTAATGTGTGAGTAGTGGCTAGGCTGTCATCCCTACAAGTTGTGAGTTAATTAACCAACAATTTGATGCCCTGACATGCCAACCTGCCCAATTAAAAAAGATAATACCCATTAAAGGAGTGTTTCCAGTAAAGCTGTCCACTTTTACCCAGTGTTGTACAGTGTGATTTCAAACTTGCTATTGTTGGGAATATCTGCATAGCAAAAGTGTGCTTCATAAAGGCAAAAGGAAGTGCTGCTCCTGTAGCTCATACTGTTGATGCAGTAAGAGGGATCTTGACCAGAACAGCTGCTTCCATTCATGGATGGCATCAAGATCTCATGGCAGTTCATGCTAAAGTAATTGCAGACACTCTCGTAGGGGGAGTTACTTTTGCTATTTCCTCTTTCTCCTGCAGTGCCCTGTGTCACCTTCCATGCTGCTATAGAGGGTTCCCCTACCTTTCCTAATTATTTGCCCTTAGATTTGATCCCACTCTGAAGTCCTGCTTCCTTCACATTCTTGTAGGTTGTCTGGCACTGAACTGCAGCAATAGGAAATGCTGTTTTCTGTCATGGATCATGGCTTATATTTATCAACCATGGCGGAGCTTGACATAGGTGAATCATGAAAGGTAGTGTTTATGAAGCCCTGTTGAAGTCTTTTCTGGTTTATTCTGGCCTTTTTGTACAAAATTATGCACTGGCCTGGAGGTCTTCCACCCCTCCAAAGTAGCTTTTCCAGGGCTGTGGGAGACTTCTGGAAGGGAAGAAGAATCTGCAAAAATAATTCCTTCCTTTCTTCTGGGTAGGATCATGCTGTTCATAGAATTCTATTCTTTGAACCAAATTCAACTCAGTGACTTTACCCCAGAATGCCCTGTTCAGCACAGTGTTGTGGGAATGCTTGCTCACTAGGAAAGCTACACCTGAAATGTTATTTTTTAAAAAAATAGGTTTGATAACCCAGCCGCTGTGAGCCCCTCACCTGCAAGGCAGCTGACTTTCAACTACCTCCTTCCTGTAAATGCCTGGCTGCTTCTCAATCCTTCTGAACTGTGTTGCGATTGGACAATGGGCACCATACCATTAGTGGAGTCTCTTCTAGATGTGAGAAACATTGCCACCGTCACCTTCTTCTGCTTTTTGGGAACGTTGCTTGTCTTTAGCCTCCGATATCCTGGGGATTCCTCCAAGACTGTATTAATGGTAAGTGCTGTCTCACAGTGAGTTGGAGTTGAAATATTAGAACCAAGCCCATGGCCAAAATTGGCCTCAGAAAATTGCTTTCACAACCCTTGCAAATATATATTTTCTGTGCAGATATCTTTCTCCCTATTTGAGTTCCTATCTCCATGAAAATATAAATATATGACAATATTTCTCTTAATGGAATCTTTTTTGCAGGTTTTTCCCATACAGAACTAAAGTGTAATACTGTTTTAGATATAATGCCAAACACTTCCAAGGTTCTTGAGTGCCATGAAATGAGGATGCGTTAGTATATATTGAACATTATTTTTTAAATGCCACTTAGATAAGAGCATAGAAACCAAGTTGTCATCGTCGTCATCATCACATTACATTTATATACCACCTGTAGCCAAAGCTCTCTGGGTGGTTCACAAGGTGCAAGTCACCCATCCAGGTTTCAGCCCAGCCCAAATGTGCTTGCTTTTCAAGACTAAGCACTTCAGGCTATATGGAAGCCATGAGAATACTAAGACAGGCCACTGGCCCTTCCTGCCTTGTGTTGTTGATCCTGACTGGCAGCAGGTATCTAGGGCTTCAAGCAAGAGTATTTCCAGCCCTACAGGATATGCTGCATATTGTACTTGGGACCTTTTGCATGCAGTGGGCTTTGTCTATTCTACCTCCTGTTGGAACACCCCGGGGACTTCTGCAACCTAACTCTGCTACTTTAAAATCATTGGCTATTGCTCAATATGTGCCCATCCACCTTAGCAATTTTGCTTCTCTGAAGTTCTTTCCTAGGGAACCAAAGACATTGCCTTATTCAAGGTCAGTTCTAGCCTCCCAGTATCATCTGCTCCCACAAACAGTGCTTATCTAGGGTCTCAGTGGGTTCTTTCATATCACTGGCCTCTTGCTCCTTGATTGCAATGTAGATGGCAGGGGTGAAACCCAAGACATTCTGCAAATCATGCCTTGTAGCATTGGGCTTTGATTCAGAAGTTACCTGTTCCTCAGGTCAGTGTATGTGGGCAGGAGATTGTGGAGTGGACTCGCATGTGTGGCAAAGCAGAAGCCTTCTCTATGGGCTAATTTGGCTGCTTTGGAGGAAATCCCAATGTATAGTCTATTGCAGCCTTCCCCAGCCTTGTGCCTTCCAGGCACATTTGGACTGCAACACCCAGAATTCCCAGTCAATGGCCCTGCTGGATAGAATTCTGAGAGCTGCAGTCCAAATGCCTCTGAAGGCCACCAGGTTGGGGATGGCTGGTCTATTGTGTAGCTAATATCTTTGTGCGTGTGCATGGAAATTGCAATCATCCATTCCTGACTTTTTTATCATCACTCCCACTAGATCCTAATGTTTCTTTGTGCCCTTGAACACTCTGGCACATTGAGCTGCATTCGTTCAGCACTCAGCAAAAGTTGCCAGCCATCTAACATGTACATTGTATATCTGTAGTTAAGATTTTGTGGTACACTGTATTTATCAAGAGCTTATCTTCCTTGCCATATCTTTGCCCATTTTTTGGGCATATCTTTTAACTTAGTAGCATCCTGCTGTGCTATGGAATTTTGTATCTGCAGAGTGTGCCTCTTGGCTTATCAGCCCCTGTAATATATTTACACAGTGTGGGCTGTATCAACAGCAAAGCTTTGTGCCAGGTTACGATAACAATAACTGTAGCACCAAGAACATAAGAGACATGAGGCTAGGATAACTTCCCTAAATGCGCATACTTCTCCCAGGGATGAATTAAAACACTGCAAACAGCAAGAGTGCTAGATTTACTTGTTAAAGCTTTCTATGCCACAGAAATGGTGTGAGAAATGCAAACAAAATAGAAGCAGTCCCTGGGGTGACAATCTCTGAATAGACATGTCTAGCAGTCTCGATCATCTGAAGAGTTGTGAGATTTTTCTTCCTTTTATTTTGCAGCTTTCTTAACTGGTCAAAATTCCAATAGAGCCCAAATAATGTAGGGCTGCTGTTCTTTATTTCAAATTGAATCTGTATATTCCCAATTCATTCCACCCTCCCTACAGGCCGCAGTCCTACCACCAGTCGAAAACAAAACCACATGGCAGCTTGCTATCAAATTGCAGTGGTGAATCATGAAAGGACTTTCGAAAGGACACATTTACCTCATTTACAGGTTAAATGTATCCATTTGATGTCTCTGTAATGGTTTATGGCCAAAAATTGACAGCAAACCTAGAAGTGGCATGTGGACCATGTGTTACCTATTCTTGCAGCGCACTTTCGTGGTTGGTTGAAGTTCTTTGTGCCGAAGCTGATAACCATAATTTTCTGATCCAGATGAATCAGAAAACTGGTTAATTAGCTGCTTCGGCACAAGTTTGATTTGGATGAATAGGCAGCTCTTCTCAGCACCCAGAAAACAGACTTGTTCCTATCTTGGCTTAATTGAACTGAACTGTTTCTCTGACTTTGGCCAAAGTGGTGTAATTAATAGGGATATGTCCTAGGAATAAATCCAGCCGTAGAAATTTAACCATACTTCTAAGCTGAAGCTTGTATTTGAGCTGTATGGGAAAGGTGCACGCACAGGTACACACGTGTGAGTTCCTTGTAATAATTGTTTAAGCTTTGGGTTACTAGTTAGTGTCTGTGTCTTTCTTTCTTTCTTTTGCTTTTTTAGGCACTTTGTTTAATAGTGTTGCCATTCATACCAGCATCAAACCTTTTTTTTCCTGTTGGCTTCGTAGTAGCTGAACGAGTGTTGTATGTTCCCAGCATGGGATTCTGCATGTTAGTAGCCCATGGGTGGAAAAAGCTCTCAAGTAACAGGTAGGTTCAAAGTCACTGCTGGCGGGAGGGATGGGGTACAGATGGTAATTTTGTTTTGATGTTGTTTGCATGGCACAGTTGTTTTGGGTGGAGCATTCGGGGAAATGTAAGCCTTTTTTCTGTTTAGACATGCATAATCTCTTAACTTGCTTCACCATCTTTTCCATTAATGTAGTCAGCAAACCTTAACTACTCCCTTTTGATATTGCTTGTCCGTTTGCAAAGGAATGGGAGAACATATTTTAAAAACTGCTTTCCTTTTTCAACAGTAGGTGCTAGTGAATTGTAGAAAAAAGATCTAAGTGCACCCACTCCAAAAGAAGCCCCACTGAGTTCAGTATTTCAGACTTTAAACAACACTTTTGAATGTATTGGATTGGGATTTGGGAGATCTAGGTCCTGGTCCAGACCAGGCCAAGAAGCTCTCTGGGTGATTCACTGAGTTTCAGCCCAACCTGCCTCTTTGGGAAGTTATCAAGATAAAAATGGAGAGAATTGTATTGTGGAATATAAATACAATAAATACCCTGAAGTTTCTCATTCCTTGTTGATAAAGTGATCTATAAAACTTTTTCAAATAGGTCCTGTTATAAATGTAACCCCATTAAACAGTATAAATGGTATAAAGCAATCTGAACGCTTGCATGGAAATAAAAAAATTTCCTGCTGGCTTCCTTGATTTTTACAGTTCACAATAGGTGAGAAAAACATTACTTGTTTGGTACTTGAGTGCTTATGACCCAGTATAAATGAAACTTCATGTAATGTGGTATACAATCTTTGAAAAATCTTGTTTACTTTTCTGAATTTTAAATCGTTCAATATTTATTTATTTATTTATTTATTTATTTAAAGCATTTCTATGCCGCCCCCATTGCAACAACGCCTCGGGGCGGCTCACAACAATATTCATGTCACATCCGATCATAAAATTTACTTTACAGTTAATTTAGCATTTCGTTTTTGGAGCAGGGCTGGTGTAGGCTTTGGCAGTCACTCCAGAGACTCTCTCAGAACTTTTCCTCCCAGCAGGGATCAGCCTGGGAGGACCCAGTCCCATAATCCCACTGGGAGATTAGCACTATTTGCATCACTCGTCCTTGGAATAATGTGAATGAGCCCCGTCCCCAGAAAGAAACAAATGCCAGTAAGACCTGACGGTGCCCATTGCCATCTGTTTCAGTCCCTTGGCTGATGCGCGATAACCAGGATCAAGGTGAAGCAAGGAAAGAAAGGAACAATGGCAGCATACGCAGGCTTGAGGCAAGCAGGCCTTGGTTAATAGGTAGCTGCAAAGCCGTTTTTCAATACTTTGAGCAGGCACTACACCTGCCCAAAACCTTGCAGCTTCCCTCATCTAAATTGAAATACAACGTGCATATCAAAAGTGCCTTCAAGGAAAAAAAATCCTGTTTGTATCAATAGAAAGATGAAGTAAACATACTGCATGCTTGGGCAGGGCTTCTCAGTTGATTCAAAGGGGGAATGTGAAAAAAAGATCCTTATCTGCTCAGATGTGCACACTGATCTCCAGGTCTCGGGGTGTGTGACTCCTACTTTCTCAGGCAGGAAGCCAGATGTGTTTTCAACATCTCTCTTTGAAGTAGCCGCAATCACTCTTTCATAAAATGTATTTCGTGTGAAGTCATTTGTTACAGATTACTAATGATGCTTTTCACTACCCTAAGCTAATAATTAGGCTCACTTCATTTTGTATCAGAGAATCAAATGATTGTATTTGTTTCTTTAGGTTTTTTTGGTGTGGAATGAAAAATGAGAACAAAGAACATGCAAATTAGGTTCATCTAAGGTGAAATGGTTCCAACATGACTTAAGACATTCTGAAAAAGATGCCTTCAACTGCTGATTCCTATCAACAAAACACTTTTTAAGCCAATGAGTTGTCATGTATTGGATAGCTTAATAGTGTTTTATTGAAGGTTGCCATTGTGATATCAGGCATTATCAAGATAAAGTAATATGTAGGAATGTAAAAACAATTTCTGTCAGCCTTAATGGATTTAATAAGACATAGAACAAGTCATTATTTTGGGTTGTTTATTTCTTTTCTCTGATCACAAGGACAGTATATATCTTACATGCATCAGCAACATCAACGTGTACATCAAATTTTCTCGACAGTGTGGATTCCAGGTGTGTTGGTGCATGACTCCAACCATCCCCCTAGTCATCAAGATATGTGGTTGGGAAAGGTTGATGTGCATAAACACAGACATCAGCATGGTATTTCATTTTTCTTTCTGGGACAGATTTCCTTGCCTTTGCAGAGATTCAGTGCATGTGACAACTCTTGAACCTGTGCAGGAGTAATTCAGTGTGGTTTTCATCACTGTTTACCCACCCTGATTCTAGTCTTGTTCATTGATGTCTCTTTGCTAGCAGTTGCCTTCGCACATGAGCACGGTAGTAGATGCCACACTGCTCCCTTCTGGTGGAACGCATTGGTTTGATCTTCCCTTTGCGAGGAACACACTGACTTTGCTCTTAACATCCACATACACTGGATTGTGTAACAGGACAGTGTATTACCCATTTCTGCCTATACATGGCTAAGGCTTCCTGCCCTTTGACACTAAAAGAAAACTGAAATCTGGGAAAGCTGACCACAATTCTCTGTGCTGTCACTTTCCCCTTTTCCATGAAATAGTAACACAATGTCTGAGAGATCAGATAGTATTTTCACTCATATGCAGGGTCATGTCAGAAGAACCAGACTTCGACACATCACATTTAGAGATCATTATCCCTTGGGTAGGACTTTGGGGAAATCCAGCTAGCCGTCTCTGTACTTCATTTTAAGTGGCATTTCTATTACTGATCATCTAACTTATATTTATTCATGCTTTTATATATTTTTATATGCCTTACCAGGAAGAAGGACCCTTCATGGCAATTTATGAAATTAAAAACATAGAATACCAATGGCATAAAGAACAGACCATTCAGTACTGGCAAGAAAATAGGAGCTGATACAAAGACAGTGTGATGCACATAATAAAGTTCCTGAAGAAACAAGCACATTGACCCCAATAATGCTTCCAGTTTATAAATATCTATACAACTTTTCAATTGTATTTTAACAAATGTGTAGAAAGTAAAATATAAAAATAAAACATAATTGTATATTTTACTTTCTTAAAATATAAACATATACAAACACATATACAGATTTTCAAAAAAGACATTTCAGTATAGAATGTCCTCAGAATACAACTATGTAATATTTGTTTATATTGTCACAAATGTATGAAGAAGCAGCAGAGCCTACTGCCATTTATTTCCGATTTCTAAAATGAAACAAATCAATATGAATACGCACTGGTGCCTGTTGTGCATCCTTCGCAGTCAGTTAAGACTATATGACTGTTGAACTTTCGAGATGGAAGACTGTGGGGTTCTAACTGAAAAGAGAATAAATACATAAATCAGATTAGGGATGGCTGAGAAAACAAACTGGGTCCATATGAATTTAAACTGGTAAGTGTTGGTGAGGAGTCAGGGGAGGAAATATTATTAGCCTGGAATGGAGTCCAAAGTCTGGGATTGCATTAAGTAGATTTTCTTTTTTCTTTTTTGCAACAGTGTACTGAGAAAGCTGTCCTGGATTTGTCTGTCGGCAGTGCTTTTATTACATGCCTTAAAAACATTGCACAGAAACTGGGATTGGGAATCAGAGTATACATTGTTCATGTCTGCTTTAAAGGTACAATAGTATGATTAAAACTTTCCATCTTACCATGCTGCATTCTTGAGAGCAAGTCATGTTCACCACATTCTTTTGGTGGCCTTTCCAAGTAAGACCATTTGAATTGTATATCAAAAGTACATATAGAAAAATAAGGCCATGCAAATTAAATTGCAATCAGAACTCTTAAAGTTGTTTGTGTTGGAGATATCTACATTTTAACAAGTAAAGTCAACTGTAGGAATGAGAATAATGCAAATCACAACTAGAGGACGGACGTTTAGAAAGGAAGTAGATGATGAGTCAGCATTTCCAGACACACATCAGGGGTGTGTAATGCAGTCTCCCTGTGATGTGCCACCTTTTGATTTTAGCAGATTATTTATTTTATTTATTTATTTATTAAAGCATTTCTACAAAGTTATACAAAGTTATATTATATATATACAAAGTTATATTATTACAAAGTTATATGCTGACTTAAAGCATTTTGCAGCACAAGCATCTGGGGAGACACATGAGTGAGTTTGTGTAATCTGCCATGAGTTCATTTTTGTATATCAAATTCTGCTGATTTATTTCTAAATTGCTTATGTTCATTACATTCAATTCCATGCATGGAACTCTCATATATTCCCCACACAGCAAATCAAAGAGGCTGGGGTCAACATTTAAGCTCCAGAAGAGTAGAAGTGGCAGCAAAGGCAGTGAAATGTCTTTTTTAGGACAACTAGTCAATCAGAAAAGATGTACATGCTTTTGAAATCTCCAGTTCTCTTCAGCAGAAGGATGCTTCAACCAGTGGTAGCAGTGGGGAGAAAAGAAACAGCTCACAATAGTGAAATTCCAGCATCTTCATGTTTGGGGTCTGAAGAAGAAGTGGGAGAGAAAGAGGTTGCAGATGTTCAAATTAGTTTGCAGGGTCTGTGATGGATACAAGTTTGGGTTGCACACTTGTTCCTTTAGGGCTACTAGGAACAGGAGAGGCAACAATATTGGCTCTTTGTTCATATAACCTACACAGCCTAATCTGAATGTGCACAGAACCTTCCTCCCCCACTTCATCTTGAGAGCATGCCAATACTGTGATCTGCATCAAGTCAGGAGGTATTTCATTATCCATTCTCCTGTTTTCTATCCAAGCCTACTTTTTCAGACATTTTGGCAGCTAGATCTTAAAAGCTTACACATTTTTGTGATCTAAAACTTGGCCTCATTGCTTCTGTAGTAGACTAACACAGATTTTGAAGCTTTGGAAAAGGCTCATCATTTAAAAGAGAGAGTGTGTGTGCATGTGGTCCATGTGTGTGTGTGTGCGCACTTATATTTGTTTTCTGTGCTTAGGTTAATAAGAATAATGCAAAACTTTGGAATAATGTGGGTCATGCTCTAGAAAATGAAAAGAACTTTGAAAGAGCTTTGAGATTCTTCATACAAGCCACCCAAGTACAGCCAGGTAAGTTAGAAACAATTGTCTGTAGTGTTAGGCCAGATTATGAAGGTGGTGTCAAATCGCGTACCAGATACCAGGCTCTGCCCTTGCACAATAAACTTGTATAATAACATTGCACAAATACCGCCTATGGGGACATGTATACTTTTATGAAAATACATATGTATAAATAATTTGCTTATTTACATCACCAATCAAACAATGCTAATATTTTTTAAAAAAAAACTGTTGGTGAAAGGTCTTTTTACTGTTTCATTTAGTCATTGCTAAATTGGGTGTTACCTTTCAGTGCTGACTCTTAGAAACTGTGGCTATCAATGATTACAAATCAAGATGCCTATACACAATATCCAGTATCAGAGACAGTATGCCTCCAGATAAAAAAAAAATTTCAGGTGGAAAAGCTTCTGGAGAGCTTCTACCATTAGTCAGAGTGAACTGTAGTGGGTTCAGTAATAAGTAGCCCGGCCTGGGACAAGGTGGCATCTGATGGAAAGGCAGATGTATTTTTGCAGCAAGTTCAAAGCACTTAAGAAATCTGGGCACTTAACACACATGTTCAAATATCCATAAACAGCTAAAGTATTATATTGTAAAATGTTTGCAGTAGTACTTTCAGTAGCAACATTAGTTTATCTGGACTACTTTAACAAACCAACCTGGTAGATACTTTGGAATTCAGTGTTTTGAATCTGTATGGTAAACTGGATAGATTGTGTCTCTGGTATTTCTTCAGCTGTCATTTAAGATAGTCATGACTCTTCAGTATTATTTCTGAGTCAAATATTTCTTAGGGGGAAAAATGTATATACATGATGTTTATCTTTAAATCTGAAGATGATATTGGTGCCCACATGAACGTAGGAAGAACTTACAAAAATTTAAACATGACCAAAGAAGCTGAAGCCTCCTATTTGGTTGCAAAATCATTGATGCCACAGGTAAGTAGTAAGACAGTTCTTCAAAATTCCTTTTCTTTGACAGATTGAATCAAATACCATTGTCAAGACACTGGGTTTGGGGGGTTTTTTCATTCAAAAATTTTGTTATTTCTTTGCATGCCTATATACTGAGCATGCACTTAGGGTAGGACTTAATTCAAAATATCTTTGCCTAATTTTAAACTGTTTTTTTTTAGTTGTTTAACTGTGTTTCTGATTTGGTAAGGTAGCCTTTAATCAATGTCTTATAAGTCTGATAACATTTTTTCTGCTGTCAGATTATTCCAGGTAAAAAATATGCTGCTCGCATCGCCCCTAACCATCTGAATGTTTATATAAACCTTGCAAATTTGATTCGAGCAAATGAGTCTCGCCTTGAAGAAGCAGACCAGTTGTATCGCCAAGCCATTAGCATGAGGCCAGATTTCAAACAGGCATACATAAGCAGGTATTGCTGTTGAAATCTTTACTGCATCCATGAATGTAACCATGAACAAAGTAGCATGCTGCTGAGGGGGAGCTGCATCTTAATCTGAGACCTCTACTGTACTAAGATCTAAACTACAAGACGAAAAGAGGCTTATCCCACTCTGACCTTGGCCACTATTCAATTTTTAAAACATTTGAGGGCCACTTTTAATGGTACAACCCTCTCAAGCTGGCTGACATGATAAAAACAATAAAATAATTATTATAGAAACAAAACATGTGAATTCCACATTAAAAGCCTAGTATGGAAGCTCTCTTACAAAAACCCTTTTCTATAATCAGGTTGTGTTCTCCTCCTCCTTCCAAACAAGCTCAAGAAAAGAGGTTTTCCATCTAGGTCAACGTTTACCCCAAACCTGCTGCCAAACAGGTGTGTTAGACTGCACTTCCCATCATACCAAGCTAAGGGATAATGGGACATGTAGTATAATACATCTGGAGAACATTGGGTTGCAGAAGACTGTTCCTGTAAAGTTATCACCACAATTCACTTTCCCCTACTTTCTTACTGCCCCTTTTGGTGCAGCTCAGACCCCAACAACAGGCAGGAGTGAGCAGACAGATGGAAGCAAAACTCAAACTTTGATTCTTCAACAGGGGTGAACTTCTTCTAAAAATGAACAAACCTCTGCAAGCGAAGGAAGCTTACCTTAGAGCTCTCGAACTGGATAGACGCAATGCAGATCTCTGGTATAACCTGGCAATTGTTTACATTGAACTGAAAGAGCCAACAGAAGCTCTCAAGAACTTCAACAGGGCATTAGAACTGAATTCTAATCATAAATTAGCACTGTTCAATTCTGCACTGTTGATGCAAGAATCCGGTATGTATGTTCTTTTACAACTAGCAGGCATGGAACATCTACTATAATTATACTACTATAATCTTGAAGTGTGCATGTGTGTTTATAGAAATGGGTGCAAGGGTTGCAGTCCTGCACACTTTTACCTGGGAATAGACATGCATAGATTCTACTCTAAATCCCTTTAAAATAAGCACAAACAGGAAATTATATGTTGGTTCAGCCACAGATGGTGCATTGAATGCATTTTTTTGCAATGTCACTACACACATAGTGAATCCAGTCTTGGAAGTCATTCCATTTGGATTTACTACCAAATCTTCATAATATTTTACCTTAGTATACATATATCTATAAAACTGGGGATAATGGCATATTAATCTGTTTTATGTTTCTAGGTGATGCTAGACTTAGGCCTGAAGCTAAGAAAAGACTTCTAAATTATATAAAAGAAGAACCTCAGGATGCAAATGGCTATTTTAACTTGGGTATGCTTGCAATGGATGACAAAAAGGACGCTGAAGCAGAGACATGGATGAAAAAAGCCATAAAGCTACAGCCAGGCTTCCGAAGTGCTTTGTTCAACTTGGCACTTCTTTATTCTCAGACTACACAGGAGGTGAAGGCTTTACCAGTTCTGGAAGAGCTTCTGAAGTACTATCCTGATCATACCAAAGGTTTGATTCTGAAGGGAGATATTTTGATGAACCAAAAGAAAGATATAAAAGGAGCTAAAGAGTGCTTTGAGAAAATTCTGAAGATGGACCCTAACAATGTACAAGGAAAACACAACCTGTGTGTAGTATATTTTGAGGAACGGGATTTATTAAAAGCAGAGAGGTGTTTAGTAGAGACACTGGCCTTAGCGCCACATGAAGAGTACATCCAGCGTCATTTAAGCATAGTCCGAAGTAAAATTGCTTCACTAGGTACAGGAGAAGCGTCTGTGATTCCCCCTGAGAAAACTGTTGCTATGGAAGAAAAAAAAACTCAGTCCAAAAACTTGAAAGGGGCAAAAAATGATGTGAAAAGGACTCAGACCACAACTATCCAAAATAGCAACAAAGGACAGAGCAAACCCAAGAAACATGTGGAGAAAAATACCACAGACAAAGAGACAAAAAAGAAGTCTACAAAAGAAATAAAAGACATTGAGAAAAAAAGGGTTGCTGCTCTGAAAAGACTAGAAGAAATTGAACGTATACTAAATGGTGAATAATTCCTTGGGTTTTCTCTAATACAGGAGGTTGACAGCTATTTCCAAGGTTGTTTGTGTGTCCAGTTTAAAAATGACTGCTAGGTGCATTTTGAATTTGAAATGAATATTGAAATATATCATTAAAAAGGCTGTTTTCATGGTACAAAGAAGTAATCTGTTAGGAAGTCATGGATCTTATTCAAATATGTTTAAGGAATTGAGTATTAGTGACACACAGGTATTTTCCAGCAATGGAAGTTATAAATCTGATACTAATATTAAATTGTGCCAGGGAGCAAGTCCAACTGAATTCCACCAGTACTTGCTGAATCTTGTGGACCTGGCTGCAGATTACTAGCAACCAGATTACTGGCAATTGGTTCTTTGTGTGCTCAAAGAATTGCAAAATGCTAGAAGGCAAATTTTAAAAGATTACCTCAGGTGTGGTGGTTTCTAACATGACATTAAGGGAATTCTCTGGTTCTTGTGCTTTAAGATTGCACATTTAGTTTGGAAAACTGACTTAATTTCAGTTTACTCATTAAATCATTGAAGTTTATTCTGACTACATGTTACTCATCATGCCCACTTTTTTCATCTGCCTCCCTGAAATTATCAGTGTTCTAGGATCAGGGTTAATTAGCAAGTACCATTTACATTAGGTATATGTGTGCATGCATTTGGTAGTTTATTCAGACTTACATGGATCACACTAAAAGTACAGTGGTTCCCTAAATCATCTGACATGGGGAAACCCCAAAATGATGCTCTTGGACACTCCCTGCCCTATTATATGATTTTTTGAAACCTCCTATTATTTTAGAAACCAGTGTGATTGTTTCTGAACAATTCACCCATCCTGCTGTAAGGAATTAGTTGATGTGAAACTTCTGGGTTTATTTCCCTACTTTTTTAACTGCTGGAACTGAAGCAGGGTGCGGGGGGGAATCTTTATTTTTCAGTTAAGTAATCCATATGGGGCATCCTAAGTTTGTCACTGATGAATTGATTCCCTGGTGTGGTAAACATAATGAGTGGCAAGCTAGCACTATATTTTTGCAATCAGTATAATGGTAATTTATTTGGGAGAATTTAGACAACAGTCAGCTGTTACCAGTAAGTCTCTGCTGTTCAGGGCAGTTCTAAAGAAATTAAGCCTGCAATCCTGAGCACACTATCTTGTGAATAATTTCCACTGAACTTAATTGAGAATTGCTTCTCACATGCAGAGGCTCCCAAATTCAGTTTCTGAATTTCCAGGTATGGCTGTGAAAGGTGCTTGTAGAGCTACTGCTGGTTAGTATTGACAATACAGTGCTAGATGGACTGATTCAGTATAAAGCCACTTCCTGTGTTCCTAGTGGAGTTAAACCATAAGGTTGGACTGCAAGCATTCCTCTTTGCTTAAAATAACTTCTTGAGGGATGCTTCATATATTTCCTGCTGAAAAATCATTTCCAAGTAGGAAAGACTGTAGATTACTGTGTGGACAGTTAGCAAGTTGTATGCCAATCACGCTCTCTTTGTCTCTTGCAATCTCTACCCACCCCGCACACACACACAGGTAATCTACAGAAAGATTACATGTTTCTGGTTTACGCACAGATTCTATTCTATTTCCAGTTGGAAAGGCTGGCTTCTAGTTTAATTTCAAACACTAAATGTTTTATTTTATCAAACAAGTTGTGAGGTTGTTTTTTATATATTTATTCTGTCTACTAAAATTCAAAATGGTTTCCACTAACAACTTGTCTAGAATGAGTTAACTTTGTTCTTTATGTGAAATATGGATTGATAACTACTACATTTTTTATATCTGTGGCTATGCATATTTTCTCCTAAATATATTGTTGGATTGCCTAAAATGTTTCTTGAGTTTTTTGTTATTTTTACTTCTCAGGTCACCAAATGAATTAAATCCTGGGAGCGCTAGGAAAGTTTACACTGACCAACAATTTGTCTTCTATTGATTCTCATTTTTTCACAGAGAATACTTTAGTATGTTTCATATGAGTGCCAAAACAATCCAGTCCAAGCCCAAAAATGTGAACCCATTCTTATAAGCCAAACAAGAATTTCAAGTTTGTAACATCTCAGTTGTGAAGTTCAGTTGTGAAGTTGTGATCTAGGCTCTTTTCTTATGGAGGTTATGTGCACGTGCATTTTTGTAGAGACTTTTCCCACACCAGCCGATCATGTTGACAGTAGTAGAGAATTTCTGCTGTGACCAATTGGAAGTGATGGGGTTACAGCAGACTGCAGGGCTAGGCTTGTGACTCCCACGGTTCACACATTCTGCCAATGTGTGAACCTCCCTACTAGCTTCTACACTGAGATAAGTTGAGATTTCTTTTATTAATTTCAACTACATGCTCAGGAAGCCATGGTTAAACTAGGTGTATTCCATGCAAAGTGTGATATTATATAAATTGAGTATTTTCATAAACTTTGCATTTAAAATTGGGGATGTCTAGTTATGCAAACAAGCTTGAAAGGATCTGAATATATGCTCCATAAGCAGAGGATCTCCAGTTGTCACAGATGAACCTGCAGCACCCTGAATAATTCCTTGTTTATTTCTGTGAAATCTGTTTTGTCCTAGAACCTGAGCTGGGTGGGGCTGTAGAAGAGAAAGAGGCAACAGAAGGAGTCAGTGCCCATAGTAGGGTCTCCAATTCAGGAAGGGCTGGGTAATCTCAGGAGCAGCAATCAACTCCAACCCTCCCAGGGTCCCAGCCTGAATGCCCAGTTAGTGACACTCCCTTTCCCTCAACCATCAATTGTTAGGTCATTTCTCAGCAATTGTGCATGCCCCCCACCCCATTCTAAAATCCCTTTAAAACCTTAGCTCCTGACAGCAATAGCTATATCCTACAATATAGGATAAAGACCCCCCTCCAAAAAAATTCCAGCTTTCAGGCTGACTGCTCTCTTGCCCATGCTAGGCTTCTCTGAGCCTACTTGTCTTAAAACATTAGGAGTGAGGCTACTATAAAAACCCATCTCAGTTGCAAAACGTATCCTCCCAAGCCCATTGTCTTGGTAAACTTGTGGACAGTTCCTCTGCTGTTTTCCCTAATTTTCTGAATGTGGTGCTAGTCTTTCACCATTTAGCTTCATTAGATGTGACTTCTGATATTAAAGTGGAGAAAGTCTATCAGCTTTCCCCATACCATGCATCCCCCTCACTTTTATCCTCTAAGCTAAAACCTTCAAAAAGGGAGAGTTCCCCTCAACACTGTTTGCCCTTTATCTTCTTCACCTCTGCCCATGTTTATATCTAATTAATTAACCATTTGCAAATATCACAAGCATCTCGAGTTTTACTTTTTTGGCTTTTTAAATTTGTCTTCATAACATTAATATCAACCAACCAGGCCCTAGGAGCTGAGAGAAATAGTTTTCCTGGTAAGTTTGACAAATGCAACATTTTGCAGACGTCCTGGCAACTTACGTTTCAGCAACATCAAGCACACACAAGGCTGAAAACAGTAACAACAGGAAAGTTATTGAAAGAGCTGGTGTGTTGCAAGATACAAAAGTGATTTGATGTGAGACGGTTTACCTTGCTTTGCAAGTTTTCTGAAAACAGAAAGGGAGCTGTGATACAGTAACTAAACTTTGCAGAATGGGTAGCAAAGCATTGAAAGGGTGCTCAGCTGTACAAACCAAGAAGAAAAGAGGGAACTTAGAGGTGTTGGCTCTGCATCCTCCTGCACAGCCTGGCTTGTCCCAGGCAGGCATAGAAAAGACAAGGGCTCAGAGATCAGAGACCTCTATCAATAAGGATTGTGCCCCTACAGTAGTTTGGCTCTGACCCAGGGTTTACAGCAGAACTTGGTCTTGATGCTAAAGATACTGCTAGAAAAGGCTTTATTCTGTGATTGCTCTGAGTCATTCTGCAGTAGGAAACACCCTAGAAGACAGAATGAAGATCCAGGGCGATTTTGATAAACTTGAATGCTGGGCTGAAAGCAACAGACTGAGATTCAATAGGGACAAGTGCCAAGTCCTCCACCTAGAAAAAGGAAACCAAATGCTTGATGCAATCCAAGATGGGGAATAGGCTAAATAGGAGCTAACAATGTGCTTCAGCTGCAAAAAGGGCAAATGCTATTTTGAGATGCACTAATAAAAGTATTACTTCCAAATCACTGGAAGTAGTAGCTCCCCTATACTCTTCACTAGTCAGATCTCATTTGGAATACTGTGTCCACGTCCGGGCACCAAGATTTACAAAAGATGCAGAAAAATTAGGGTCCAGAGGAGAGCAACAAAAATGATCCAGGGTTTGCAAACACTGCCCTATGAGGAGAGACTGAGGAGGCACATGATATCCCTCTATAAGGCTGTTACAAGAGGAAGGTCAAGATCTTGCTGATGCTACAGTATAGAACACGGAACAATCAGTTCAAGCTGTGACTCTCCAGATTCAGGCTAGATAACAGGAAAAGTTTCCTCACTGTCAGAGTAACATGACAGTGAAACCAATTGCCTAGAGAGGTGGTGGGCTCTCCTACACTAGAGACATTCAAAAAGAAACTGGACAGCCATCTTCGTGGGATGAAGTAACTTGGTGCCCTGCAACAGCAGGGGGTTGGATCCAATGGCCTTCTTGGCCCCTTCCAACTCTTCTATGATTCACAGATGTTTAGGAAGGGATACTATGGCTAGACATTGTCATCTCACATTTGTAACCCTCCTATATTCTCCCACCACTTCCAGCTTTCTTAACAGAAAAAGAAATCCATTAAGGAGAAAAAAATGGGATGCCTTGATAGCACATAAGAACCTCTAACTGGAAGTACCCTAAAGTTTATTTTCCCTAAGTTTTTGTCCACCATCACCCACACACTGATATGGTGACTGGAGAGGGGCTTCAGGTGTTTATTCCTAGTTACTTGGCTATGTAGGTTTAAAGGGTGAATCTTTCCAGGCAGCTCTGCATCTTATTTAATACTGTGGTGCTGGATAAAAGGGAACTGTTAGAATTGAGCCATAATAATACACTGTTAACTTGTGTTAAACTTCCTAACTGTGAGAGCAACATGACAGTGGAGCCAGTTGCCAAGAGCGGTGGTGGGCTCTCCCACACTAGAGACATACAAAGTGAAACTGGACAGTCGTCTGAGTGGGATGGTGTGACTTGGTGTCCTGCACCAACATGGGGTTGGACTCAATAGCCGCCTTGGCTCTTTCCAACCCTACTATTCTGTGGATCTCTGAATCTAAAAAAGAAACCACGGGAGAACTGACGTCTGTTAAGCTATCATAGCCAAAGTACCTCTATTTTTGGGCTTACTCATGTACACAATAGAGCAGATCAGAGAGAGGAAAGCTTCACAATTCTAGGAAGCACCACATTGTTCATGTAACTTTGGGTTTCTAAATGTTTCAAGAGCATTCTCACCTTTGTTTGATTTCAATTATTTGTCATCACATTGTAATTGTGGAGTCATAGTGTTTATAAACAATATCTTTTGTCAAGGCTGCAAAAGAAACATCTAAACAAATTACAGAGAGTGGAGGCGGATTACGAAAGCAGAGCTCCTATTCATGGTGTTTGCTGTTTGAAGAAAATTAAATCCCTTTAATTTTCATCAGAGACCTAGAGAGAGCAATGGACACTTTTTAAGAAAAGGGGGAAAATCCAACAGTTGAAGCAAATTTCCTGATGCCAGTTTTCAGCATAGCAGCTTCCAGTGTGTGGGAGGATCAATGTGTAGCTACTAAACGAAATAGCAATTGTGAAAATTCCAGAAACATTTAATGACTTTGCTACAATTGTTAAAAGTGTGCACCCTCTCATTAGCAGTCAGCAAAGGTCTGAATATAGTATCTGCAGAAAAGCAGGGGTGTGGATGACTGGAGGAAGCAGGAACATATAGAGAGTAAACTGCCAAACTGCTGAGGTGAAAAAGGCAGAGAATTAATGAAGACAGAAAAATAGATTCATGTTGGTAGATCACTGTACATTACTGCAGTTAAAGAAACAGGCAGCAAAAATACCAAAATGATTTAGGCTTCTCTTCTTCATGACCTCAACAACAATGTAATTTGGGTAATTTGAGAGGGGGAGAACCCAGAACAGATTTTGCAGATGTTCTTCTTGAATACATAGGTGAGCATCCACCCGGTGGTATACCTTGGATTTGGAAGGTGTATCCAGAGAATAGTAATAGAATATTCAAAGCAATGCAAAGACTTGGAGTCATTGCACTTCAGCCCCTTCTCTTTTAAAGCATCTTATGTCTGTACAGACCAGCACCGACTTCCGTTTTCTGAGGGCCATTCAGCAAGCCAGCCTTGATGGGGATCTTTGTCAGCACCTGCTCTTGCTCCTTATCCTCTTTCTCCTTGCTGCTCCCATTTGCTTGTTCCACAGGCAGAGAGTCAGTGAGCCACTGAGCCTTGGCACCTCCTGCTTCTCCTGACCACCATCATCTGAGCCAGAGTGAGTGGCAGGCGAGCAGGCAGACAAAGCTGAAAGTCTTGTTCTTCCTTCATATGGCCTGAGCATATGCCAGGAAGGGGGGTCATGGACCAACTGTGGGACCTGGTGAGCAATCACTCTAGCCATGCATAGCAGGAGATCTGGCACTGGGAGGTGGTTGTCATATTAATAATTATGCTGTGTTCTGGCTCTTATTGCAGCCAGTTTTGGTGGTTGCCCTTTCAGCCCTCATTCTGGTCTTCAAGTGCTACTTTTCAGTGCCAGATCAGTGAAGGTAAGGCCTCTCTAATCAGCACTTACTTTAAGAGTGGATGAGGCAGCCAATCGGGCATGTATAAATGATATCTCCCAGTTGTGCCCACTGGGCCAGTGCATCATCAAGGTAAATTGGAGGAATAAGGCAGGGGATTGCT